CCGTATCTCCACCCGGGGTTTCGCCATCCAGTGCCGTATCACCACCGAGGACCCGGCCAAGGGCTTCCAGCCTGACACCGGCCGCATTGAGGTCTACCGCTCTGCTGGTGGTAACGGTGTCCGTCTGGATGGTGGCAACGGTTTCGCCGGTGCTGTCATCACTCCTTACTACGATTCTATGCTTACCAAGATGACTGTGAGTTATATGTGTTTTTGTCCAACTGTGCTATGAACAAGAAAAGCTGACCATGGGGCCTCTAGTGCCACGGCTCCACATACGAGATTGCTCGTCGCAAGGTCTTGAGAGCCATTGTCGAGTTCCGTAAGTAGTTTCTGGATGCCATCGTTGCCCCTTGAAGAACCAAACATGCTATTTGCTGTATTGGCATGGATGTACTCGTTGAGTTCTTCTGATCGCTGACTCTGCTCTAGGTATTCGTGGCGTCAAGACCAACATTCCCTTCCTCGCCTCTCTCTTGACCAACGAGGTTTTCGTCAATGGCAACTGCTGGACCACGTTCATAGATGACACTCCATCGCTCGTATGTTCTAGAACACAACACTCGAGGACCCGTACCAGGACTAACTTCACCATTAGTTTGATCTCATTGGCTCTCAGAACCGTGCCCAGAAGCTGCTTGCATACCTTGGTGACCTCACTGTCAACGGCAGCAGCATCAAGGGACAGGTCGGCGAGCCCAAGTTCAAGGGCGAGATCATCATTCCTGAGCTTCACGACGATGCCGGCAACAAGATCGATGTCACCCAGCCTTCGACCCAGGGCTGGCGAAAGATCATCCTGGAGCAAGGCCCCAAGGCCTTTGCCAAGGCTGTCCGTGAATACAAGGGCACCCTGCTTATGGACACCACGTGGAGAGATGCCCACCAGTCTCTGCTGGCCACCCGTGTTCGAACGGTCGATCTGTGCAACATTGCTAAGGAGACGAGCCATGCTCTGGCGAACCTGTACAGTCTGGAGTGCTGGGGCGGAGCGACATTCGACGTAGCCATGCGATTCCTCTACGAGGACCCCTGGGACAGGCTGCGGAAGATGCGCAAGCTCATCCCCAATATCCCCTTCCAGATGCTTCTCCGAGGCGCCAACGGTGTCGCGTACTCATCCCTGCCCGACAACGCCATTGACCACTTCGTCGACCAGGCCAAGAAGAACGGTGTTGACATCTTCCGTGTCTTCGACGCTTTGAACGACATTGACCAGCTCGAGGTTGGTATCAAGGCTGTCCACAAGGCTGGCGGTGTTGTCGAGGGTACCGTTTGCTACTCCGGAGACATGCTCAACCCCAAGAAGAAGTACAACCTGGAGTACTACCTCGACCTTGTTGACAAGCTCGTGGCGCTCGACATCCACGTCCTTGGTGTCAAGGATATGGCTGGTGTGCTCAAGCCCCATGCCGCGAAGCTGCTGATCGGTGCCATCCGCAAGAAGTACCCTGACCTGCCGATCCACGTGCACACGCACGACTCCGCTGGTACTGGTGTGGCCTCCATGGTCGCTTGCGCTGAGTACGGCGCTGATGCTGTTGATGCCTGCAGTGACAGCATGTCTGGTATGACATCGCAGCCCAGCATCAACGCTCTGCTTGCCTCCCTCGAGGGCACCAACCTCGACCCTGGCCTGAACGTCCACCACGTACGTGCTCTGGACACCTACTGGTCTCAGCTTCGTCTGCTGTACTCGCCATTCGAGGCCCACCTTGCAGGACCCGACCCCGAGGTGTACGAGCACGAGATCCCCGGTGGTCAGCTCACCAACATGATGTTCCAGGCCCAGCAGCTCGGCCTGGGCTCACAATGGCTCGAGACCAAGAAGGCCTACGAGCAGGCCAACGACCTCCTTGGCGACATTGTCAAGGTCACGCCCACTTCCAAGGTCGTCGGTGACCTGGCCCAGTTCATGGTCTCCAACAAGCTGTCCGAGGAGGACGTCAAGGCCCGGGCCAAGGAGCTCGACTTCCCCGGCTCAGTGCTTGAGTTCCTGGAGGGCTTGATGGGACAGCCTTACGGTGGCTTCCCCGAGCCGCTCCGCACAGATGCCCTCCGCGGCCGCAGGAAGCTGGACAAGCGCCCCGGTCTGTTCCTGGAGCCCGTCGACTTCGCCAAGGTCAGGCGCGACCTCACCAAGAAGTACGGCTCCGTCACCGAGTGCGATGTCGCGTCGTACGTCATGTACCCCAAGGTCTTCGAGGACTACAAGGACTTCACCCAGAAGTTCGGCGACCTGTCCGTCCTGCCGACCAAGTACTTCCTGAGCAAGCCCGAGATCGGCGAGGAGTTCCACGTCGAGCTCGAGAAGGGCAAGGTCCTCATCCTCAAGCTGCTCGCCATCGGGCCGCTGACCGAGCACACCGGCCAACGGGAGGTCTTCTACGAGATGAACGGCGAGGTCAGGCAGGTCACCGTCGACGACAAGAAGGCCAGCGTCGAGAACGTCAGCAGGCCCAAGGCCGACCCCACCGACAGCAGCCAGGTCGGCGCGCCCATGGCCGGCGTGCTGGTCGAGCTCCGCGTCCACGAGGGCACCGAGGTCAAGAAGGGCGACCCTCTTGCTGTTCTCAGCGCCATGAAGATGGTAAGTTTCACCGCCGACACGACTGCGATCCTTCTTCTGTACCAGCTTGGTTTCTAATATTACGTCTTTTTTTAGGAAATGGTCATCTCGGCTCCTCACAACGGCAAGGTGTCATCCCTCCAAGTCCGCGAGGGCGACTCCGTCGACGGCACAGACCTGGTCTGCAAGATCGTCAAGGGCTAGAGGAGGGTTCCTCCCTCCCCTCTCTTCCAACACTTCCTTGTTGGAACATTGCGGCTAGATTGCCGAGCGTTCAGGATTTCTGTTTCATAGGCGGCGGGGCGGTCTTAACCGAAGTCCCCTTTTGGGAATTGGGCATGCGAGTCTGGGAAATGAATACCTTATATGTGTCCCTTCTTGTTTTTCTTTTTTATGTATGGTCATCTGCCCACCCTGAAACAAAGACGGGGTTGATTTGAGTCAGGATAGTAGTCTCCTCGGGTAGGGTTTTCTTCCAGGAGCAGAAACAATTGAATCATTTCATGTATTAGTCGAACGTGATCGCGCTTGTGTGAAGTCGAAACTGCCGTGATCGCTGACGCGGGCCTGCTGCCTTTGATGAACTGTTGCTGCTTCTCCTGATAGATAGGGTAGGCTGGGAATAGCTTTTTGGAGAGTTATTCCCAAAGACTACCCTATTCCCCGGAATGTGCATTCCGGAGCACGCAGCCGAGGGCTTGCACTAGTTACTCAGTGACATTGTCCAACCGGTGACTCCTCGATGCTTCTTTTCTGTTGTCGACCTCGGAAGCAGCACAACGGCCCAAGCCGGGAAACGAAAAATTACATCCTTGCGGATCAGCAGATGATACTGTCCGTGGTGCCATCGTATTACTACTATACTGAGAAATTGGGCGGGGATCCAGCTCTCACCCCGTGTTCATCCTGACCTTCCGTATCTAGCACTTCAGGTAATCTTGTTTTGCTTCTAAGTTTGGCTGCCACAATATGCACGAAGCCACGTTCCGTGCCTTTTTTGTTTTTCTTTTTTCAAGCAAGAAACAAAAAAAGACGCCGAGTCTTGAGCGTTTACGACTGTAGGAGCCCGCAGGCGCCACATCCGTTTTATGTGTATGGGGCTTAGAACAGAAACAACTGTTTTTTCTTTCTTTTTCTTCTCCTTTTGCACGCCCAGGAACCAAAATGTGCCTGCCAAGTCGCCTGGCTTTTCCTTGATAGATGCGACCTGTCTCTGAGCCGGCCTCGTGGTCCTCGCGGTCTCGCAACGCCGTCTTTGCTTCTTTTTTCGTGAAAGCTTTTCTAAAAAGAATACCAAATGAAAAAAAAAATCCGCAGTCACATCCGCGTGTGCCCCGGAGCTACTCGGGATCCATCCATGTCGGATCGACTGCCTCTATTACTTCACTAACCATTGAATGTAATTAACATCATGGGCATATCAGCCCCCCCACCGCCCCAAAACCTCACCGAATGTAGACCGATCGGCAACAACGGACCTGAAAATTCGGCATATAAGCCCCTGTCTATTAAACTATGTTGCGGAAGACTTGTCTCCCGGCGTGGGGGGGGGGGGGGCGAGGGGAGGCGGCCGCCACATATTAAGGACTACGCGGCGGTGAAGAGGCGTCCGCTCGGGGCTTGCATCCGCCGGGTGGCTTGCAACCGGTTTTTCATTGTTCTTCTCGTGTGGCTTGTTGGCGCCATTGTGCTCAGGTGTGCTACCCTAGGGGCGCCTCTTCACGGGATGAGGCGTGCTTTTTCCTCTCTTGGGATGTGTGCTTTGTGTACTAGTAGATTCAGGGTGGGGGGGGATGGCAGGGGCAAGGACAGGGGCTGGGGCTGGGGGCAGGGCTGGCCAGGCAGCAAGGTCAACAATATCATTGTTGGCCAGGCCATGGATAGTGTGAATACGGACTGCATCGCTGGGGCCTATTTTCAGCACATCTCGACAGCAAAGGGTGCATGATGCATGTGGGTGGGTATTTCGAGGACTTCCGGGCTGGGGTGCTGTCGTCGGGTAAACTACCGCTTAGGTTATGCGGTGCCATGAGCATGCAGGCAGATATATGCAAGGCTGCATACCTTCTCGGTTTCGCAATGATTAGCTGGATCCTGGTCGCCTCTCAGGCGGCCTCGATTCCGCATGCGTCTGGAGGGGTTTGTTGGGTTGCAATAGGGCTGAGGTAATGCCGGGTGTGATGGGTGGTATTGCAAGTGGTGTGGTGGGACGACATGAGCCGGGGCGCACGAGATACGATCCCGCCCGTCTGTATGCATGCTTGCGTTGTTGACGCCGCTAGAAAATGGTTGCAAGTTTGTCCTGCATGCCCAGCTTTTCCGCAGTCCTGTGTGAGATTTGCGCGACTAGAAATTGACTCCGGCCCAACGAGATCATGGCGGCTGTGGTTTGAGGGCTGTACCAGTTATTGTATGGCAGTCATGTTTGTTCTTGCAATGCCCATACCTCCAAGAAACCCTGGTGAAAGTCACAGTATCTGTATGCATGGCGAGGATATCGAGTAGCTGAATGTTGTGAGAATTAGACAATAATATCTTGGAAGCCAGAATATGCAAAAAGTGTATGTGTGTGTAATTACATGAGCGATTGGTCATCACAGCCCCTTTCCAATGCTGTGAACCTTGAAGCCAAGAGATTTCAGGTAAAGACTGTCCACCACGTTCCTGCCGTCAAACACCCAGCTGTGTTTCTCCATGAGGGCCGCCACGACCTCCCAGTCCACAACGTCCTTGTCCCCGGACAGCTTGGAGTTCCGCTGGCATTCCTTGCAGCCAGCTTCGCACGAGTCCCTCGGTACAAGCCGTTGCAGCGGGTCTTCCGTGTTCTTACCGGCTGTCATCGCCGCGATGCTCTCGAGCCCAATGATGTCCATCTCGCTGAGCTCTTTCTCGCCACGCGAGACGAGGTCAAACAGCTTCTTTGGGGATGAGACTGCAAGCATGTTTGGTGCCACTGGTGCCTTGCCGCGGAATTGCTGCCACTGTGTGAGTATACACACGGCGGAGGCGCCCTCGACGGCGCTCTTCCAGCCGTTAGTGATCTTGATGCGGCTCATAGTGGCCTCGTCGCGAACGAGCCTCCGGATCTCGTCCTCGACCTCCTCCGGCGCGCAGCCCGGGTCGAAAACGGCGATCTCACGGGGTTGCTCGAGGGCCAGCTCGGCGATGATGTGCACGGCGACACTGTTGCGGGTGTCGTTGGTGCTGTCCTTGAACGCGAACCCGAAGACGGCAATCTTCTTGCCCCTCAGGGTGCCGTTGAGCTTGCGGATGGCCGTCTTGGTGAACCTCTCGCGCTGGTAGCGGTTGATGTTCAGCACGCTGGTCCAGTAGTCGGCGACCTCGGGCAGGTGGAGGCACCGGGCCAGGTACGCCAGGTTGAGGATGTCCTTCTCGAAGCAGCTGCCGCCGAAGCCGACGCCGGCGTGCAGGAACTTGGAGCCGACGCGCGAGTCGTTGCCCACGGCGCGGCTGACCTCCTCGACGTCGGCGCCGAGCTCCTCGCACAGGGCGCTGACGGCGTTGACGCTGCTGATGCGCTGGGCCAGCATCGCGTTGGCGACCAGCTTGGCCAGCTCCGACGAGAAGGTGTTGACCGTGACGATGCGCTCGGTCGGCACCCAGGCGGCATAGACGCCGCGCAGCGCCGACGCCGCCCGCAGTCCCGCCAGCCCGTTGCCGCTGCCGATGAGGATCCGGTCCGGCCGCATCAGGTTGGCGACCGCGGATCCCTCCGCGAGGAACTCTGGGTTCGAGAGGACCTCGAAGGGGGCCTCCGGCCGGTATTGGCGGAGCTGTGATGGGAATCTGACATCAGCCTCCACACGTGCTTGGCAGTTGGGATGGGGTTTAGAATGGTGTTGCTTCTTCCTTTTTTTTTCTTTCTTCTTCTCCTCGATAGTCTGCACCAAGGAGGTACCCGAGACATTGCAACGGGGATTCCACGGCGAGGCTTTATCACACGCGATACCCTAAAGGAGATATCCCGCGCTTGTGTGACAAGAAAAGTAAAGGAAAGCACGAGTAAAGGGAGGGAGGATTAAAAAAAGCAGAGACACATGACGGGAGAATATGAGACCCTCGGGAAAACTTACGATATCCGAAATAATCCTCGCGGTTCCACAGGGGACTGTGCTCTTCTCAACAATCACGGCGCCGATCTTGGCGTTCATCGCGATCGTTCTCGTCGCCGACTCCAGAGCGCACAGGTCCGCGCTTGCGCCGGCTCCAACGCCGTAGGTCTTGGTTGGTGTGTTGACGCAGATGAAGATGATATCCGCGCTCGCGACGCAAGGGGTAACGTTGGTTGAGAAGAAGAGGTTGGGCTTCCGGGCCGGCAGGTGGACACCGCCGGATGCCTCGTCCACGCCAGGCAATCCGGATACGAGGGCCTCGTTGGTGCCATCACGGGCGATGCGCACAATCTTAGGGAGTCCTGTCTCATGGATGGGCAAGTGGTTCGCGTTCCATGCTGCGATGCGATCGGCGTTAAGGTCTACGACGTTGACCGTCATGGTAGGGTTGTGATAGGCGATCAGGGCTGCCGTGGGGCCACCTGTAGCAGTGTCAGCAGATGACGATCGAGATCGGTGATATATCTGGGAATTGTACGTACCCACGAAGCCTGCTCCAACGAAACAGATGTTTCTGACCGGAGGGGCCGACGGGAGTGTCACGATGGAAGTGGCTTCTGAGCGAGAGTGCCTCGGAACCTGGTCGAGTCGACCTGGCTTGTCTACGGGCTCGGGGGACTCGCCACGGGAACTTGGAGGCGATGTGACCGGCGTGGCCTCACCAGAGCTCCAGACACCCGCGGGCGATGAGGGAGTGGCCGTGGGCGAGCCAGGGCTCACATCGCGCGTCGTCGCCGCCATTTTGATAGATTCTGTTAAAGTTTCCATAACGAGAGCGGGATCGACAAAGTCGTGCAAGTAACCTGAAAGATTCTGTAAACGAGCGGATGGGTCGTGTTAGCCGCTGATGAAGAACGCGGAACCACGAAGGTTGATTGCATAGAAAAATAAAGCTGTACTGGACAAGTGCAGGAAGATCCGGCAGCCCTGGAATATCTTACCCTGATGCCATCGCTATATGTAGTGATCCGGATACCTGCCTATGCCCGCCATACGCAAATTGGGGTGTTCAGCTGGCCGGCCACTCATGCTGCCCACGTTGATCTCCCTGCCGTCGGGTCCAGAAGCACTTGCTTGGCTATCCCATGCCCTGGCAATCGCGATCCGTGATCCCCAGGTCCCTGTATGAGGCTTGAATCCAGGCGCGCGTTTGGTTGATTCAATAATCAGTTCTAGCCCGGGCTCTCGGTCTTCGGCGCGCAAGATACCCTGGTAACTAGGGAGATAGATGTCAGGCATCGTCATTCGTAGGTTATCCTTTCCCCATCAGATCTCATTTCATGGTCGGACAATCGTGACTGCGGATAAGCCGTGTGTCCATGTTGTGTGAGGCGCTTAGGCAACGTTCCTGCTTTGGCACCACCTTTCGGATTCGTGTAAGCAGGATGTGAGGATCCCATCGTTGAATCGAGACGACATGCCTGGACTATTCTGTCGACCTCCGACCTTGCGCACATGTGATGGAGCTAAATGCGCAGATCCCGGCTTCGGTCCTGAGACATGTTGGTCCAACGACGCAAGATGCACGCCATGACGGGGATGCCTCCAGCTACCCTGGCAAATCACTCGGTGGAGGTCCGATGGAGGTTCAAGACTATCACCATACTGCACTGGGTCGAGACTTGTCTCCGACTCTGAACATCAATCACATCTCAGTAATCCTGATCCACCAATGACCACCGCGGACTGGCCTCGATACTGCTGAGAATGGTTGCCTCATTCAGATATGAGAGGAATGTCTACCTACTCGTTTCGTCCGGAGCCTGCCGAAAAGCGACGATCCCTTTCGTTTTGAGGTCAGCCACGGTGAGACAATAGACCCAAGGGGGACCGGTCTGCATGGCATCTGGCTCAGGGGAGGTCCAGATGTTGGAAAAAAATGCTCCGTAGCACGAAAAGGCTTTACAGCTGACGATAGCGGATGCGTTCCGGACCCGCGGTGTTAGTCTGGGAGCCGATTTTGTAAAAGCACGGATGGCTTTGTGCTGTGGCGTGAGGGCGGAAACACTCTATTGAAAAACGGAAGTCACCCGGCAGGCCTGGGCATTCTAATTTAGGAGATGTGTTGTGGCATCTATTCTGTGGCATCAGATTAACACAGAATACACTTCGACTATACATTCCAGGGTAAGGCTTGAAATAAGGGGTAGGATAATTGGCCAGCAGCGGCAGTGGCGTGCTTGGGTAGCCATGCTCGGGGCTAAACCAATGATTCGAGCATCCCAGGGTGTTCGCGGGAAGGGAAATACTCAACTCAACCATTCGAGCTAGAGTGTCGCCCGGGAGAAAAAAAAAAAAAAAAAGGGTTGCACAACCTTATCTCAGCCCCCACCTTCGGCTGTGCGAGCCTCCAGACTAGGGAGAGGCACTGCTGCATGCAGTACAGGGATATGCCAACATTGGAAGCACCCGCCCTTGTATGTGCCTAGAAGGAAAAGCAACGGAGAGTACGGAGTAAATGTCAACAGTTGATTGAATAATCGTGATATGATGAGACTTGCCGTGCGGCTCAGCCTGCCAACTTACGTGGCAGATGTGCAGACAGGCCACCGATAGACGACTGCACAGCCGACACAAGTCTCGATCATCTCGCCTACGAGAGCCTATAGGTTCACAACGCGCTCCTCTGCTGTCCACAGATGGTCGAATGCTTGTGCAGAAAGTCGGGGCTGACCGCTACGATTGCCACGACTTTTGGCAGTTTTCTACATGAATCTCTCCCTTGTTTGGTCGGGAACAAATCTCACCGAGTCCTCTATTTCTTTTTGAAGTCAAGATCCTCAATAGCTCTCTCCATATCGAACACTGACCTTCCCAAATCTTACCCTGTCAGGCCCCCAGTCGTCCAATACGATGCCACCCAGGTATACAGCCACCCTAGCAGCAACCCTTGCTTTGCTGTCTGGCGCCAACGCATCCGAAAAGACCTCCTCATCTTCATCCTCCTCAGCTGCCAAAAACGGTTACGATGCCATAATATGTGGTCAAAACGGCTACGAAGATGGGTCCGGACTCTCGTGTAAGCGCTCCTGCCTTCTTCCATGTCTAAGATTGGAAATCCACTGACTGGCTCCTGACAACATGAAGATAGTGCAAATGCTTGGAATCCCTCTGACAACGGGTTTCAGTGCCTTTCGGTAAGCTCCTCTACGGACAGATGATATCTGATGGTGCTTTTGGTGCAGCCATCAGAAGTCCCCCGTGTCTTGACTGCCTGATCATCTGCACCCTACTGCAATTGCACGTGGTCGGGCTGGATCAGGCTGACAGTATCCTTTTCCACACCTTCGCTGACTCCTCCAGGTCATCAACGCGAGCTCCTCCACCGCCGGTGGCTTTGATGCGACGTGGAAGTGGCCGGGAGATCCCGGTTCAGTACACTCTTACCCGCATGTGACTTTCTCGTCGGGCGATCTGCCGCTTTCCGTGTCCAACATTTCCGCCCTGAGGTTGGCTGCATCATGGGCCTACTCACCTGGCACAGCTTTCAAAGCTGCTCCCGCCGGACGCCTGGATGTCTTTGATGCCAACGGCCTTGACGACGTCGGAGCAAAGGCAAATATCGCCTTCGACATTTTCATGGACCCTGACAAGCGCAAGGCAACCTCTGCCACGGCTGCCAAGTACGAGATGATGATTTGGATCGGGAAGGTTGGTGAGCCTCAACCGATTGGCTTCAGGTCTGAGAATGCCACCTGTTACACCCAGCAGCTGGGCGCTTTGAACTTGTAAGTTGTTGTTCCTGGACCCCACTACTATGTGTACAACATGGTCGTCCAGCTTTTCAGCTGCCCCTGAATGTAACCTCGGGCGGCATTGCAAGTGCACTCGGTTCTCAGCTCAGCCCAACCCGCCCCTGCCCCCTGTCAGTATTTGTTCTCATTGTTACACGACACGGGCTAGACACCCTTGCCTTTCTTTCTCCCTTGGCTCCATCTGTCACACCCTGCACTCGGCCGAGCGACGCCAAGTGGCCTCGTCCCGGCATGCGTTGCTTCTGCGTGGGACGAGCGGAGCTTCCCAGTGGCGCCAGCCCCAAGTTGTCGGGCATCCTTGACGGCGGCTTACCCCCACCCTCGACTTGCGTGTGCGAACGTTGACGTTCCCGTTGACGTCCTGAAGAAACTCACGTTGACTCCCTGCAGCACGCTATTCACCGGCCAAAACACCCGGGGCACACTGGTCTACAGCTGGGTGTCACCCGCAGACCAGATGTCCTTTGACGAGGACATCACGCCGCTACTGCAATACCTCTGGCGTAACGATCTCGTATCTGCCGACGCCCGGATCGGGCTTGTTGAGTTTGGCTCCGAAGCCTACCACGCCGGCAACAACGTAACCTTCAGCGCCGGGGATTTCAGATTGGACGTCTGGCCCGGGCCTCCTGTCAAGTTAGAACTGGACCCGGTGGCAGACAACTGCGACCCTCCCCAGAGCCCCGGGGGGCCGCAGTCGCCGGAGGAAGGAATCGGCGTCCGGGCTCTACAGACTTCGTTGGGGGGCATGTTGGTCCGGATGATGGCCGTCTTTCTTTCTGCAGCGACATGTTCAGGCTGGCTTTTTCAGCTGTAGTAGTGACCTTTCCAGTTAGCCCGTTGCTTGCTTGATTATTGTGAGCCTAGTTCAAAAACACTGTGCGGTCTCTCTATGTCCACTTTTCACCACTCATCGTTTCAGCACTATGACAAAATTCTCCGCGTGTGACGAACTTCACTCGTGTGCGTGCTATGATTTGCCAGGTCCTCAAATTTCTCCTGCAAAAAAAGTCGCGCTTCCTGACTTGTGTACCTTCACCAGAGCAAGTCGCTTTGCGAGGACGCCTTCCTGAAGTCCTCCCCCTGCTCATCTAGCATGCTCCTAGCGCAAAGCCACCGCGTATCTGCATACTTCTTTCGTCCTCCACGCTGATATCCGAGATTTCCTTCAGCTGACTGCTGGCTTCCGGAAATGGAATCCCTGCCTTCTAGCCTTTTCTCTATGTCTTGCTTCTAATCAGTCTCCCTTCCGGGTCTCTATCTTGGCGGGACCCTCCTAGTGGCGGTTGCACATCCAGACCTGAACATGCTAGACCCACATGTGCACTTGAATCCTATCAGAGCTGGTGGGCACACCTTGGATGGGCATGCACGGTTGTCCCTGTTGCCCGTAGTGAGCCAACAGGTGTGCGGACGAAGAGATCGTTGCCTATCCCTTAGCCACACCAAAGAGCTAATAACGCCACTTTAAGACATGCAACTGGATCAAAGCCCAGAAGCTTGGATCAAAGCCCAGAAGCGTGGATCGGGATTATTCCAGATGTCGAGATCTGCGGGCGGGCAGTCACCACCGCATAGCTCCGATAGTCTATTTTCCGATCATTGAATAACAGCTCTGGCCAGATGCTTGGCAAGCCGGTGCGGCAAACTTCCCCTTGAGATTGCGGCGCACTCGTCACATAATTAACGCCAACTCTCACCTGTTCTTCCAGTAGATTTCTGCTTTTGTTCTCGTGTCCATGCTCTAAAGACTTGGGCAGGCTTGGCCATTGTCCTTTGCACCACTGCTCGTTACACATCATCAGAATTCCCGCCACTCGTTCACTTGCATACTGTTCCCCTTCCACCGCCTTCAACTCGCTTCCATACGCATTTTCTTGTGCGATTCCGTTCACTCAAATCACCCTTCATTACACCACTTGATATCTTGCTGCAGAGAGACTCCGTCGTTCTCTAGCATGAAGTCCCCTCCATCGCCACCGGCGCCCGCTGCTGGCAATCCTTTCGAGGCCCGCGAATATCAACTCGCTCACAGCTCCACCCCGAGCAGCAGCGGAAGCTTGTCAGAAAGTTCCAGCGTGAGTAGAAGGTGTCCCCAAGCCTGATTCCAATACAAGTTATTAATAGTGACCATAGGACTCGTCTTTGCCCTCTGCGCCTGCGGCAACCCTCTCCCCGCCGTCTCAGCGAGGTCGTGATCAACCGCCCCGTCCCGCTCGCTCGGGTGAATCTGACCTTGAGATTGTAAGTCTTTGACGTAACATGTGGATGTATTTGTATATTAATAACAAGCTTCAGACTCCTGCTGGCGCTGTACCCAACTCGGGAACTCAAGCGGGTCCCAACGCCGAAGTCTTGAATGAAAAATGCAGTCCCTTCGACTCGGACCCAGAGTCCGGTGGAGCCCCAGGGGTATTTACCACTGCAGATAAGAAGGAGGCGGACAATTCTCAACCGACAGCTTCATCAACTGAGCCAAAGGTTAAGTCTCGTAACCCCTTCAAGCGGTCATATCACTGGATGCGGCGTACATACTGTCCCATCGAAGAGCCGCCTTTGGTCCTCCCAAGCTGCCCCACAGACGCCGAAAAGCTGTCGTATATCCACACCAACCGGATCCCGCTGTACATATTCGGAATCTTCTCCTTCCTCTCGCTTTCAGCGGGCATGTGGCTCTTCTCCCTATGCGCTACACCGTTCTACTTCTACGGGGCCTTTGTCGGCTTCCTCAACCTCTACCTGTTCATCAGCTACATGGTTGGCGTTGTCGGAAAGGACTGGGACTACGAGGCCCACAAGCAGCGGATCGAGCGGCACCCCCTCAACGCCGAGACGGCGCCGACCGTGGACATCTACCTCCCCGTATGTGCCGAGGAGGTCGAGATCCTCGACAACACGTGGAAGCACGTCACGCAGCTCGACTGGCCCGCCGACAAGATCCAGGTCCATGTCATGGATGACGGGGCCAACCCGGTCGTCCGACAGCTGGCAGAGCGCTACGGGTTCAACTATACAGTCCGCGAGGACCGCCCGAGGCTGAAGAAGGCGGGAAACCTGCGGTGGACGTTTGCTCGCACCAGCGGGGAGTTCTTCGCCATCTTCGACGCGGACTTTTGCCCGCGCCCGGACTTCCTCAAGGAGCTGATGGTCGAGCAGCTCGATGATGAAAAGGTCGCCATTGTTCAGAGCCCGCAGTTCTTCCGCGTTACTGATGAGCAGACTTGGGTCGAGCAAGGCGCCGGCGCGACGCAAGAGCTCTTCTACCGCGTTGTCCAGGTCAATAGGAACAGGTGGGGGGCGAGTATCTGCGTCGGAAGTAATGCCTTGTACCGACGCGCTGCTCTTGTGGACGTCGGCGGTACGGCGGAAATCGGTTTCTCTGAGGACGTGCACACGGGGTAAGTCGTCATCTCACCAGCGAAGAATGCGCCAAGGCTCACATAAACCATAGATTCGGTGCCGTCGACAGAGGCTGGAAAGTCAGATATGTACCACTGTGTCTCGCAACTGGCGTCTGCCCGCCCACACCACGTGCATTCTTCTCTCAGCAGATGCGCTGGGCACGTGGAAGCACTACGCTCCTTACCAACGGTCACTTCTGGGTTTCAAAGTTGACTTTGATGCAGAAAATCTGCTACCTCTGTGGTAAGTAATGCGAATTCAACCATAATAGAAACCATGCGCTAACAAAATATTCAAGGCTTCCTGTACTACTCGGCCGTCTCTCTCGGTATTTTCATCTCCCCCATCCCTGGAATTTTACTTCTTTGGTTCCGCCCGGAGTGGTTCAAGTACTACAACCTTGCCTTCGCTGTTCCCTCGCTCTTCTACGGCCTGGTCATTTTCCGAGTCTGGTCCAAGGCGTCGTACGGCATGAACGTCCAGCACATCATGCTGATCCAATCCTACGCCTATCTGACCGCCATCAAGGACCGCGTCTTCAACATTGAGCTGATGTGGGCCGCCTCGGGCGATGCCAAGGCCCACAAGAGCCACAAGTATCGCAACATGCGCATCCTCTGCTGGGTTTGGAGCATAGCTACCTTGGGCGGGATGATCAGCGCTGTGACATGGAGGCTGACGCATGGTTTTGAATGGTACAACCCGATCCCACTGATTGTGCTGAGCCTTTACAACATCTATGTGGCGAACCGCTTCCTCTTCTGCAACTGGTAGAGAGGGAGGACAGATGGGCACCATCCGAAGCAGGCGAGCCTGCGAGGTCTGCAAGGAACAAAGCTCATACATCCCCACGGGAACATTTTTCGTAGTCTCAAGTTGGCCTTTTCGGGTTCCCTGCATACGCGGCGCTAATACTGGGGGCAAAGCCTGGATTCGGCAATACATCTCCGAGTCGTAGACTCTGTGGAAGGGCGGGGCCTTAGATGGAAGAGTTGCTTAAGTTTAATAGATTAATAGGACAAAAGCTGGAGCTGAGCCAAGTCATTCATTATCATCCTGACCGCTATTGACACCCAATTGGTCCCCTCGAAGTCAGTAGCCAGCGGGTTGTTTCGTGCGCGTTTTTATAAGTCTGGTATAGAAGGCTGTAGAATTAATCACAAACTTGAGTTGAGGTCTAAAAGGGCTTTGCTCGGGTGTCCGGTACACGGCCGCAGCATCTATTCCAGATGTCCTCCCAACCTCCTATAGAACAGCCTACCAGAGACCACCTCCCGAGGATAACCGCCTAACCTCCCTTACGACAAATTAACATGAGACAGCATTTTAGAGGTTCGAAGCCCACATGGGTCTGCTAAAGCATCATATATTCTTTACGTTTTGCGCACGTGGTGGTGGCATGGTACTAATGCGTGCGATGCAACTAGAGCAGCAAGAGAACAACTCGTTGCCGTAAGAGCTCATCTAGTTCGACAGGTTGCTCCCTAACCCATGGACCGATGCAACCTGTATTCTGTGTGTTGGCTGTTTGGATGGATTTATGCCAGATGCTCAGTTTCCCCGTTCCCGTTTCCCTCACCCTTCTCCTGGATTTGCATCCGGCTCTCTCTTCTCTGCCATGGATTATCGCCACCCCAGCCGTGCTTCTGAACCCTCTTACTGGTTTTGACTGCATTCTTCTCCAGAAACAGCCAATCGATCTCCTCCAAAGTGAGATTGCTGGTCTCGGGGTAGCAGAAATATACAAGTGGGACGAATGCAAAGTTAAGAGCCATGAAGATCAGGTAGCCCTTCCACGCCAAGTTATTGAGAAGAGTTGGAGTGACCATGACAACAAAGAAGTTCCAGAGCCAGTTCGACGAGATCCCAACCGCGGTTCCTTTAGCTCTCACGTGTAATGCTAAGTATGACGTTAGTTCTGCTGCGGATCGTGAAGCGGTGCATTCTAGACCATTCCAGAACAAACAGAGCGACGGGAATTTGTGAGAGAGATTGGAGGAAGAGAGACACCTACGCAGAACCTCAGGCACATATACCCACGGAATACAGTTGGCGGTGGCTCCAAAAATGAGCATGTAAGTGAAGAAGAAGGTTACGCTGGCGGAGGATGTCGCCTTTGCCAGGTCGCCACCTCTGCTCTGGAAGCTGAGCAGGATTGAAATCATCATCATTGAGATACCGAGTCCAAAAGAGCCCCACATCATCGGCTTCCGACGGCCATACTTGTCCTACATGGTTTGCGGTTAGTTTCTCTTCTCGGAAGGATGGAAAGGATGCGTACCAAGAAGAATGTTGGGAAAAGGGAGCCGAAGAAGAACATGGCGTTGATGACTCCACCTAAGAGCAAAGACAATTGCCGAGAGAGCCCGACGTTGAGTTGCAAGACAGAAGTGATGTAATAAACGACCAGGTTGATGCCGCCCATTTGGTTCATAAATTGCATGCCATATGCGAGAAGAACCCTCCTTCCCGTCTGGACTTCATCCCTCTTCAGAAGGTTGGACCAGCGGTACTCGCCATGCTCCCGTTCCATCTTGAGGGCTTCCAGAATCTCACCATGTTCCTTGGCTATCTTTGAGTCTTCAGGAGGTCTGTCGTAGACCTTGCAAAGTACTGCCAGGGCTTCCTCCTCTTTTCCATGAGCATACAAGTATCGAGGAGATTCGGGGAGGCCAAACACCATCACGATGACGACGAAGGCGAACAGCATCTGGCACGCGATCGGAAGTCGCCATGCAATAGATCCTGGAACGAAGCTCATGCCGTAGTCAAACCAGTACGCGATTTCGATGCCGACACCCACGAAGAGAGGCTCAGAAGAGACCAGCCGCCCGCGCTTGGACGCTTCGCAGAGCTCGGATTGGTACATGGGTACCGTGCTTGTTTCGATGCCTGTGCCGATGCCGGTGATGAATCGCGCGATCATGATGTGAGGTACCGTGAAGGCGCTTGTTTGTAATGCCGCTCCGACCTGTACTTGAGTTTTAGCCTAGGTCGTGTCCAACTTGGTCAAGGGGGATGTGCTCACTATAATGAATACCATCGCAATCCACATCGCGAGCCTCCGACCAGTCTTTTCACAGAATATGAATGATAGTATACATCCCGAGAAGCAACCCAAATTGTATATGCTCACGATGATGCCCTCGAGGCTCTATAGTGGTGACGTTAGTCCTGCTGCGGATCCTAAAGTGTTGCATTCTGGAATGCTCCAAAACATGAAATACGGGGACCCGCAAGAGGAAAAAGGTGATACTGACGGGATTCGGATGCCCAAACTGTAGGGTTTGTCAGCAGTGTCACTGGTGGGACAATCTGTTGTAATAGTGGCTTACTGTATTGAGGAAATCTTCGTTGCCCACGATGCCGCTGAAGACTCCTTGATCGTATCCAAAGAGAACGAACGCCTATTTCTGATTAGTCACAATGTCATATTTCTGTTGAGAACTGCACAAGCAGGAGACAGATGGGCACATCTGAAGAACGAGTGCCCAATCAAGTCGACTCCACACAACAGAACGCAAGACGTCAACAATAACATGAGGCGAAGGGTTCGAAGTCTTACCATTTGGCATGCCACCGTAATAGCGATGCGAAGTTTTCTGCCCCGACCGAACCATTGTGTTTGAATCATGATGTGCAGCTTTCCCGACTCACCGGATCTGCTCGAACGGTCGTCGCAGAAGAGAAGAATGGATCAATCAGATCTTGTAAAACAGAGTAGGAAATTGGGGAATTCTGCATTAAAGTGGTGGCCGGTCATGTCGTTGCATTTTGATCTGTTCATGGTACCCTGTCCGCCTCGATCTTGCCCCTCAGATCCACTGCCGTTTTCCGGCGTTATTCCGATGTCAGATCATCCAGCCGGCTTGCCTGAACAGGACGAGCCGGCCGCAGCGCGTACTAGCGAGGCAACAAAACCAAGACGGCGTCATACGTGACTGGAGCGCATCCAGGCCGAAACGTGGGGAATGATCGACAAGCTCGTCGGTTGTGGTCCGATACCCCAGACGGGACCCATATTTCCGGGCAATTCCCCAGATTCCAAAGATGCGACTCTGGGGTAGTATCTAATGGGACGAACATGGTAGTGACGTCGTGGATACCGGCCCGGGCAAGTCTGCATGAGCACATCAGCTCTCTTCACCCTCGCGAATTCCCCAGCTTCGCCCCACAACGTTGAAGAAAAGTCCCCAGTATCTTAACAGTCAGTCAGCGCTTCTAGCCCCACGCAGATGCGCTTAATATCGGGTTTGTCTGATCTTACTCGTTCCAAATGTGGCAACGCGCAAAATATCCCATCCGTGCACATCAAATATGTTGCCTCCATTGGGTAACTCATCTTGTGCCGCTCCACTCCCCGCACGTGTACCTAGTTGCAAATGAGCCTTGGGGCTACTTGCGAACCGCGGCTCTGTATCCGTGGCCTTGGCGGAGCGTGTCATAACAGACTCTCCAATGCGAAATCACGATCAGGGACATCCGGAGGGGAATACACCGAGGCGATGAATTATATATGGCACTTATTAACGCATTGTCTAAACAGAAAGATTCCAAGGTTTTGTAATGTTGAGTTCAGAATTAGCTTTAGAGGTGACGCTTCCAACGACACAATTTTGCCTGCAGCAGGCAGAGGCTTCATGAGGTCTGCTTGTTTCACCAAGCCTCACAGAATTTGTGTTTATAGTTGGGCCAACTGGAGGCATGTAGTAAACTGCCAATAGGAAATATTCCAAGCATCAGAAGGTTGGATGAGGCGATCACCACTGGCCACCAAATGCTGTGAGTTTGGTATAGCGGAGTGTGCCATAGGACCAAAGAATGCTGAAGGAGTTTCGGGCCGGAGCAGGAGGGCATTGCTTGCATCTGGATGGTACGGGCAGTTGAAATTGATCATGTGTCGTTAGTGGACTGGAAGATGTCTCACAAAGCAATTACAAGTGTGGGCCCGGATGAGTTGGCTTGAATTCTCAGGCGTGGGGGACTAGTCGAGACCACAGACATTGTAAGCTATATAAGGCAGTTTTCTGGTTGATTTGTGCAAAGCTTTACAAGTTTCTCAATTTCAGAAATAGCCCACCGTAGAGTCCAGATCTGCTTATCGTCAGGCTAGACTAGGCCTAACTTAAACCCTCCGGATACCTCCGGGATCGCAATCAAAAGTACGTATAATGTTGTTCCAGTAACTGGTGCTTTGGAGAGAAACCAATAACATAAACACACCAGGTGATAATTGATACCGACATACTCTCAGCTGGACTACGAGTACTGAAAGTTATCTATTCTAAGTGTGGCTATATGAAAAATGACCTCGCACCACTTCGCAGTCCTGGCAGGATCCGAGGTGCCCCTTACACGCAAGCCACACAGGAGAATGCCTAGCCACTAATGACCCCGAACTTGGTAAGCACCCTGGGCAGTCAGTTGCACTTTCACGACCAGCCCCACGGTGCCGGGTTGGAGTTTATCCATAGCAAAATTTTGTTCGGTTATAATACAGCCTGTAGTCTTCCTAGCTTAACGAAAACACAATTTATTGCTTCATATAGTGATGAAGCTAGACATTGGCTTCATCCAAATATCACAATCTGAAGGAACATGCAAATTAATATCCCTTGGCTATCCCTTGGCTACAGATCCACTCTATCATTATAGGACAATGTACTCCTGTACAGATTGAACACCAGCTATTGACAGAAGGACGTCGGAACAAAGTCACGCTTATAGCGGTTCCAGAAATCTTATGTGCCAATTGAGGGAATGAAATTTGATTAGTCCGGCTCGGATTAGTCTAGAACATCCAATCGCCTAGCGTTCAAGTGCTACGGCAGCAAGGCGCCCACGATGCAACCCTTACACATGAATGTTGCAAGCCATGGATGCTTACAACAACCCAAAGCTCTCAATTAAGGTAAGCTCGCACTACCGACCAATAGCCCTAGCTTACTTAGCTGATCAGTCCACGGGGAACCACCACTTGACCCAGTGCCTTTCCTGCCGCCTAGTGACAACATGAACTGGTCCAGAATTTGGACTTCCGAGCCGAAAAGCGATCTAGCCACTCGGGTGATGTACAGCTTCCAAGACACCACATACATGCCGAGCTTTTCTACTGCTGCCTGGATATTTCCATGTGTGGCTTATGCAGGCACGCTGCAGGGACTTCTCATTTCATCTCAAGTTTGGTACAGTGTCCAAAGGTGGCATCTTGACACCCACTTGAACATGGCCAAGAGTCGAGACTGGTCCATTGTGTGTGGGCTAATTTAAGTTGATTTCTGAGCCACTAGATGATACTGTTGAATTAAGCATAGTGTTTCTGTTCTGTCTTGTCTTGAACTGTGCCAAGACCATCTATCCTTCTGGCTACCATCAATAGTGATTACAAGAAGGCAGCAAGAATACGAAATAACACATACTAGTCAGCAGCAAGGTTTTGTTTCGCACAGTGATTAGATATCACTTCCAGGCAACAGCGTTACATTCCAAGTTTGAAATCAGGAGAAGGCGCCTACAAGAAAAAATTGTAGAAGGATATTATGCACACATTATATCGCTCTTCGTTCGACTTTGGCAAAACGTTTCCGTAAGCTGATTTGTCAAATACCACAATGCTATTGTGACCGGGAATCTGCTTATAGCATCCAATAGCACCTGGTGGATTGTCAGTGACTGTCATTCAGTGCTTCGTTCCCCACGAAACTATCGAGCCCGCATTATTCTCAAGGCTTAGACCCGTTGAGACTGGATGATCACGCATTGTGTCAGGGGAGTAAAGTCGGGGTCCAGCTACGAGTGCCAAGGACACTCGATGGATCATACGGCGCATCCGAAGCATTTGACCGTGGTCAAATAGAACCTCACCAGTAGATATGCCAAGCATCCGTACAAAATGACCAGGAACCAGACTATGTTCTCGTGTAAGCAACAGGTTACATTGGTGGCTTGAAACTTGTCTGGAGGTAGATGTCCGCCCTTATGCTCATGAAGATTCCGCGCAGTGAAAGAGCGTGATACGCCTACTCGGCGTGGAATATATATACTGCCCTGTCAAATCTGCTAAAATATGCCCCGGGCTGCCATGATCCTACAGCATTCGCCAGCCTTTTAGAAGTTCTTAGAAGTTTCTGCAGTCAAAACTATCTCCACGATGGCCAAGGTAGTGACGGGTCTTGTTGCATTGTGCATTGCTCAAACAGCTTATTCACTCCCCACGGCCGAGAATGAGCCAGTGTGGATGCCCTTGGGTGTTGGCCCCCCAGTCGAGTCCGAGGCCAGCATCGCAAGCATCGAAGACATTCTAATTCCTGAGTTCATCACCCTCGACGCCGACATTCTGCAGAGCGTTATTGAGAGCAACGTCACGGAGGTGCCGCCGTCGGATTCTGGCAATGTTGCACTGGCCGAGAAAAGGGGGATTATCGGAGGAGTGGACAACCGCGTCCGCTGGACCGACAGAAACTTCCCATACTCACCTATCGGCCGTCTCGAATTCGGGGGCGGCTTGTGCTCGGCGACACTGGTTGGTCCGCGCCACGTTGCCACGGCCTTGCACTGTATCCCAGAACAAGGAACTCCGATGACATTCCGACCTGCATATGCCGGCGGAGATACCTATCCATCTTCGCAGGTTCAGTATGTGCTCAACTCGGGCGTACCTATCGGGGCCCCATGCTGGGAGTTCAGTGACTGGGCCATCCGTAAGTTTCCTGGCAACTCGAGTCGAATTGAAACCCCAATCACGGTTGCAGAGACAATAACAGAAGACTTACGTTCTTCTAGTAATCCTCAAGGACCGCATAGGCGACCAACGTGGCTACTTTGGGGCCAGGGTCACCGAGGATCAGCACCTCAACAAGAACGTCTGGTACCACATGGGCTACCCAGGCGATAGGGATGGCGCCTCCCAGCCTTACCGCCAGGGAGAAATCACAGTCTCGAGGCTCAACACGTTCTCGGGTTGCCCCAACGAGAGACGGGCTATGATCGTTACTGACGCTGACGCCCAGCCTGGCCAGTCTGGTGGTCCCCTCTGGCTGGGCCCTGAATGGGACGTCAATGGCAACCGCTACGTCTATGGCGTCTGCAGTGCGACGAGCGACCTTGACACGGCCTTCTCAGGCGGAAGTGTCTTCAGTACGTGTATTCTTCCCCTGTGTCACTTGGTGATTGCGTGGCCGCCCACCGTTGTGGGTCAGTATCGACCTCCATCATTCGGGCCGATCGAATGAAAGAATCTTTAATTTCACGAAGCATGTTAAACTAAATACGTCTTGTTTTATCACTAACATGCCTATAGCTCAATGGGTCGCAGCTGCTAGGACCAACTACCCCTGATCCTGGAATTGGATCCACGGTGACAAGATATGCAGCCTTGTCAAGCGAAGGGGGCGGGAACAAGTATCACAGTTTGGGTGCTAGATTATTCCCAATTAGATAATTGGCTTCCAGGGAAATGGGACGCGTATGCGCGCATGCGCGGCTCTAATATTCGCCGTTTATACTGCCAACTTCAGATATATAGTTTATGCAGCCATATACCTACTCTGTCCGTATACACTAGGCAGACCGTTTTTGAAATTTCTCATTTGACACTCGTGTCAACGACCAAACATGTCACCAGATGATACTTGGATGCACGGTATCTCGAGTCTCAAGCGACCCTGGACGACCGGACTCGACTGTCGAGCAAGTCCCAGGCTGAGTGTTAGGGTCGAGAACATTGTTTCAGCGTGAATCTTAAAGACAGTATATATTCAGGTACCAATCGAACCCAGGTGCCGATGCAATGAGAAATTGCTCTGATAGCCCAGCACAGCTTTGAAGATAATCCAGTTGCCGAAGATCCTAAACAGCGACCGACATGGGGCTGCAACCTTGTGTACGTAGACATCCAACACCCTCTGATCTATGCAATGCATATTACCGGTGTTTCCGAAGACCTCGGTAGCTTTCGCGTTGAGCCGGGCAGCCGGCGTCGAGCCGTGAACGTTCGCTCGGCTGACACACTAGGACGAGGACCCGGTCGATCAAGAGGCACACTCGAGTTTCTCGCGAGTTACAAGTGCAGAACCATGAGAACTGATGGAACATGATTAATTTGGGGATACCAGCTTCATGCGCCAGTGGTTTTGCCTCTGCTGTGATGAACGCTTTCTTGGGGACGCAATGCGAAGCTGGAGCTCCAAACAGCGACGCGGTCAATGAATGCACACAACGATTTGAGGTGTACCCCTTTCGCTATGGTCCTGAGGTTTGTAAACACATCATTGGGTCGTCAGCCACCTCAAGCACCGGAGCCAGGTACCCTCGCCGAAGAAGCGATCACACTGCGTGGCACAATAATTGAGGACTTCTTTGGCTGGCTACAGAATGAGCCCACCCCAGCTTGATTGACAACGCGCACACCTGCCCTTCCTTCCAAGGTTTTGTCTGGATATTCAACGGTTCTACAGTCAACTATTTAGGGCATAAAAGCACGGAGCGCCTTAAGCGCAGAGTGATCTTGGGTCCGGAATATGCCTTCCCGCGCCTTGGGCGAAGCATAAGCTGTTTCCTGTCCACTTACGATTTCATCGAGACTATCATCTCTGAGTTCGGTACTCGGCTTGTTGAGAAACTCTATCCCAACATTGTGAGCTGATGTACGAATTGGGACAACAATGTATGATTGCGGATCGATGAAGCAAACAAAACATGACTCGGGCCAATCGGCAGTGATAGCATACCACAGTAGCGTTGATCGTTGCTTGCCTTGGCCCTAAAGCCCACTGAGGGTAGCATCGACCCGTTGTCCGTGAGTGAACCCGTGCGACGCCAACCTTTAATAACTGGAGTCAGTCTCCGAAACAACCCGTGCGAGTGCGATTGTTGGTGATAGTTTGGATACGCCAACATCGAGGGGGGCAATGGATTCCCATGAAACTCTTCAGCGTCCAGAAGCGCTGGTGTTTGACAGTGGACGCAAAGCATGAATTGAACGTCGGCAACAATTTTGGAAGCCCGCCTCAGCTGAAGCTCAGCGCAGCGCTGATAAGCTCCCTAGTCCAACAGCCATGAAGGGGGTTGTGGTGGACGTCACCCTCACCGGATGGCCAAACCTAAAAAAGCCCCCACAAGCCGACATTGCCTCAATAATAGCAGTTACTCCGGGGCGCGCGTGCCCAGATGTAACCTTATTTGTCGACCCAGAGGCTGGGACCAGGTGCAGGTCAGAGCAAGATTCGGTAGAACTTAAATCCCAATAACCTCTCCCTTTGACGTCGCCGTAGCGTCTACACGAACCGCCAAGAGGCCTGGCGAACATGCCACGAGAAGTCTCCATAGAACCCCAGACCAGCGATGGGGACACCCAAGGCGGGCCGGGAATGAATGCGGGGCCCCGCAGCCAGAGTGGATCGTTCTCCGCGGTCAGCTTTCAGGGATGGAAGCCATGGATGAGACGGACCCGAGGAGGCTGAGGTGGTCATACGGCCCAGGTAGCGTGAAGATAAAGCGCCCGTGTCGTGCGGCCATAAGAGGACCCGCGGTGGTGCCGCCATTGATGGGTAGGGGGAAAGAGAGCCAGCGCTTTGGTTCGGGACGCAAAAGCAAACAGCTGTGAGCCTGACTGGTGTGAAACAATGCGCGTATTGGCTTCCAAGCTTTCCAGAAAGATGTCAGATCGAGTCACACTGGCAGCACCATATCGCTTGCTTAAGCCCGCAGCTCGGCCAGCAATGTGGTAGTGACAATGTGATGTGGTTGTATTCGATGAGGCACGGACTGGTGTGACAGCAGCACGCCCCAAACTTGAAGGGCCAAAGTTGAGCCTCAACGTCGCCGATCGTCCCCAAACCGGCCACGGGTACGATCTCGCCCAACCGCCCGCAGGGCTGCCTTCACGACGGGGGAGCCCCCCTCTCCGATCAACACAACCTCGTGTGGCCCAGAATCGGCGCCACGTTGTCTAGCCTCTGCGACCGTAAAAACTACACGCCGCCCCAGATCCGGCTAAGTTTGACCAAGACAAGCGCAAGGGACTAGTGGCTCATTCGAAGAGAGTAGTTCGATGGCGCCAAGGACCTAGAGAGCTCTCCCGCTGGCCGGTGGCACTCGCTCACCGTAGCATCAAATAGCACGCATCATCTATACATCCCGTAGCCTCCCCCAGAGATCGAGGAGATGTTCAGGACTGCCTGCGCCGGCCAAGGGCGCTGATGCTCGACTCGAGGCGTGATCGTCAGCCTGGCAGGCGGGATTTGCTCGACGCGCAACTGTTGGACGCGACTAAGCCCTTTGAAGTCTGTCACAGCGAAACCTAATGCAGTGACTCGCAGGCCTTGGCGGGGGTCAGGCTGTCCTAGGAATTTCAGTCCCGCGGCCAGGGCTCAGGGGTCCAGCATGTTCATGTTCCATCCGTGCGGGGAGCAGAAATTAACCCGGCGAGATGCCTTATAGCTCCCCTGGTAGCGCCGGGCGACGCATCCGAGTCTGACCAGGGGGATATCTACTCAGTCTCCTTTTTAACTGTCTTGTTCCTGCGCGTCTGAAGCGGGAATCCATCCTCTTCGGTCACTCGATATTGACACCTCACTTAATCCACTTCAACAGGAACACTCAGCCAACATGGAGATGGACGAGATCCAGGGGCAGAAGGGCCCGACCGTTGACCACGTTGATAACCGAGGAGACCTAGAGAGCCCAAGCACGGACAGCTACCAGCGGGCCGGGCAGCAAGTTCAGCTGGCGCCAGATGCCCCAGAGCCGAAAGTCTCGTTATCAACGTTGCTGGCTGTCTTTGTCAGTCAATGATACCCACAAGACACTGTGATTGAGGGAAATTAATACTAATTCTGGGACGGCAACAGTTTATGGGCCTGTCATATGTCCCCGCCATCAGTGCTGGTCTCCTACTTCCCACTGGTATCCTGCAACAAATAGGACAGCAACTGGGCGACACAGATAATATTATATGGATTCCCGGTGGCTGGTCCGTCGCTTCCGCCGTGGCCTTCTCCATTGCAGGTGGCCTCAGTGATGTATTTGGTCGCCGCTGGGTGCTCATGTCTGGACAACTCTTCACTCTGATCGGTGGTGTAAGTTTTGACCCTCTCCTGGAGGCGAATACCGTACTAACAAGCATGCAGATTATTGCTGCGGTTGCAAACTCGACTCTTCAGGTCGCTGCAGGAACGACTATTATGTGAGTATCGGAAATGTGCTACTTTCTCTTTGCACGAGTTTACTGACCGGACATAGCGGATTCGGCGCAGGCACCATCTTCGTCGGATATCCCGGAATTTCAGAGCTGCTCCCCAATAAGTACCGGTACGTCAATCTTAGTAAAGCGATTCTATATACTCGATCGTGATGCTGACAATACACAGAGGTATCGGTCTCGGATGGACAGAGTTCTGCATCAACATCCCTTGGGGTTGCCTCAGCGTGTACCTCGCTACCCAGCTCCTGATCAAGGCGACATGGAGGTGGTGCTTCTACATCGCCATCATATACGCTGTGATCTGCATCGCCGGCACTTTTGTTTGCTACTTCCCGCCTTCCCGCCCGCAGCATGATTTCGAGAAATCCCGTTGGGAAGAGTTCAAGGAACTTGACTTCATCGGCCTTGCCCTCTTCACCGCCGGTCTCTGCATCTTCCTCGTCGGGATGACGGATCTGGGACATACTAGCTACTCTATCCCACTTGTTGCCTCGACAATCTCCATCGGAGCTGTCATCTTTGTGGGCAGCTTCTGGTACGACTTCACCAAGCCGAAGAACCCGATCTTCCCCTTCAAGCTCTTCGCCATGTTCCGGGAGTTCACGGTGCACCTGATCATCCTGTTTATCTCTGGCATGGTCTGGCAGGCTATCGTCACACTCGCGCCGCAGATCACTTTGTACGCCTTTACGAATGATCCTGTCGAGATTGGTGTCATCATGATTCCCTCCACGATGTCCGGTGTTCTGGGAGGCTGGATCATTCCGTCCCTTGTCCACAAGATCAAGCACGTTCGGCATCAGATCATCTTTGCCCTTTTAATGCAGTGTGCTTTCACCGGCGCCTATGCCGCAGTTGTCCCATCGAACAAGATGGCGTGGAGTGCGATGCAGCTGTTTGGACAGTCCTGTTTCACGTGAGTCCCCTGTACCTGACCGCGAGTTGTATTTGGTGGCCCGATTTGCTCACAACTCTGATAGCTGGGTAACAACCCTCGCGTACGTCGCTTCCGGCCTATTCGTTCCAGTAGAGGAGCTCGGTGTCAGCGCCGGTCTCCTAGGAACCTTCCGCTCAGCAGGCGGCTCTGTCGGCAACGCCATCTTCAGCACGATCATGACCTCGGTCGCCAACAAGAACCTGGGTCCCAACCTCGCCGGGGCCGCGATCGGCGCGGGCTTTGACCCAGCGAATCTGAGCGCTCTGATCCCGGCCGTCATCCAAAATGCCGTCGGCGTCCCCTTCGCGTTCGACGGCGTCCCCGGCGCCACGCCCGCCGTCATTGCCGCCACGGGCGCCGCGTTCAAGGAGACGTACTCGAACGCCTTCAGGATGGTCTGCTACGCTACTATCCCGTTCTGCCTGGTTGCCACTGCTGTAGCGTTCTGGGTTAAGGACCCCTCGCACCTGTTGAACAACCACGTTGCTGTTCAGCAGGAGAAGGAGGTGCTCTCTGGGGTTGAGCGTCGTCCAGAAGCTGTGGTTGGGAAGGCGGTCGATGATAGCTACAGGATGTAAGGGGGCTGTTGTGGCGAGTGGCTGGCCACAAAATCATTGTTATTGATCTGTCCATGGTTCTTCGATCTGAGGGGATACTAGCGTCTTGTCTCTGTTTCTCAACAAAATCATTGTATATGTGAAAAATATGCATCTGATATTAAATAATTGAAAGCTATGGAATATGCACAACCATCTATAATCGCATGGGCACCTACCCGTTCAATAGTGTGTTTGAAGCCCACGATCGCAAACGTCAGTGGGCACTCGAGGTCTGTTTTATCTTCATGAGTGCGGCAATAAGAATCTACTTGAAATGTTCTCCGCCTTGAGGCACCGCTTCCCTTGGTTAATTCAATGTAAAAAACGATTTCGGTAGAATTGGACCTGTAGTCAGCCTGTCAAATAGAGCATAATGGGGCTGGGAGCAGGCTTCCAAGGTTCCAAGGTTGCCTAAAGCGAAGCAAGAATAACTGACCCACAAGGCAACATGCATCCCCCATACAAAGACCTTAATTTATGATATGAGCTTATGATACATATTAAAAGCCCTAGATTAGGGGTATAGTAATAGTAGTAAACTAGGGCTGAGCTATTTGGCTGGGAGTACTTCTTCCCCTATACTTTCGATTTCTTGCCTTACGAATCTATGTTCTCAAAATGATATATCACAGCACAGCCCCTGTGGCTCAAGTACTATTTATGTGGTCATCTTCTGTAGCAGATTCCTCCATGGGATGTTATTCCATAAGCGAGCGCCCCATATGAGGGTTGCATCGGAGATGATCCTGGAGGAGGTTGTCATATAGGGAGTTAGTTTAGAGAGGGGGCTGTTGAAATAGAGTGTCCGCGTAGGGTAGACTCGAGTAATAAGTTCGTATCATATGATCATCGAGTGTGAGTTGGCGCATCGCCCTGCTTGGATGAAACGGCCGTTGGCATCTCTAGGACATTCGCATTGCTCCTGAATTGCAATGTAGCGTTCTTTCTTCTCTCGATGAGACACTCGTCGGTGATATTACCTGGCATCCAGATGTACAACGTCTCAGACCTGATTGAACGATAAGTTCGGATAAATCCTTGGTGGACATGTCTTGCCGCCAAGCAATGAGTGAATTTCGAGCGAAACAAGCTCAGGATCGCACAATGATACGTGTTCGACTCGGAGTCATCCTGGATAGAATGTTTCTTCCCTTGTTCAAAGAGAGCAAGATTCACGAGGCACCAGTCTCCGCCATTTGCTTGACCTACAGAAACGCTCGATCTTCTTAATCTCCCCTTCGCTGTGCAAATATCCTCCTCGTCTGATTTGCAGTCAGTGTGCCAAGGCATCTAGAATGGTCGGCGATGCAGCACGTATTCCCCGGAAGATATCCCGCCGGCCCGGGCCCGGTTGAAATAGATCAGCAAGCTAGGTGCCCGGAAAATAAGATCGCTCGGTGATGCAGCTGCTAGAAACACTAAGTGAAGTGTATTTCCATAGTCCTGGAAGCCGAATCAAGACCATGCTTATCGCACAGGCTGATGTGACTGGACTTGCACCGTAAATTGTCGAGTAGGTGTCAAGCCCTATCACCCCAACCATCACCTAGGGCCCAACCACTGGTGGACAAAGAGGAGGCAGGGAGCAGTGTTCTAGAGTACAGCTGAATCTTCTAAATTTATGTATGGCTTCCACATGTAATAAGAAAGAGAACGGAGATTCACACAGAAAAAAACAGAGGGTACACAGATACAATGCACCCCCAGTATACCAACCTTAATTTACACCACCCACTCGCCATACAAAACCGAAATTTACACTCATTAACTACACATATCCTCATCAGCCCTCGATTTCTAATCCTCCTATCGTCGCTTTTGGTCTGGTGGTTTGCTACTTCTTTCCTCCTCGTCGCCCAGGGCGCTCTAGCGAGTCGCCAAGCACTACAATCTCCTCCTAGGTCTCCTTCTCATCGCCGACAAGATCCTCCACAGTCAAGTCAACCTATAGCAGCTAGTTAATAGTCCCACAAACCCTCGTACAAGGCTTCTTAGCTACTAACCCTGGTGTTAGGTAGGTGGAGGAGGAATGGCAGGTCTACAGGCAGAAGGGGGCACAAAAGCACTTAATGTGGGTGGTGCGTGTGGTCGGGGGGTTGAATGGAGCCCTCTGATTGGCTGCAGTTTGGGGGGGGGGTAGTGTATCTGTGTACCCTCCGTTTTTTTCTGTGCGAATCTCCGTTCTCATAAGAAATCAGAATGCCATTAACGTTACGTCGTAGTCTATATCTGTCGATGCGAAAGATCTGCAGCTGGACCCCATGCAAGGATAGACGGTTTCATGACAGTGAGGGCTGAACGCGGACTTAGAGACGCTGCTGTGGGTCATTTATTCAGTGCATCTGATGATGGTTGGATTCTCAGGAACGACGCGCGGGCAGCCACGTCGAGTGGTTATTATAGTCTTCTGGCCGAGCAGTCTTATAGCCGAGCAGTCTGTGGCGTCAGCAGTCAACCGAGTAAACACCGTTTGCTGACTTGCACCATTTTGACCAGCCAAGGTAAAGGGGCTACATCACCCTGACCCTGACCGGCTGGGAGCTGCGACAGCGCTTGGCTGCGCCTTTTATCCACAGTGAGTAAAGGGTGAATTTCTCTCCAGCAATCCCGGGGCGATCTTGCATCATAAGCTGGTGCATGAGAGAGCGCAAGGCTGAGCGGGCATGATTAAGCAGTGCAAATGGCAGAGGAACCAATCGAGTTGGTTGATACAACGCCCAATTCACGCCTGGCCGTAATTTTGTGTCACATTCAGTACCTGGAGCAGACATTTATGGCTAAAAGCCTGATTTGAGCGTGGAAGTGTCCGTCGAGAGATACTGGGGTAACCAAGTCTACCATACAGCTGGGTCCTGACGGACTCTCTCTCGATTTCTCATCAGACTACCAGGCGCTCTGCAAGAAGACACCGCACGCAGCTTTGGACCCAAATCAGGACCACGCAACCAAAACCAGATAATTTACTACCACGACCATGAGGTGGCTTCGTTCTCAATCCGTATACGTCACGAAGGCGTACGGTCCCTTAATCCAATGGTAAACTCTCAAAGGCCCAGCTTAAAAAATCACAATTAGCGACGCCTGAGCACGTAGGCTCAGCCTCGTGCCGCAGAGACGATGCTAGCGACAACCAGTTCTGGCAGTGCCGTCTACCACACAATACAAGCGAAAGATGCCACTTGAGGTGGTATGTTCTGGAACCGGATCTCGACGAAAGTCGTCAACAGAGAAGCATGTGCTATCCCCTTTTCCTAGACATGTCTTCTTCCCTGTTTCGAACACTCAATGTCCTCGCCTGCCGCAGCCTCAACTTGAATGCTGTTGCCATTGCTGATGCTGCAAGCGCCATTGTTCGTACGACAAACGCCATTGCTCATACCGTAAGCTCCATTGATAGTCTTCGAAGCTCAACCCGGCTTCTAGCAGCCAAAGCGTCCCAAGTCCGATCATCCAGAACATCCCGGCCCCCACCGACCATGCTATGTCTGCCTTGGCCGTCCAGGCTATCGAGAGCCCGACCGCGTAGATTGCGCCTGTATGCATCGCCCAGAGCTTCGTGCACGCCATAATAAAGGGTTGCTTCTGCTTCTGCGGCTCTGGTGGCAGCGATGGAAGCTCTTGAGGTTGCGGGTGCTCTGGAGCACGCATGCTGTGGATATTGACAGGCTGGAGATTTCCAGGATCCGCAGTCTTAGAAGTGCTAGCATCGGATTGAAATCCATGCCTGTGGGCACATTTTCACTGACCACGAGACGCTGTGTCGAGGACGTCCTCAATGGCAAGGGGCGCAGAGCTCTCGGCTGGCATCGCCGCAGCCGGAAAGGCACTGGAAGGCCGCGAGGTAGAAATACCAAGAGCGATGGGAGCAGCGGCTTCAGCTGCCCTGTGAAGTGGTAGTTCGTGCGGAAGTGGGTTTACGGGGCGATCGGCGCAAGGGGACCGGGGGTCTGGGTGTCGGTCACGACGAGTGTCTAGGGAGACACATTCTTCCGTGCTTTGTCGAGGCTGAGTAGTGGCATTCCCGCGAAGCCCTTCTCGAAGCCCTTCTCGAAGCCCCTGTCGAATCCCCTCTCGAAGCCCCTCTCGAAGCCCCTCTCGAAGCCCCTGTCGAAGCTCTTCTCCAAGCTCTGCCAGTGGTAGGACATAAGGAGGTGGCGGAGTGTCATCTAGAGACTCGGGACCTTGCTGTGGGCTTGGGACCCCAAATGATTCTTCCAGAGGCCTTGTCTCGCGATTTGATTGCCTTCTGCCTGACAGGCAAGTGTAGAGGCGGCCAGCCATTGCATGCATCCAATTCCTGGGACGCTCAGCCTCAGGTGGGGGTCGTCGGCTAGCCGCGGTTGGTAGGATTAAACAGTCATGTGTGATCTGAATGGCGGGCAGGGGGGCTCCGCGGAAAGGCCAGTAGATTTCTGAGTGTTGATGGCAGTGGATGGCCTTCAGTTGTGGCCTGGAGTTGTGGTTTTGGGGAGCAAGTATCGTTGGTCGGAAATTCGTGGAAGGCATGGGTCGTGATGTTGACGGATGAGTGATGGTGATATCATTGCAAATAGAAAGGCGAAACTAATTGCAAGCTTTCCTATTCCCTTCCATTTTCAAGGCTTCTGATTGATGGCCAAGTGTCTGCATTCTCACTGTCCGGTGCTGTGGCGGCTCCATCGGTGCGACGCGTCAGTACCTAGGTAGGTACTTACTTGGGCAAAGTCATTGCCCAAGCGTGCAGCTAGCCTTCCCAAGACAGATAGGTGTATCTAGTGACCTATTATTCAACCGCTAGGTGCCAACCATTTGAGAAGTACACGGACCTTATTGAGTACCTACACGCCTCCAGCCGCCCGGGCGTGCCAGGCAATTACCTGCTGGACCTCGGGTGGATGTCCCTCAGCTCTTACCAGGAGGACAGCTGTGTCCGGCAGCAGCTGTTACTTGCTCAAGATCGAGTGGTTCGAGCATGAATTTACCTGCCGAACGAGACCAAAACAACCACCTTCCAGCTCATCTGCAACAATTGTCGACGGCAGTGGATTGGTCGGTACTAGACCGGGGCTCTATAGACTTCAGCAACGGCTACCCTAGGGGGCTAAGTAAAGTCCAGAATTTACAGTTCGTCAAGAGGCAACAGTTCCTGCTCTAAATACTGGCTTCTCATTGACCTTCCAGCCGTAATAAAGTTAAGGAAGGAGGAGTGAGGAGGAGGAGGGAGGAAGGTATACTCTAGGATCTTTACATCCTTACCTGTAGCGAAGGGGGAAATGGGGTCTTAATTAATTATTCTTCTTCTGAGACTAAGCTCATCTATGTACATACTCCTTTTCACCATCTTCTAACACAGTGTCTAGATAACTGATCACTTCTTTATCCAATGCAGTCTCGCTCTTACTTGAATAGTGGAACCGGGTATCAAAGGCCGGGCCAACTGACGATGTGTGATGTTGAAAAAGCTCCCGGGCCGTGAACATGCCTGTTTCCAGAAGCACGACCAGAAATTCTATAATGAAAAAAGGACATGTGCCATACTCTCTCACGCGGTCGCAATCACCTCCTGACTGTTTCAAACTTGGCCCCTTCACGAGGCCAACAATGATGCTATTCCTCCCAGTCGTTGAAGAAGCCCGCCCGGAACAAGATGAAGCCGAAGAAGGCCGCCACGGCCGTGCCAGACAGGAACGCCCGTTCGGCGCCTGACCCATACGCAAAGGGAATCAGGTACCCAAATTCAAAGGCTAGGGCGATGCCTCCTATGAAATCTTTCCATATCTGCCATTCTGGCACTCGCATTTGCCCCCTCGGCCGTCGAGACAGCGGCGGCAGCTGCGATCCCTCCAAGGTATGCAAGTCGGCGTCGCGAACGTCGAATGTGGGAGGTGGGGCAGCCGTACTGTAATCATTGGCAGCCAGGGCAGCGTCAACAGCAACGTTGATCGCATGCTTCGTGCGCATACCAACCTGTCCATGTTGGGCCCTAATGCGGCAATCTTCAACGTGAAGAAGCGCGATGCTCTCGACAGCAGTGGCGGCCGCAACATATCCAGCACGAGTACGTGAGGTGGAGGCAGCGACAGCTATGGCTTGGGCAGTACGAGCTGCGACCATCTTTGGATCCTCCTCTTCAAGGGCTCGGACATATCCATTGATAGCACTCGCCGCAGCAGCCGCGGCAGTCTCCCTGGGCGTGCTTTTGCGCGGCGGGGGAACCAAACTGGGCGAGTCCGTGTGACGTGCTGGGGACGGTGGGTTTCGACCCCGAAGAATTTCGAGAGACAAACCCTTGTTCTCGACCTTTGACCTCAGTTCAAGTTCGTCTAATACCCAGTCGCAGAGTGTGCTTACCATTGTGTACCCGAGTCTTCGAATGCGGGGATGAGATGTCTGGTAGATACCTAGGTAGTACAGAATGGACACACGCTGGTTGTGTGTGGGGGCGAGGAAGCGAGTAGAAGCTCTCGTTGACAGCAGTGCGGGTCCGGAGTTCAATGCGGGTTAAATTGTTTCATGGAAATATTTGACACCCTTGGAAGTTGGTATTCGGCCGTTCTGCGCTTGTGCAGTGGTTGTTGGTGAAAAAAATGGCAGTGACTAGACTGCAAGTCAGAGAAATGCTTACGTCCGGTGACTTTTGGTGCCTGTTGACTACGGCTGACACTGGTCTCATCTTAATTCTCTCCGTCACAGCTAGTGAAATTTTGATGTAGGCCTTTTTGTCCACTATCCTGTACTAAAGCCCGCCATTCTCGACGGACCTCTGCCCAACGATTTAAGTGAACTCTGAGGTACGGGCTTTCATCTATTGATGCATGTGACGGGGGAATTTGACGCGGCAGACCAACGTCCTGTATTCAAGTAACAAGTTGAATTCAGCAGTGAGGCGGATTTCATTAATAAAGAAAACGATACCGAGCAGGGGGAACACGGATGTTGCCGAAGGCTACCACAACACCCTACAGCGATCACCCTTGTCAAGCTTTGGATTCGGAAGCGGAACTCTCTCGCATCGTCCTCGCATACTAGCTCGCCCCATTTTCATCCAGGGCATGGCATTCTGAACGAAATGCGATCATGGCCTCTCAATTTCACGAAATGGCTGCAGCCTAACACAAGCATACTATGAGAGTGTCTCGGAAATCGGGCGTGCATCCAGTTGGGCTTGCTCAGGCCGTACATAAAGTTATCACGTTGTTTCAAATTTCGTCGCCGCAGCAATGCTACATCGCCGCGTCAACTGCACATGTCCCCAGGTGCCCGCGGAAATCTGGTTTCACGCCCTGTTGAACCCACTCAATCTCCAGCAGCTGAAGCCCGTCGATTATCAATCACTTGCAGTGCTTCAGATAAGGACATGTGGATCAATATCTTAACACGCACGTCGTCATCAGGCATCACTCCGCGGTATTGATGTGGAGACTCGCGAGATGGTCAGGCAAAGTCAGTAAGCAAATGCCCATGCTGATCTCAGTGAATCAAGGAGTCGTATGGTGATGTTCGACTAAATGCCTAGTCTCAACATTACATTAAAATTTCAAGAAATATGTGGGTATCTACTAGTCATAACAAGCCTCAGCCTGGCTTTCGTCCCTGTCGCCGTTCCCATACAATGGCCACTTCTGCAGCGAAAAATAAACCGGCTTACTGTCCTGTGAAGTGAAGATCGCTTCTCGCTCTCGTGTGTTCGGCGCAAAGTCGTACTCTCAAGGTTCTCGTCCCTCCCAGTAAAGCCGATACCCTGCGTTGGGCTGATGATTAAGTGGGCCTGGCGGATCTTCGGTGGTGATCTGCGCTGGGTCCAGGCATGTGGCGAAATCTCCGGGGTTGCATCGTGCGTTACGCGGCATCTATGCGGCCATGGCATCGGGGAATGCCCGCCCTGTCTTCCGTGCCACCTGCGGTTCCATCCAGCGGTTCCCCTCCATGTGATCGGGTTGCAGTGTTGATGGTTCTGTGTTTCCCTCCAGGTGATTGAGTTGCAGCGGTGATGGTTCTGTGTTTCCCTGTACTGCAGCTCGCAGCCTCCCTCGCCCACTAGTCCCTCGTGCCCGTCGACTTGTCGCTGGGCGCGTCCCTCGGGTGTCCTGGATTCCGCGTCAACCATGCCTCGTCGTGATCCCCAGTCGGGTATTCCTTGGTCTCGTCGATGCTGCCCGAATTGCTGTGGTGCACCGTGATCTGGAATTCTCTCGTCCTCTGTATGCCGCCGTTTGGGAAGGGCGCCTGGGCCTCGTCGCTCCCGTTGGAAAATGAGGCGCGGACTCTCGATTCGGTGAAGGTCTTCAGCGCGACCTCTCGCTCGTTCTGGGTTCGCCCTCGGAGTTGGGAGTTTCGGTGGTGTGGGGTGCTGTGTGAATGCGAGTTTGCAAAGTAGGCGTCGCTCCGGTCGTTCTGTGCCAGTTTCACAATAAGACTGGCCATCGTCATTTCAATGTTGAGCTTTGCCGTGTCTGTGGCATTGTAAATCAGTACATGCGGGTGTACCCGGTCGACCACGGGCGGTCAACAAATGAGGTGTGCGCCGCTGGAGGGAGCCTTCGCAGGGTACCACTTACACACTAGCGGGTGGAAGAGCATGAAGACTGACTGGTTGGGAAGACTCATCAGACCGATGAGGAGGACCTGTGGAGATAACCATAAGCTTTTCGATTCCAGCAACGATACAACAGAGTCTGTACTCACATCCAAAGCAACAGAGATGAACATCAATCTGGCATTGAATGTGACCAGTGGAGCGTATTTCATCAAACCATACTGATCCAGTAGACGCTGCTTCACGATTCTCAGGAAGTAATAGTTGAGACCTGCATCAATGAGGCAGATGATGACCTTCGATATCCTGTCCCAGTATTTATTTATCTCGACGTATGTATTGCTCACAGGAGGAATTTGATGTGCGGGAATAAACTGGTTGTCGTAGTCGTCAGCACAAGTTGTTCCACCACCCAGGGCTTGTTGGCCAGATGTTCACTCACGATGCAGAAGACAGCAATGTTGATTGAGGTCATGACAATAGCTGTCCCCCATTTGAGCTTCGTGACAATGTCCTGGGTCTCGCAAATGATGGCTATCCGGTTGATGATAATCTGCATTAGGATCTGTACTTCGAAGACCCAGCAGACTAGGATGAAGAACAACATGGTAACGCTGTTGGCTGGACATTAGCTGGTGTTGGTTGGTCGTGGCTCCATAATGGAGAGTTCATCCTCACCTGGGTGCGACGACCCCGTGGAATAGCAGATTCGCCAGAATCAAGATGCCGACATTGGAAGCAACTTCCACCCAGATCATGTAAACATACGAGCTCCGCCGCGGGTTCTTGCTTCGCCTGGTCTGCTTGACAGCCTCCCATACTGTCAGCAGGCCAAAGCCAAGCGTGAAGCCCACAGCGAGCGACGCAAGGGTCTGGTCGCTCTTCTCGTCGCTCATCGCTTTGTTGCAGTGTGCGTTGCTCGCTTGACAACCTGAATCCGGTTGTCGATGTAAGGGTGCGAGTCAGTGGCCCTTTGGGGCCGCCGGGTTGTGCGGGCTATTGGTTTTCTTTAAACATTCTCAGATGGCCCCAGATTGCCCCAATATGATCCCTGGTTCGCCCTCGTGGCGATCTCTAGAGAGGGTGGCAGCAAATTCTGACGCACTACGGACGCCCTCTGAGCTAATGGGCTCCACAGGCACCCCTGGACTAGTGATGCACATAGACCACGCGAGGTATATGTCGGCATTTGCCCCAGAATGGCGATCCCAGGGGAATAAATCCGGATATGCGCCCAAAATGAAATGCGTGGTGCTGAGATTGCAGGCGGGGAAGAACCTGTGGGTTTTGGCCTCGGCCTCGGCGTCCCGCCTGTCAAGGGTCAGCAGCGATCTGGAGCTGGGCTTTTCCCCTGGGCGCTGGCGGATGGCCTCGGAAGAGTGGATTCGGGGAACTGCCGACAATATAGGGGTTCTATTCCACTTCTAGGCTACAGGCCCGGAGTGATCAAACGGAAACCTCACCTACGATAGGTGTTTTCTTCGAGATGTGCCGCTTCTAGTATCATTATTCGAGGATGAATGTATGTGATCGCTCCGACGCTAACCCGGGTCTTCGGGCGCCACGCCGGACTAGACTATGCGATATTCAGGTCGGCATCCCGAGGAAGAACACCATAATACGACCGTAAAGTAGCCGATAGGCCAGGATGTGACCCAAGATCCCCCTTCTCGTCCTGGACTGACCATCGCCCACGCCTTGCATGGCGTCGCACCAGTTTCACTAGGTGAACCATATGCGGGGCGGGGCTGATCTAACGGACCGTGTTTCTGGTTCCGTCACGAAGACCCCTGGGCATAGATGAACCATTATACCGGATATTCAGCAGGAAAACCCATGATTACGCAATCGCTCAGTCGCTCTGGGTGGTAACAACAATGACGATGAGGGGGCCTAACTCCAAGCTACCGGGGCAACTGAAACAGGAAGTTGGTTGTCGCAGGTGAATATCTTATGCATTTGCTCATTCGAATCGACGGCAAGGACGAGTAAAGGTCTCGGTCCACGCTCTGGATCTAATGAAGAAGAAGAAGAGTCGAGTTGGCCTTTGGCCTGCCCATAATTCAGAAAACGTGCAAGTCAAGCTTTGGTACAGGGGCTCGCTGCCGGAACGGGCCGGTGTAAGCATTCGGGGCATTAATCACACGTGGGGGCGGTGGAGGAGCATCTGCGGGCGCGACGTCAGGTAACATAGGAGAGCCGCCTCGAATGCGTATGATAGCATTATTGTGGATAAGATGGGTAACAAGTGAGAATTCAGAATCAGCAGATGAACTACGTACAACTCATGCATGTCCCTGTTACCGTTATGACCAACTGCCGAGCAATCAGTGGGGAATATGTGATAACTCACAAGCCAAGCCAACCAGACTTCGGTATGCTTAAACCTTCGGCAGTTGGCCATGGTGTGTGTGCAATGCCAGGATGGTGATCCCACGGGTGACGCGTGATGCGAGCACCTGCGGTGCCCTGCTTTGCACAAAATGATATCAAATGCAAGCGGGTTCAGAAAATGTGCCGTCAAGCCAGCGCGTGCGGCCCGAATTGGTCTTTATTGTCGCCGAGCTTCCAGACACGAGACGTATGCTTGGGGCGCCAAGAGTGCATGACTCGGCCTCAAGCCCCATCATGTCAACACAGGTGCCTACAACTCAACGTATTGCTGGCAAGCATAATTTGACCTCCAGCCTGCCACAAGGCTGATGCGAGGCTGGCGCCGAGGCCGTGCTTCAAACGTTGAGAGAGCGACATCGTCACCCGCATATTGTCACTTGCGGGAGAGACAAGGCTCCCATATTGGCACTTTGAGGCATAGTCCCATGGGAGAGGCTTTACGAGGAGATTGGAACAACATTAAAGTTAGGGAAAGCCACTGAGAATGGATCGGTCGGCTCCAAAGCTGACCTGCAATGCGGCTCACAAGGGCGGATAGGACTGGAGTTGGGACAGATGGAGTTTTAAGCATCTGTGATCGGCGTAATTGAATAGACTACCTGTATCTGGATGTCTGTCTTCTCACTCAGACTTCAAATCGTGCTCAAAATTACTCCCACACATTCGCGTTCGAAATTCCATCCCAGTGGAGCTTGACTTTGGGCAACTCTGCTGCAGGGGTCTAAGTACTTTGTCATCTGGATGATAGCATGATACGAGTGGAACAGAATCTCTGAACTGAAATTGCAAAAAGGTTTATAGGTAGCTGACGAAGCAGAGCTCTCAGGAGAGGCCTGGCGCCGTCGGGAGCAATGCCTTCCAGCCTTGTCTGTGCGGTACGAGGCTGAGCCACGTGCCCATAGACGTACTGTATTCTCTTTCCACTGTTATTGGCACTATATTTCTTTAAACGCTAGGTCTTGAGCGTTTACTACTATATAAACGCGCTACATGTATTTTATATATATGGGGATTAAAAACGAAACCATCCACCTAGGAGAGACCTCTATGTACTTTAGTTAATATTTGCTGATTCACACCTGAATAGGACGATTGGAATACGACAGTATTTGAGCCGTATACGCATCGTTCTTGGAGGTGTCTAATGAAACATTTTCGACACATAAAATAAAATGCAACCTTCAAATGCAGGGAATTGTAAACTTCCTCCCGAGGCTTCGATGTTGCCATCAATTAACATCTATGCAACTGCTGGGGCTTAGACCTCAAGGTGAATAGAAACGATACTAGTAGGGCATCATTCAAGAAACATGTATTTGGGACTTTATTATACATATGAAAGACTGCTACCTGTCAATGTCATTACAAGGTACTCGTCAACTAAAAGTTCTGCCGGCCTCGTAGAGGATCACCAACAATGCGAATGGTCCTCAAAGTTGAAGAGAATGCAGGGAAATGACGTGATGCTAGAGAATTGTAGTGAGATCTGATGGAGTCACCGAGACTCTTTCCATTGGGTTGTTGCTAAAACCTGCCTGCATAGACACGCGCTGCCGGTTGCAGCACAAAAGATCACTTGTCGCAGAACACCAACGCAAAGAAAAAGGAAATTGTCATGTCGAGCGTATTATTTTACTGGCTTGGAATCACTTATGTTCGATGACCACAACGCTACTGATGCGTCACTCATGCGGACTCCAGATTTCCTTGTGACAGAGACTGGGATACTGGCATAGTCTTCTGCGCACAAGTCCACTGACAGTCATGAGCCGAGATAACTGGAGGAAAGTTAATGTGCATCTCAAAACTTCCGCACGGCTGAGTACATCAGATATAGCTGAGATCTAGTTGTTGCGCCCATGCCTTTGATCGAATCTGGGGATGATTGATCTGTTGCACATGTAATCTCCAGTCCTTCACTGGAGCCCTGCTCTGACAGGCCATGGTAAACCTCCACTCTCGCAGTGCAACTATCTGGTTTCAAGCCGTGGGCCTTTTCCACATAAAAGTTGGCCTAGATAAATAGCATGACTTCGATGTCAATTGTCTGTCTATCGGTTTGCTGCTGGATGTCTGTATCATTTTTAGGCCACGAGTTGTCCATCTCACCTGCTCAAGTGAAGTTCCCATCTGGGCCACTTGGCCCCCAAAATTGCAACGTTCAGGAGCACCTGCGGATCCACATCATTTGGACAACACGCCAGTACTCGTCCAACCAATGGGAAACTAGACATTGCAATTTCAAAGGGGATGTTGTAGCCCACCCCATGCGAGTGCTGGCATAGCGGCGTGATAGGGTGTGATGTCATAAGTTTTCCAACATTTCGCCAATCGATTCAGAGTCGCACGTGCGGCTCCCCTTGTCACACAGAAAGACTTGCCGCTATCGACACTTTGGCAAAGGAGAGCGAGTGGCTGTATCCATAGGCAGATAGGACAGTTACTGGCGCCAACACCCTGGTGCAAGCTTGCCACCTCCTCTTGGTCAATCCCAAGGGGCAAGGGGCTTGCGCCAAGCGGTGGCATCGTGCCTGTGGCACGTTGACCGACTGCCGCCGAAGCAATCAAATTCGTTGACCCATTACCGAAGCCAGCACCGCGGTCCACTTGAGCTAGGGTTGTTCTGAGTGAGCGTGACCAGCCGATCTGTTTTCCCCCGTATGCCTCACAGCCTCAGTGTAGTTCTTATCTGTTTTCAACACCAAGATCCGGGCCACGGAACCAAATCACGCGAACTAGTGGGCAGCTCCGAGGGGAACCGGTACCGGGCAGCGGCTGTCGCCCTCGGATGCCGTTCTCGGGTCAGCGTTCGCCGACTTTATCGATCATGGTTTCTGTGCTCTGCGGAAAGGGGAAGTAGGCTGTTCTAAAAATGTAAATTTCTCAGGGTTTCTCAGGCTATGCTGATGAATAAATTAATCACTGTCCAAGTCATCGTTATCGGTGGCGTGGGCAGCCATGTCCACCCCCGGTTCCTGAATTCCCTGAGGCCCGGGAGTCGCTTCTACAGTGGAGAGGCCGTGGCTGCTTAGAGCTTGGCCTGCTTGGCGATGGAGCGAGTCAGGCAATCTTGCTGCATCGTCTATCTTATCGCTCCACGTTATCGAGGTGAATAATATCGAAGAATAAAACGCACGGGCTGTGTGAGACGAGTAAGGACTCAATCGCATTCACTGTTGGCTTACAGGTGACAATGTTTCTCATTACGAACAGGCAAATAGGAGGACAAAGAAGTAGTATTTATAAAGGCACAAAAAAAAGACGCACTAAAATTTAGATGCCGATAGATGCTTTTATCCAAGAGTATTCGCCATTGGCCTCGTGCGGCTAGTTTTCAGGGACCAGCAACAGCCTCGCGTTGAGCTTAGCACGGCACTTTAGAGGCCACAACCCGGCCCAGTCCGCTCATCGGTGATTACCGGAAGGTTTGACAGCTCAGGGGCCGTCGGGAAAAGATAACGTCCTGCAGCCTCAGTGGCCCGTCGTCTTTTAAGCTGCAACTGTATTTGCTAGTTGATCGTGCATTTCCGGGAACCTAGAGCTTGGCCTGCCCTGCCCAGGTGCTTCCTGGATTGAATTGCCCTGTCGCGCCTGTCTGGGTCAATATTTAGCAGCCAACCCTTGGGAAGTAACATTATCTGACGCGATGCCATGATGCAACAAAGTCCCGAAGATACGGATAAGGCACATCCATCCTGCCATCCCGCCGCACACGCGTGCATGCTCTCGTGTTTGTACCAGATCCCCGGGATCTTATCTGGGGTTCTCCAATTCACATTAGCCATTAATGGGTAACAGGCTGACAGGGCATTGATCGATAAAGTTGTACAAATGATTGGAGGTTGGGGGTAGCACGGGACTTTCAAGGTTGCTGCTTATATTGTAGATCTCAACCCCCGCATCGAAACAGTCGTCCCTGCGGTTTGTTTTTTTTCTGGCTCGTGCTTCTTGTTGGAGTTGAAGTTGTCATACCTCAACAAGCCCGACTGCCAGTGTTGCTGCATAATCACCGTTACGCAAGCGACGTGCCGACACAGACATCCAATATGGCGGCAGATCCAGTCAAGAACCCCAGCATGGAGGAGTCCACCATCCCCAGGAAGGATATCGACGTCGAGAGCTCCACCGGTGAGACGGCAGTCATTGCCGAGACGGCAAGAGTCTTGGACCACGCCGCCGAAGTCAAGCTCACCCGCAAATTCGACTTTCGCATCCTCCCAATCTTGGCTGTCATGTGTGAGTAAAGGGCCAAGCACACCATCATTTGGTGTTAGGGCTGGCTAGCCAGTTGCTAAGACTCGAAACAGACCTCTTCAACGCGCTGGATAAGGGAAATTTGGGGAATGCTCAGACGGCAGGAATGTCAGACGACCTGGGCTTCAAGTCCAACCAGTACAACATAATCGTCTCGATCTTCTTCGTGCCCTACGTCATCTTCGCGCCCCCGATCGCCATGCTGGGCAAGAAATTCGGCCCCAGCCTCGTCCTCCCGATCCTCATGTTCTGCTTCGGCACCATGACCCTCCTGGTGAGCGCGGCCAAGAACTTCAGCGGCGTCTTTGCCCTGCGCTGGTTCCTGGGAATGGCGGAGAGCGCCTTCTTCCCTCTCGTCATCTACTATCTGACGACCTTCTACCGTCGTGGCGAGCTCGCCCGCCGCCTGGCCCTGTTTTACGCCGCCTCCAACATTGCCAGCGCCTTCGCTGGCCTGCTGTCCTTCGGTGTCTTCCAGATCAAGTCGCACCGCCTCGAGAGCTGGCGCTACCTGTTCATCATCGAGGGCAGCGCCAGCGTGCTCTTCAGCATCTTCGCCTACCTCTACCTTCCTAGGTCAGCCGCCGAGGCCAAGTTCCTCAGCGCCGAGGAGAAGGACCTCGCCCTCTACCGCATGCAGGTCGACTCGTCCTCGGTCGTGTCCGAGAAGTTCAAGCTGCGCGAGGCCCTCAAGATCTTCCGCTACCCGTCCACCTATGCCTTCCTCGCCATCGAGGTCTGCCTCGGCGTCCCACTGCAGTCTGTCTCGCTCTTCCTGCCGCAAATCGTCAGCGCCCTCAAGTACTCCACCGTCAAGACGAACCTGTACACCGTCGCACCCAACGTCACCGGCGCCGTCATGCTGCTGATCCTCGCCTTCAGCTCTGACTTCCTGCGCATTCGATTTCCGTTCATCGTGCTGGGGTTCCTGTTCACCTTCTGCGGGTTCATCATCTTCGCTAGCATCGAGGACGTCACTGCTCAGATCCACGTGGCTTATTTCGCGACTTTCATGATGTGCTGGGGCACTAGTGCTCCCTCGGTTATTCTGAGCACATGGTACAAGTAAGCTATTCATCCAACCTGTTCCAGATTAAGACTCGGAGCAATATTTGCTAACCCAATCCACAGTAACAACATCGCGGACGAGAACAAGCGTATTACGATGACATCCGTCGGTGTGCCGCTGGCGAACCTGATGGGTCTCGTGAGCAGCAACATCTTCATCAAGAAGGAGGCTCCCAAGTACGAGACCGCTCTGATCACGACAGCCGTCTTTGGCGCGACTGGTGCTTTCATTGCGGCGTTGACGGGCGCTTACATGATCTGGGACAATGCAAGGCGCAACAGGAAGGCTGGCGTCAAGACGGACGCCCGAGATGTCCCTACGTCCAAGCTGAGGGACGGGCCTAGTGTGCCCGAGTTCCGGTGGTTCCTGTAAATAGATTTCTTTCATTTTTGTATGATCACTCGAGCGTGCGTATGTATTGGCTAGAAATATAGATCTCCAACAACGAAAAGTTGTCAATCCTCTCCCGTGTGATACCATGGATTCGGCGTACGATTCGGAATACGTTGATATGTACCTAGGTAGTGCCTCGGTCCTTTCTCGACCTGTTACCAAGTGACGCCCGGGCGGGATTCGAAAGCTCGGTAGTTGCCGAGTCCCAGTTATTAGTGTTGTTCGGTGGAGTACTTTGCAAAGTTTCATACTCGTTGAAATAAACTATTTTATTGCTGAAGATGGAGTAGATCCACAGCCAGTGCCACCCACTTCACTGGCACCTAATAAGGCAACTGGCATAATAACGGAGGTTACACATCTACAGTATCTCCATATCCAGGTTTTATCTGTATATGATTACGAAAAAAGTAATGACTGGTATTGATGCGACAATGGCTCTTTCTGGGACTAGTCATAGTCCCCTCAAAGTGTCCGGCGCGGGAAAGGCTGGGGTCAAGTGAGTAGGAAGTGTGTCTTCGGGCGTATGCAGAATAGAAGCGAAATCAGATGATAAGAATGACCAAGGAGGACCCTATAGTCGCACCGAGTACTCCCGCGCATCTATACTATCGCCGTATACATACAAATTAATGCAACCGATAAAATACACACAAAGGAAAAGACACCGTCTGCGAGCACACCTGGGCACTTGGAAAAGACTTGCTCACATCTACCTCGCTTGTTCTGAGCAGGTCTCAATTGATGTATCCCACTTCAGGCGCGACAACTTATTGAAGCCCCGTACTCTCTCTGCTCAGCGTTTTCCCGCTGTATCTTCTTAGCCTTCGCCAGCGAAGCATCTGCTGGGGCTGTTCTGCAACATCAGTTTCCACTGCTTCTTCCAAAAGTTTGCTATCCCCTCTCCTTCGCGGCCAGGGTGCAAATGTGCATGTGTAGTCTTTGCTGTCGATGCATTTCTGATGGAAGACCGAAAGCCTTCTGTGAACTTCCTCAATGCTCATGCGTCTCTTTTCACTTGGATTTGGTGACTTGACTACCAGCATTTGGCCCAGAACGAAATCAAGGAATTCATGGAAGTATTCGGTACACGTTGGCAGGGCATGTAGATCGAGAACGAACTATTTGAAGTTAATTACTGCAAATGATAAAAACCCCTGGAAAAACAATTTTCTGCGTCAAGTAAACTTACATCGAGAACTGCAGGCTTTACCATGGCTCCCACCGTGTTGGTATCGATGCAATGCACGATCTCAAAGAAAGTGTCTGTTGAGTGAAGTCGCAATGGATCGTGTATATTTCTCTTGCGACGGAAATCTTGAAGTAGCTTGTTGCCGCCCAATTGCCAGGCAATGAGTTCTAAGTAGAGACAGCCGAGGGTCCAGATATCGTAGGACGGGCCCACAAACGCCCCTTCGAGATCACACTCTGGGGGTCTGTATGAGAGCGAGTGTGCTACTTGGTTGTTTCGTTTGTAACACAGGCTATGACGAGTACTGAATTCCGTCAATCCGAAGTCTGATATCCTCAAGACTCCTCGGTCGCCGGACTTTTCTGGGTCTCGGAACCAGAGGATATTCTCGGGCTTGATATCACCGTGACGTCCATACAGTTGCTTTCGAAAGTGTCGTTGCTTGTTCGTATCCCGATTCACAGACTTCTGCCCGGGTTCGATGTTCATTGAAGTGCTGCGGCCGGGATTGCGGTGCAGATTTCGAAGGCTGTCTAACCGTCCCGATTTTGACTCAGAAATTTCCGAGTTCGTGCGTCGCCAAGTTTCATAGTGATGAATCTTTGTGAGGCCATTGGCGATTCCGCAGCATTGTTCGGCCAACCAAACCATCCCTTCGTGGTCCAATGTTGGAGCAGGGTGCTTCATCCAGAAACCCTGAAGGTCGGCTTCGGCCCAAGGAAATATGAGGTAGAATTTGCCGAATTGTTCATATGTAGCTAGCAACGACACAAGATGCTGATGGGAGTCACCGCTGAACTTTCTCAGAGTGTTGACTTCCCGCTTGAACTCAGCCTCGTCTCGAGACCGGAGGCATTTCACTGCGAACTTCTGTTCAACAGCCTGAATATACATCGTTAGCCTCTGCTACCTCCAATAAACGTGCCTCGCACTTTTACTCGATTCTGTAACCTACATTAGATTTGGAAAGATTATGGTGGTCGGGATGTATGTCTACTTTGAAGACACTACTGTAACCACCCTCAAACTCCAACTTCTGATATGCAGGCTTATCGATGACGAATCGGCTGTCTTGGGTGAAAGGAAGCGCCTCCTGGTCTTGGAGTTGAAGGTGTTTGACTTCTTTTTGCGAGCCAAGCTGGAAAAATGGAGCTATCGTGGTCCACTGCCACTCTTCGAACCTCCAGATTGCTGTGTAGGACCACTTCCGGAAGCTTTTGAGAGTATTGGTTTGTCCCTTTCGTATAAGGTGGTAGAAGTTTGGCAGCTCTTCTGGTGGAGCTGACTTATTCAAAGGAAGGTCCGCGTCTGAAACATTCTCTTCTATAAAACGGACGATATCGTTGGATTTCTCACAAAGGACCAAGATCGCGAATATTCTTTTGAAACCGCTTCGGGATCCATGAGCACTGGAAGTTTTGTGACATATTCCACTTGTTAGTTCCTCAATCTGGTGCGGAGCCCAGTCTTCAAAGCACATCTCCAGCTCTTGCCTCACGTATTCCTCGGACATCAATGCCATAAGATCATTTTCCGGGAAAAAGCCCTTCTTCTCTTCGTGGCCTGGGATCTTTCTGAGTATGCTGAGAAGTCTGTTTTGCAGTGGTATCTGGTTGATTCCATAGACTGAAAGAGGCGGACTGGGGGGACACTCGAGACTTGGATTGTCGTGTGCATCGCTATGGTCACAGGACCGCAGACTGCCGGCATTTGAGATGCGACTTCGTGATAGCGGTAGACCAGACGAGCCGCTTGTACAAAGCGGGCCATTTCCAGAGGACTCATTTCCGCCAATTAAGCCTGGCTGGACAACGATATGTTTATCCTCAATATCCGACTTGATGCTGGATCCATTTGTGAATAGATGTCTTTCAGACTTGGAATACGACGATGTGTACGAGTCCATTGCAGGTGCTCTGCTGTGGAATGGAAGGTTGATATCAGATGCAGGAACAGGTATCCCAAGGAAGGACACAGGAAAACTCTGACAACGTGCGTGCTTCGGTCCCCCTATTATAAATCCCTGCGTACTGGGAGGCAAGGCATTTACTAATGTCACTTTCGCCCCTAGTCATCCTGACTTATCAAATCTACCTTGTGAGGCACATACGGAGTTGCACAAGTGGCAGTGGCGGAAGTAGAAATTTCGGAAAAGAAAAAAGAATTTGTCGGTGCCAGCGCTCTCTCAATAAAGTTTTTCCACTGTCAGATTAGTGTGGCGCAGATTCCAATCAGCCGTAGGCTGACAACAGTGCCCTGTCATCCACGAATCATTCATTCCTTCTGCACTTGGCAGAGACACGTCGGGCCGGGCCACGCAGCAGATTCCAAAACATCGAGAATTGAAAGACGCTTGAGCCCAAGGCAGACTTGCATTGCCTTCTTGTCGTGCAATGCCACGATTTTGGGCATCGACTTCCTCCTACGCGAGCCTTGCAGCCAGGAAACGTTCTGCCACGCGTGCCATCGACTGTGGCTTGCTTAATGCCGAAGTCTTAACATGGTAGGGGAATCATGGTAGCACGTCAAGAAAAGGGGGGGGGTACAAATGTATTAAATCATGCCGCGTGCCCTCCGTATTGCCACGTCACACAACATGATTCCAACCGGTGAAAGCCTTGTGGACCGCCTGTGCAGGTGGCTGACAGGGGCGTTTGGCTGCGGCCGCATGCTGCGCCTTTGCGGGCTTTTCCGGGACCAGTGCCAATGACATTCCAGAGCGGTTAGGCTGGCTGCTTGAATGTGTGCACCGCATCGGCTGAGTCCCCCCTGTGCACAGCGAGGTGCATTCTTCCAGGAGATATACCTTCCTAATCAAGCGGCCATTTTGCTGGTGACCGAGCAAACCCCCGCGGCTCATGCCTCCTCCCACATCACGCCCACCTCTTTGTCACAACCGGCTTCTGTACGCCCCTTGTGTACACCGCGAGTGCATATTCAATGATGAAGAGGCCCGAACAAACTCTTGGAGTGGGACAGCAGTCGGCACTCGCCCTATTGCTGCTCAGGATGTAATTTATTCGGTCTCTGAACAAGAGCCAGACAGCACGAAAGGGGAGGAAACAAATAAAGTCCATGGACCTTGAACATCTGAGGGGATATTCAACCTTGTCCCAGGAGATGAAACCCTCAAAGTATGGGAGCAAAGACACCGCTTGTATCTGCTTGTGAGGTTTTAGCCGGTTGGTTCGCATCTGGCCGGTTTCAGAGACCTCGGGACCAGACGAGGACGCAAAGCAAAGGAAAGATAAGGAAGCCGGTGAGTTCGAGATCGAGACGGTGTGCTGACTGCAGATGTGAGGGTTGTATGGCAGCAAAGTCGAGACTTGTGCCAAATAGGACGAGATCTTGACCCTCCTAGTTCTTCAAGCACTCCGCATCTCGGGCCTGCAATGCGCTGCGCTCATTCAGCGGTCGAGCCCACCTATCATTGATCTTTATCTTATTTGTAAACGACGAGTATCATCGAATCGGAGTGGACTCCTCATATCGGACGAGGATTTCTTCCGCAGAGCCTCATCCTGCCTGGATCAAGGGTCGCAAACTTAAATGAGGGGTCCCCTACCCAGAGCCTCGCTGGAAAAAAATGAGTCAGAATAGGCTCGCACATTCCAAATCTACGTGTCCTTCGAAGACCATTGAAGCCATATGGCTGAGACTGCCAGTCGGACAATGTCGTCCCCATCAAACATCACGTCCTTGTCATTGGAAGATCAGGTTTCGGCACGTCTGACCCAGAACCATTTCCCCTATGGCTGGAAACAGAAGTATATGCCTTCACGGCGTCTCGATGAACTTGTGACCAGACCCGCGATCATTCGTGAGTTTCTCAAGGACGACGACTCAGACGAACGTGACGCAAGTCAAGCACGAATCGATGAAGATCTCATCACGTTCATTGTAACTTCAGGAAAGAAATTGTTCGCGATTAGCTTGGCCATCAACATCGGTTCATCTCCACTCCACCGTACAATGAAGGTCTTCTGGAAGTCAAATTATACGGACCAGCATCTTCCGGTTACTCTCGGAGACACTAAATTCCCGCAGTCTCGGCTGAAATGGGGACCGAGCAAGATGGAAAATTTCACAGACATGCAGTGGAGGTATCTGGTTCCCATGATCGAGCAAAATGGATCTCACATACGGATTGGGAATCGGGAAATACTGCCATTTTGTTTGGTAGATGAACAAAGGAGAGAGGGCACGTTCAGTAACGTCTGGCAGGTGAGAATTCACGAGGAACAACAGACAGAGCCAATGCAAATGGTACGTTCCCACAGTTTTTCTACTAATAGTAGCGCTACACTGACTTGACTCGATGTACTACAGTTCGATGGTAGTGGCAAATTGGCCACTGCAGCGATTAAAGAGCTCAAATTACCTGCTGATAGCTCGCATCAAACATCGGAGGCGGAAGCCTTGTGGGAGAGAGAAGCGAGTGCTCTCAAAGCCGTGAATAGACTTCGACACGAGCACATCATTGAAATGAAGGCCATGATTACCTGGAAGGGTAAAGGGACTTATTTCATGTTCCAGTGGGCCGACGGTGGCAGCCTACGCGACTTCTATGCAAAAATACCCCAGCCTCCTCAAGACGCAACATTTGTCAAGCAAATTCTCCTGCAGTTGACGGGGCTTTCAAGTGCTCTCAATGCGCTGCACAATTACAGACCACACGACTTGAACAATGCGTCGTACCGCCATGGTGATCTGAAGCCTGAGAACATACTCAGATTCAAAGATGGCACAAAGGTCGGGCTGCTCAAAATAGCAGATTTGGGCTTGGCGAAACTTCACCTTTCCGAGACCAGCAAACGTGGACCCACAGTCACACGACATGGAACCCCTCTGTATGAGCCACCCGAAGTCATATTAGAGCCCGAAATAGCTCGTTCCCGGCAGTACGACATCTGGTCTATGGGCTGCGTGCTTTTGGAGCTTCTCGTGTGGCTCATGTACGGCTATGACGAGCTCGTGCGATTCAACGAGAGCATGACCTCTGCTCTGGGAAACAGCAGCGTATACTGGGTAATGGAAGACACTGACCCGCCGAGCCGTTCTGCGAGTGTGCATCCCAGCGTCGTGGGATGTATGGACATCATGGGCAAAGACTTGCAGCATACCGGAGAGACAGCCCTCGGCGATCTCTTGTCATTGGTCAAGTACAGACTCCTCGTGGTTCGATTGCCACGAACGACGCGGTCTAGTTCTTCTGGACGGAACAGTAGCTCTCAACCAGCTCCTTCAGACTGCCGTGCGAAGGCAGCGGACCTCGAGAATGCCATGCAACGAATTCTGAACAGAGCGGAGCGCGACAAAACATACGCGTCCACGAACGTCCGAGGACACGACCTTGTTCGTCGAATCGAGGCGATGAGATCCGGAACAATTATTCCATCGCAATTCAGCATGAATGTCCCGGTTGTTAGAAGACAGGAAGTAAGTATACCCTGCTAGTCATCCAAAGCAACTACAGACACAAACTGAGAGTTGGGTCTTGTTGTCCACCTCTTAAACTGCAGTGGTCGGAATTTCTCACCTCTTGCGATAGAGATAACCGTCCATTTTCTCGATTCGATTTCTCCGAAGCAAAATTGATATTAACTTGGATTAGTATGTGAGATGACCACCCATATTCTTCAACCTTCTCTCAATCGTTCATACTCAGCTAACTTAGAGAAAACGGTAGTCTGTAAGTATTAGGATTCATTTTGCCATATTACTCACCCAAATGCTAACATTCTTTGTCACTTGAGCATGTAGGTTACCGTCCCTGGCGAACATGATTCGTGTTTGAGAACTAGTATTCTTTCACTCTAGAATACTACACGCAGTCACTCACAAATTCTATAGCCTGTAAGTTGCACGCGAGGTCTGGACTGTTCTATTGAATACAGCCGCTAACGAATGATAGCCCGTAGGTCTTTTTCTCAACACTCTCGTGAAATGCACCCTTGGGAAACATCGCTTCGAGTTGTTTCACATAATCTAACGATTTCTTAACAGCTGAACGACATATGGGAATTTGCAGTAAGTAACAGTGCTGCGGAAGGATTGATTCACATTTCAGGAGTATCGGATACCTTCCCTACGTCATCTCCTTCATCGAGACTATGCGACACATGCGGACTTATGGAGGTCTGGGCACAACCATTTCGAATCGAGGATGATTTAACATCATTGGAGAAGTACTCTGTTGGCTGCGAGTTCTGTAATATGAGGTTGAAAGTGTGCATGAGGTTCAATTTCCAATCTCACACCAAAATTCGGTTCGACAGGTTGGGCTCCACCATCAGAGTCAACGAAAGATATCCTCCGGTCTTCACGGTATCTCAAGATCCAGGTATGGGTTGCCTGATGCGCTCTTGAGCCTCATTATTGACTAAACGAATGCGCAGAGTCTTGTGGCAATTCATTAGTTCCATACCTGCAGATAGGACCACCGCAGCTGCCAGGCGTTGGGAGCTCATCTCATTTTCGCACTCTTCGTCAACTTCTCACGGATTGCGATCATCAACACCCAGGATGCAAGCAGATCAGGAATTATCCTTTGCCGAAACGGCTCATTGATGTGGGTTCTGAGACCAATCCGAAGATCAGCTTACATGAAACATCACCAAATGTGGGCATGGAATACTTGGCACTATCACATCCATGGGGAAACCCTCCGCATTTCTGCACCTTCAGGAGGAACCTAAGCGACTACTATCGCGGTATTGATTTCTCCGATCTGCCTGCAACATTCAAGGACGCCATAATAGTTACCAGGAGCCTCGGACTCAGATATTTATGGATCGACTCGATTTGCATAATACAAGGACAAGATGGCGATTTCTCCGAGCAGGCAGAACAAATGGAGAACATCTTCTCTCAGGCCTACTGCGTTCTTGCAGCGAGTTCTGCAACAAGCCAGCAAGACGGGTTTCTTCACCCTCGGCGCAGGCGGGACGTCGTACATTTTGAAACCAATAACAAGCCGACAATCCATGTCGGAGACTTCATGGACAATTTTGACCAACACGTTCTGCAAAGTCCTCTTAACCGACGAGGATGGGTGTTACAGGAAAGGGCATTGGCGAGGAGAACTATCTACTTCACTTCTGAGCAAACATTCTGGGAGTGCGGAGCCGGTGTGCAGTGCGAGACCATGACGAAGATGAACAAGTAGGATCATTGCACTCCTCGAAGCATTGCGGTTTATCAATGAATTTCTGACATATTTCCCACGCAGTACACTTGCATCCTTCCTTGGCGACCCGGCTTTCCCCAAAGTCGCAATGGAGTCTTCACGAGGAGGGAAGATCCGGCTATACCAGGATCTCTACTCGCGCTACTCTCGTTTGGGGCTCTCACACCAGCAAGATCGCCCAATCGCGATCTCAGGGCTTGAGAAGCGCCTGATCGAAAGCTTCGACGTCCACGGGGCTTTCGGCGTTCTCGACGATGGCAAACACGGATTACTGCGACGCAGCTTGCTGTGGTGCAGAGGCTCTGACCAGCCAAGCCTCGAGAGAGTGGATTTCCAGGAGACTGAGCGACAGCAAACGCCACACCGAGCACAACACCCACCCTCATGGTCGTGGATGGCTTATAAGGGCGGTATTGACTACCTCGACCTTCCTTTTGACAGAATAGATTGGGAAGAGCACGATATTCTGTCGCCGTGGTCTAGTTATCAGCCTGGAACGAGATACAGCAGCAAGTGGGGGGAGAAAAACACCTTGCTAGGATTGAGTGTCATTCCCAGGAGATTTGACATTGGGACTGTCCAGAGAAAAGACTCGATGCTCATTTATGACACACCATCCAGCTCCGCAGGAGCGCCTCCAGGCCTGAAGTGTGTCATCTTGGGGAAAATGAGGAAGTCACTTCGACCAGAACATGAGAGGCTGCACTATGTCATGTTAGTTAGGCCAACATTCAATACTGGTACCCATGGCAAGACGGTATACGAGAGAGTTGGTGTTGGATATATGCCTGGATTTCTTATAGACGTGGATGGGCCTGCGTCAATGGAGATGATTTACTGATTAGGACTTCAATTGACGGCTATCTTTAAGATACATTTTCAGGCCGTGTGCTTTCTGACTTTCTTTTACTTTATTAGCATCAGGGTCTTTCTTTTCCAAAGAAACGGAAAATAAATTCTTCGCGATTCAGCATTTTCTACTTTATGAAGGGACCGCATATGCTTTTTGGAATGTATCCGGATTAAGAAGGCAACCACTTTCATCACTGCATTATACTGTCCACAACCCCAAAAACCACCAGAACCAGGACAACCAGACTTTTGGTCTAGAGAACTTGTGAGAATCACCAGTTGACGCCGCCAAAAGGTCATTCACGGAGCTCCATTTCTTCGGGAGCGGGTGAGGCCGCTGGCCATGGAGATCCTGCGTCCTGGTATGAAGCTTCCGTCCATGTTAGGGCACCGTAGACGAGGTTCAAAAGATTGTGTCAACATAAATGTGAGTAGGTATCATTGATGATGTATATGTGACATATGAGGACCAAGCTACGGCTCTTCTTCCACATCGTCGACGGGGTCGTGCCGCAATAATTCTGCCTTTACGTCAGCAATTTGAAGCGGATTCGCGGGGGTGAGATATGGAAGTTTCCTACCACGACGCTCTGGGGCCCTGCTGCTTGCCTTCCCAGGGCGCTCCTGTTCGATGCCAAACAGCGATGCCATCTCTTCGAGGGTTTTGCCTCTGGTCTCGACAAGACAGTAGCGAACAAATATGAACGCAAGGACATTAATGGCGGCCAATATCAAGTAGAGACCCCATGAGATTGCCGTCATGATAGGCGGTGTGACTTGAGCAACAAGGAAGTTGGCAATCCAGAGCGATGCCGTGCAAAGGGCGTTCCCTTTCGACTGTGGCGGTGTAAGTCTCCAACTTATAGTCACCATTTCTTTTTTTTTTTTTTTTTGGAGTCACGAATCTGGGGGCAACATGTACTCACTCTTAAAGATATAGGGAAGATCTCGGCAGCGTAGAGCCAGCTACCAGAGCTCCATGACATATTGAAGAAGGTGAAGAACATGAATGGGAACAGAATAATAGCATAATTCCGAGGGTCACCAGGGTTGCTCTCAGCGTGCCTCTGCAGAACCGCAATGCCGATTAGAGCTGTGAACATGCCGACGAGGCCCAGCTGCAGCCACGTCTTCCGCCCTAGCCTGTCGTAGTAGAAGATGGGGATCCACGAGGACAAGAACAGCACAACGCCAACACCGCTTGTTGCCAAGTTGGCAATATTTGGGTCGGTGATGCCGCCGTTGTGGAAGAGCTGCGGGGTATAGTAGAATATCGCATTGGTCCCCGTCACCTGCTGCAGGAACTGGATCGTGACGCCAAGCAGCGTGACGCGGAGGACAGGGCCGCGGAACATATCCAGCCAGCCAGCCCGTTCCACATCCCCGCGGGCCTGCTCCTCGCCGACCGTGTCTTTGATCTCGGCCATCTCGACGGCGGCCGCCTCCTCGCCATGGAGGCGCGTGAGCACCTCGAGCGCACAGTCATAGCGCTCCTGCGCGACCAGCCACCGCGGGCTCGGCGGGACCCACGAGGACCGCCAGCACCCGGCAGCCAGCAGCGCGGCGGGGAGGACCTGCAGGACGACGGGGAGGCGCCACCAGCCGTCCGACGGCACGAGGAGGAAGCAGGCGTAGTCGACGAAGAAGACGGCCATCTCGGCAAAGCACAGTATCATCAGCTCGATGCCGACGACGCGGCCCCGCAGGGAGGGCGGGCTGATCTCGGAGATGTACAGCGGCACGCCGGCGGCGAAGGCCCCGACGCCCAGGCCCGTGACGAAGCGCCCGGCCGTCATCTGCGCGACGGTCGAGCTGGCCGCCTGGGCGAGCGCGCCGGCGATGGCCAGCACGGACGCGAGGGAGAGGGTGCGCTCGCGGCCCAGGGCGTCGGCCGCGGCGCCGGCGGAGAGGGCGCCCGCCGCGCACGACAGGTTGTAGATGCTGACCACGAGGCCGACGGCCCAGTCGCTCGGGTGGCCCATGAGGGTGTTCCAGCGCTCGTCGGCGACGATCATGCCCATGACGCCCTGGTTCCAGCCGAACAGGAACCCGCCCAGGGAGACGAAGGCGGTGAGCGAGTAGACATATCCCGGGCTGGGGGGCCGCTTGGAGGCCGGACTCGAGCCCCGGGGCGGCCGGATGAGCTTTGTCTGTTTGAGGGAGCCGAGGAGTCTCGTTATGGCGGCCATGCCTTGGGTCTCAGGGCCGGGTGGCTGTTCCAAGTTGGATGGGCGTGGCGGTGTGCGGGAGTGATACTTCAAGTTATTAGTAGCCTATGGACGGACGGCCAGTGAGAGGAGACTGCGGACGTCGATACCAGTGAATAAAATCAGGCTGGCACAAATGCTACTTGTCGCCCAAGGGACGACGTTGGTGTGATCACGGTGAGACAACGTTTTGGTAGCACGACGTTGACACAAGGCGGCTTGCCAAGCCCCTGCCAGTGTGGATTATTATTAGCGCCCGAGGACGGTTATTCCGGGATGCCCCTTTTACAGCTTGAGCGCCAGTGGCATCTCGCTCAAAATTCCACGGACAAAATACTGAGTACAATATATCCAAGACTAATAGTAAGAAAGAATATTCTAGGATCATTGGCTTCCCGCCCCTCGTTACCCATCAAAGCATCCATCTGTTGTTGGTGACGACGCAGCACCCAAGACCCAGCCCTGGTTGAATGATACAGAATGAGCCAGGTCAGGGGTCGTAGGTATGAGCCAAGTCGCCCAGGATCTCATCAGACTTAGTCACGGGGATGGCATCAAAGTGGCCAGTCCACGTCCCGGAGCCGATGCCCTGATACGCCGCCCGCTGAAGCTGCAAGCTCTCCGTCGTCGCCCATTCCAGGCGGGAGTAGCCCGCGATTTTCTTCCGGTGGTACAGGCAGTCCTGGATGGGCTCAAGGAGATACGAGATGGCGATGATGACGGTGCCGACCACGTAGGTGAAGTATATCCCAAACAGGCTGAAAGATGTAGACTTGGTGCTCAATATCTTCTTGAGTCCCCATGGACCTGGTCAGCACGTAGTCACCCTTATGGTCTGCAAATAGATGGCTTACAATCGGCTTACCTGACTGTTGCAGAAAGCATTCTGAATGTGCGAGCTCGGCGGACGGATCGTGTACGGCTCCAGACCCTCGGACGGCCCAACGGCGACATCGACCAGCCCCGCCTGCGTGGACGCGAGGGCCGTGGCCCACCAGCGCTCCACGTCAAGCTGCCACTGGTTCCCCGCCAGCGACCCCATGACGCCCTCCCTCATGACGTTCTGGGAGGACAGCGAGAACAGCCCGAGCTGCGCCAGCGTGTCCGACACGGAGATGCTGCCCCCGTACGCCACGACGGCCGTGAACCACTGGAACCGCTGGCCGAGGGGGTTGTCCTCCACAAAGCCGCCCTCCATCACCGCCTCCTCGGAGATGTTGAAGACGCCGGCCGACTGGGCCTGGTAGTCAAAGAAGCCCTTCAGCGGCCCGCAGTGGCCGGCGTCGCCGTTGCAGATCTGGTACTGCTGCAGGCAGCCCAGGGGCGAGGCCGCCTCCTCCGCGCTGTAGGCCACCTGAGCGGATTCTTCTTCGGGGCCGAAGAATTGCCATTTCTCGCCCGGCACCGTTCCGCGGTACCACGGGTCGATGGTGCTCTCTGTGTAGCGCACGCCGTTTGCGACGAGGAACGCGATCGTCAGGTCTCCGTCGTCTCGAGACAGCTCGGGGATGGGATGGAAGTCCGAGGAAGTATCTGGGATAGGTGCGGGTATGTGGTATGCGCGGATCGCCCTGTCTCGAGCAACATAGTCAGCTCACAGGCACTTATTTCGGGTTGCGGTGGGGTGTGGGTAAAATTCACAGGGGGTTGACTTACGCCACTTGAAGGACTCTCCCTCTCCCTTTGGTATGGTCGTCCCTGATGTCGGGATACTGGGACTTGAGATCTGGAGCCTCAAAGGTAAAGTCCTGATCTTGGAACGCGTTTGATGGCCCGTAGTAGTACCTCGTGAAATTCCCCGAGGGAAGGGCAATGTTGCGCGAGTAATTGCCAGTCTTCAATGGTGCGCATTGGAGTGTACTCCGGTACAGGATGCGTTGACTCGCCGGAGAATTAATGCCGAGAAGCTTGCTGGTGTCGATGTGGCCAGTGTCCATGTAGATATTCGAGTCGTTGCTGCGGCAGACACTGCTGTCGAATGGGCACGGTGCATTACGGTCGATGAAGCTAGTAAGCCTCGGCTGGACAAACTTTGTGCAGTCAAAGGCCCGGGATGTGTTCACATAGCACTGCTGTGCATAATTTGCAGCGTTGAACAGCGAGTTGGCAGCGTAGGTCAGCTCGGGGTTCCCAGAACCATTGACGACCGGACTGACGATTCCGCAGTGGGACCCATCTAGGAGGACCTCATTGCCGATTCCTGTCGACAGCTGTGATGAGAAGCCTCCGGCCAGGGTGAAGGCTGCGGCACATAAGACGGCTGTGAAAACGAGCGGCATGGCACGTGAAAGCAGCCGGTCGGCTACCTTGCGCCACGTCCAGACCAACTGAGAAAGGGTCCAGAGACTTGCGAGTGCTGACGCCGAGTTTCGAAGAATAGCTTGTCGTTGATGATGCAGGGCGTCACGTGGTTCTGATGTAGAAAATCTCTTGTGTGCTATGAAGCAAAGAATGCGCCAGAAACGCGTTGATACGAGGCTGATGAAGACGGCTGTGAACGAGAGGAGATAATTACCGTCCTTCCGGGACAGAGTAAGTGTGGCTCCCATGATGCGCCCTCGAGACCAGTTCGTCCAGACGCCATGATGAACTGCGTAATCTGCAGCTGACATCGCGCTGCTCCAGGAATTCGGGTCACTCATCTTGGGAATGTGCTCAGAGGTGTGATATATTTGCAGGTGGACCGGAAGAGACTGTCATGGAAAGGAAGATGATATTTCGAGTAATAGTCAAGGCATGAGGCAAAAGACGTTAGGTAATGAGTTATGAGTAAAGACAGGACTGGCATGGTCTTAATCATATTTCTAAAACACATTCGTTGCGGTCTCTTATATGACCAACTATGAGCAGTTCTGTCGTGTCGCAAGCTGTGTAAGTGTGCAAGGCAGACCTGAGACCCTTGGAACCCAAATTGCCCCTTGAGAGCGGCTGGATTTTCTGCTCGCACACCGTATCAGGTTCTTCAAGCGGCGTGAGTGGCAACAATCTGGGGGCTCCAAGATAACACCGGGCCAGTGAAGTGATATTGGTTCATAAAATCAAAATACAGTTACTTCGTCTAAAAGGCAAACATCCATGTACAGCCCCCACTCATCGAAAATTCCATTTCATTCGACAGTCTTGGCCTTAATGGGGGCCAATCCATAAACGATCAGGTGATACTGCAGCCGATAGAAACACTGCCAGGCTCAGCTCAACGCCCGGAGAGAAACAGGCTGAATGCTTGGCACTATTGTTTTGCGTTGCCACCCAAGATTGGCTGACCTACGAGACGGCCCCCACGCACGAGAATCATGTTTGAAAGGGTGGTAGACTTTTGTAGCAATTAGCTGTCTGTTATGAGTGACCGTGGGGTCTGAATCTCACGTTCCCCCAAGTAGCTTAATCTTGGTTATTCCGCCCATCACGCGCTTCCTCCTAATGAATTCTCCAACTCAACAAGCTCCCTGAAGCCCTCCACAATCTCCTTCCGCCGCTCACCCTCCGGCCGCGGCAACGGCTTCCGCGCCCAGCCCCCATAGCCAAAGTACTCCTGCAGTCCCACCTTGACGCCCACCGCGCCGGATTTGATAGCCGCCCAGTCGCCGCGCGCCAGGATCCTCTGCAGCTTCTGGTCGCCCTGGCCCTTGACCAGCGACCTGTATAGCTGGACCACCGTCGCGGGGGCCACGTTGGCGATGCCGGGGATGACACCCGCTGCCCCCGCGGCCATGGCGGGCGTGAGGAAGTCGCCTGAGCCGGCGAAGCAGAGGAAATCTGGGTACTCGTTTGCGTAGGCCTCGTCGTGTCCTGCGGCGGGGACGGGCTTCCCCGTGAACTCGGCGGCCACCCTCGCCAGCTTGCCCGTGTTGCCGCAGGTGAACTTGGCCCCGACGATGTTGCGGTGGGCGCGTCCCAGGTTGATCAGATCGTCGCTGTTGAGGTCCAGGCCCGAGACGGCGGCGGGGTAGTTGTAGATGATGATAGGGATGGGGCTCTTGTCCGCGACGTCAAGGAAGAAGCGGGACACGGTCTCCTTATCGAACAGACCCTGGTAGTACGCGGGGGGCAGGACGAGGGCGGCATCGCCGCCATTGAGGGCTGCCTGCTTACACAGCTCGATGGTCTGGCGGGTGGACTGGGCGGCGCAACCCACGATGAGGGGCATGTCGTTGAACCCGGCCTCGTCCAGGGCGTTCCGCGTGATCTGGGTGATGTGGTCCCGCTCGTAGTCGAGAAGGTGCACGGCCTCCCCATTGGAGCCCTGGACGGCTATGCCGGTAACACCTGCGCGGGCTAGGCGAACAGCATGTTTTGCGACACTGTCCAGGTCTACCTGCTCGTCTGCGTCGTCTTTGAAGAAGGCTGGTGTTGGGACGTAGACGCCTGGGACTAATGGGTGGACATTCTTCCTCTGGCGGGCGTCGTGGGAGCCGTTGGCATGGCCAGCGCCTTCTGAGGAGGGCATATTGCGTGGCGTTGTGAGTGGCGTTGTGAGTGGGCGTACTTGTGTATGTATGTGAGGACTGATGATACAAAAAGTCTGAGGGCCCTCCAATATAGCAAATCATACACGTAAATAGTGCTTTGTATGAGTGAGCTTGAGTCCGCTTCGAGTCAAATGTTGGACAGAGAAGAGTACGGACGTCGCAGGTCTTTGCACAAAAGGGTGTTAGTTCCTGGGAAGGGGGGTGTGTTGGTGGCGGAAAGTGCACACGCGACATATAAGAAGGATGGGCGTGGAGGAGGACCGACGCAGACCAACCAGTCAGTCATTGACAGCGGACCATGACGTCCGCCGAAACGCAAGCAGTGACGGGACCACGCCCACAAGTGCTGCAACAGCAACAAGCAACACGACTCGGGAAGCGTGGCCAGAACCACCACCATGCACACCACGCACACACACGCCTTGGACCAGCGCACCAGCTCCTCCACATGCAGTGCTCCACCCCCAGGAAACCCACCAACCCGGGGCCGGGCATATCGGATTTGTTTGCGGGCGGTGGACAAGGCTGGTCGAGCTGGTCGAGCTGGTCCCGTAGTTTGCCATGGCCCAGGCACCACACACACAGCTGAGACGGAAGGCTTCCGAGTGGGACACCCCACAGAGTCAGGACGGACGATCGCGAAACCCTGGGCTCAGTTGTGGGAGCCAATCTTTGACGTAACTTTAATCATACGGCAGGCCCATGGCGCCGTCCCTCTTCCCCCTCCCCCCTTCCCTTCCGGCCAAGGACGGGGCGGTTTGCCCCAAACCCAAAGCTTGGACGGGCTTGACGGGGTACTCCGTAGCCAGCCTAGCCCTGAGAGGGGACAGCTCATGAGCAACGAGCTGTCCTGCGTTACCTCCGACGGCAAGCTAAAAGGCGGAGAAGAAAGAAATTGTTGGTTGGCTTTGTTCCCTAGCCGGGATGAGGCCGGCCCGAGTGTGAGCCGGCCCATCTGTGCGATCGTGGGGGGGCTGGTTGGTTGGCCTTGGGGTCGGTCATGAAAGGTAGGCATGGTGTTGTTGGCTCTCTCTCAGGTGCTATCACGGCTCTCGCAGGGCAGGGCGAAGCAGGATGGGCTGATTGATGTCGCCAGTGCCAGGCCGGGGACTTGGCCTGCATGCCTGCTGCATGCTTGCATGCCTGCCTGCCAGCAAGCCTGTCAGTCCTGCATTAGCCACGCAGCCCGTACCTGAAAACAGACTGACAGACTGAGAGAGAAATTTGTCCTTGCTTTTCTGTGTGGTCTTTTCGTGGGCCGGAAGCACATGATTCTGCAGGTGATGATCTGTTCATGCGGGTGGCCGAGACAAGCAAGCGTGGTGTGGCGTGGTGGTGCCTTCTGTTGCAGGTGGAAGACTCCGTACCGTGGAAGGGGCCTTGCTTGTTCTCTTCTCCGCCCCCCGCGTGGGGGTGGGGTCCAGTGTCACCTCCTCCGCGATCCCGTCGAGTCCACTCCAGAAGGTACGGGGCACTACACTAGCCTCGGGGCATTTTGCTACCCCTGAGCAGCAGCTGCCATGCAAGCCATGCAAGCCATGTTCCAACTTGCTGCTTGCTCCTGCCGCTCCTGCTCGATAGACTGACTACTGACAACTAGCACGAACCAGCACGAACCAGCACGAACCCGACCGTCGACCAACCAGCCAGCCCAGCCAACTTCGTCTCCTTTTCGCCCGACCTGGCCTCTTTGCTCTTTCTGCTTGCCGATGGCACAAACATCCAAGTGGAGCACGACATTGGCCAGCTACCTAGGTACCATTCCCGAGGCTTGACGATACATCTGCCCCGGCTGGGATGACCGCTGTGCACTTCACCAATACGCCACCCAGGCAGGCCAGGCAGCTGCGGGTATACTGCGGTGCAATTGGGTAATTGTCTACACGCTAGCTGCCAATGGAACATCGCATCAACGTGCAGTCGTCCATGACTGCCGCCTGTCTCGTGGGCGGGATATCGTATGCCAGTTGAGTTGTGGCGGACAGGCTGATGATAACGACCACCCCTGCCGTGGAGATACGGCGGCTGAACTTCTGAGTTCGCCCCCCTTGTGTCTGCAGTGCAATGATGGCCACGGTTTGCTTTTGCCCCTTCTTACCGCTGGTTGCCAGCTCATCATCACAAGCACCCATATCATTTGCATAACTCTAATTCGCCTGCCTCTGCAGGAGCCAAGGTTGCCCTCAGCAGCATCTCTCAAGAGTCCAACATTGGTCGTTCTTCCCCATATGAGATCCCTCCAAGCAGGGGTAACATCGGCCGAGCCACCAATCTGGGCCAGCAGGCCAGTCACGTCCAGTTGCTTGGAACCGACGGGAAATTTCACCTCGAGTTGCAGCGAGACGTGAGCCGTCACAATCTCTCGTTGTGCCACACACACACACACACACACACCCACGACCCTTGGGCAAGGTTGTTGACGTGCAGCATAATCGCAGTAGCTCGAGAAACCCCCACGCCATCAGAGCCCCTAAGAGATAATTATGACTCGGGGCCGAACAAGGAGCACATGTCTGCCGGTCCGGCTCGGCGTGGTCTGAGGGCGGGTCCCAGTTTTCACCGCTCATCGGCGATTGCCCTGCCGAAGGGCGGCAAGCGGCTCCGAATGGCAGGCGCGCAACGCTTCAGTGTTCTTGTGTCTAGGGAGGAAGGCCGCCGCGCTGCAAGTGTAGTGCGTTACTTATCACAGGCTGGGTCATCATCGTCACATCGGCTTGGACTCTCTGTATTATTGGTTACACTCTGAGTTACGTGCAGTCGCTCAGGCATCCCAGCGCGTCCTCTGTCCCAGGACTGTTCGAACCGCCGATTCAGCATCACGCTACGGATCCTCTTCCGGTCTCTACCTGCCTGTTTCGCGAGCACCTGTTCTCACCGCATACGCCGTCTGCAGAACCAGGCAACCAGCCTTGTCACAATGGGCGATCATACCGCAGGCCCCCAGCCACCCTACCCTCTCCACCCCTCCGTGGTCCCACGAATCGACCCCGTCTACGCCAACTTCTACAACGAGCACGTCGCAGACAAGCAGCAGGTCCACCTGCAGCCCGTAGAGGCCTCCCGCACCAGCGGCGTCCTCATCCCCGGCGCTGGGCCAAAATACCCCGTCGCCAAGGCCGAGGACTTGTCCTTCCCGCGCAGCCAGAGCACCGGCCCCGACGTCAGGGTCCGCTGTTTCACGCCCGATGGGCCGAAGCCCGACAAGGGATGGCCGTGTTTGTTCTACTTCCATGGTGGTGGCTGGGTGCTGGGCAACATCGACACTGAGAATGTCATTGCCACAAATTTGTGTGGGCGCGCCAACTGTGTCGTGGTCAATGTCGACTACAGGTAATTCAGCCTCACCCTCACCCTCACAGCCAGCCCACCGCACTCAATACTAACAGACCTTTTGACAGGCTCGCACCAGAAGACCCCTATCCCGCAGCAGTAGACGACTCCTGGGAAGCCGTCCTCTGGGCCCTCAGCGCCGCGGGCAAGGCCGTCCTGCCCCCCATCGACCCCACCAGGCTCGCAGTCGGCGGCTCCTCCGCCGGCGCGAACCTCGCAGCGGTCATGTGCCAGCGCGCAGCAAGCCGGCCGGAGCTGGGCCTCCGCTTCGCCGCGCAGCTGCTGTCCGTCCCCGTGGCCGACAACACCGCCTCGCCCGAGACCAAGGCCTCGTGGCGCGAGAACGAGAACGTGCCCGCCCTGCCCGCGGCCAAGATGCTCTGGTACCGCCGCCACTACCTGCCCGACAAGGCCGACTGGGCGGCCCCCGAGGCGAGCCCGCTGCTGTGGGAGGGCGACTGGGCGCGCCTGCCGCCGGCCGAGGTCGTGCTGGGCGAGCTGGACGTCCTGCGGACCGAGGGGGAGGAGCTCGCGCGGAGGCTTGTCGAGGCTGGCGCCACGAGCACGAGGGTGACTGTCATGAGGGGGCAGCCGCACCCATTCATTGCCATGGATGGGGTGTTGGACTGTGGCAAGCTTGCTATCACGTTGTTTGTGGAGAGGCTTCTGAGGGCGTTTTATGTTGAGGATTAGGATTCTGACTCTGGGAGCCTGTGCATATGGGCTCGTATTTATTGAGTTAGCGTATCACCAGCGACGTGTGTTCAAAAGTATTGATGCTTTGAAGCTTAACTATGTCCTATCTCTCTGATTGCCTTTTGTGGAAGGTTCCTCTTTGGAGCGCTGTTCTGTGGCAAGATGTCCCGTAGCGTTGGGGGGTTGCTGTGGCATGCGACCATGTGGGAGGTCATCCCATAGGCGTTTGGGGTGGCCGCGTAGAGGACACCTGAGCAGTGCTCGTCATGAATCGGAATTCTTGTCATTCTGCTGTGCAAGTTTGAGTACATGTCGTATGGGTCGGCGTCGGTGTGGCAGAAGTAGTCAGGCAAGTGCCTAGAAGACCACTGGATCATTGCTGCCTATCAAAGTTAGATATGATTTTATCAAACATCACAAAAATTTTAAACAACAAGGAAGATGTTGGAAATACTAGAAAGAAGGTGAAAGCAATCGAACAAAAACCTTGGACGTTAGACTCATAGCCGCGTGTGTTGGTAAGCCCTTGCCTAATTGCATGAAGTGTCACTTATTCTGAAGGGCCCAGAGCTTCTGGCCCAAAGTTTCATCTTAAATGTGTGGCATTCCATGCTCACCCTGTTGTGTGCGTTTCAAGTCCACTTTTACATCGTCATGGTTTTGAAGATGGTGGGCGTGGCTCAAGTGGTTGGGGCAATCCACTTTGACGCCCAGTCCGCTCACCCACATGTAGGGAATTGGAAAGAATCATGTTCTTTCAAAGTCCAAATCGTTTGTTCCGTCACCAATTTCACTTCTGCTGATCAGCCTCTATCTTTTTGCTTTCCAGATTTCAGGTCCTCTGATCATTCGATCCTTTTGGGCTGAAACTTGATGTACATTCAATCGCATCTCTAGTTTCTCATCCATGCTTGAAGCCATGTCCAACAAAGAAGAGGCGATCTCTCTGGCTGTGGGCACTTGTAAAAGGGTAACAGAAACAAGTTTGCTCCTACAAGACTTTCGACCAGTAGCCAAAGCGAAACGCCACTCGCTGGCACCAGGTCGCCTTTGAGTCCCCGATGGTTGAATTCGTAAAAGATTGCGTTCAGCGACCTTGATGGAAGACATCTATCGCTGAATTTGACTACCACCGGTCCCATAAGCCGACGAGCCGGGCCTTAAACCGCCACATCCATTACCTAGATAAGGAAGTAGGCGAAAACTCTTCCCCCAAGCTTTCCAGGCGATGTTTTCTTGAAAGAAGGGAGATGCAACCGGAACCTGCCGAGAACTGTGGCAGACCTGCGCGGCTTCGGGCCCATCCAGAACATGTCGACTTCTCAATCTTCAGAAGTGCCATTCCTCTCCTGAGACTAAGGAGACCTCTGGCCTCTTTGGAAGATTCAGTGGAGGCGTCTTACTGGTCGGAAAGCGCTACTGCTCATTATCGACAAGCTTTGGTTTCCGCTTTGGGTGCTGAATAGGATCTCGTCAGCCGCCACCTCGAGGAACCTCCCACACCACGGAAGCTGCTTACCGACCGAAGTACTCGCTCGAGTGGATTGACCAATCAGTTCTGTCAGTCATTGCAGAGGACAAAAGTGTCTTTGGGCCCGCGGGCCAGGCGAGCCTGTGACTTCAGGAGAAGAAGCACATCTACGCCTCGCGGTCGACGAGCTTTATCATCACATCTTTGACGAACGGCTCCTATTCAGACACCGAAGTGGGCAAGCTCGTCAGGAGAGTGGGCAGGTTGGTGGGATCACCCGGCGAGGAGAAGGGAAGCATATCTGGACACGCACGGGTATCCTGAAGCCGACGCCGTGTTTCTTTCACTTGAACTGAATAGTCAGCGGCAGGGCGTATTGAAAGCTGCGGGGTGGCCATTTCGAAGGTTTGGCTTGCGAGCCGGTGGCCCTATTCAGCGGTTCGGTGTCAATTGTGATCAATAGGCCGACTGCTTGGGTGACTTCTGAATAGCTTGAGGCCAGACGCCGCCCGAGTATAAGTTCCCGGAGAGCCCGTTGGTTCACATTCCTCTTGTCCCTTCTCCCTCCCCACCGAGATACAAGATCATCCAAGCCAATCCAAAGGATCTCTCAAGACAAGTTTACCAGTGTGTCGAACGATCAGTTCCACAACTCAACACGGTCAACCCCCATACATAACAAAAAAAGAAAAAAGAAAAAAAAACAGCCCCCACAGGCAGACAAGCCACTCAACTATTAATAATACCATTCTTTCCAAGACAACGTCTTTGACATGAAGTTTTCCGTGATCGCAGCCGTGGCCTTCTCGGCCGCCTCGGCCAACGCCATCGCCATCGCGGCGGCCGAGGCCAACCCTTCCCCCGAGGCATGGTGCTTCTGGAAGGGCGAGGGCTGCTGGAAGGCGAAGCGGGCGGCCGAGGCCTTCAGCTCGGCCCTGCAGTCGACCGGCGGGTACAAGGAGTCCCGCGCCGCCGACATCTCGAACCAGCCGGGCGGCGCCGCCTACCACGCCAAGAGGAACTTTGAGCAGCTCGCCGCCATCGTCGCCTCGGTCTACCCCAGCCCGGAGGCCCTCTACGAGGACCTCAACCTCATCGGCGCGTTCCCCCCGGACTCCAACCTCACCATCCCCGAGGGCCAGGGCCCACCGCCGCCGTCCGGCCTCGCGGCCCGTGACGAGGCCGCGGCCATCGACCCGAGGTGGTGCTTCTGGAAGGGCGAGGGCTGCTGGAAGCGCGAGGCGACGCCCTGGTGCTTCTGGAAGGGCGAGGGGTGCTGGAAGCGCGGCGTCGAGATGAGCAAGCGCGAGGCCGAGGCGAACCCCTGGTGCTTCTGGAAGGGCGAGGGCTGCTGGAAGCGGGCCGACGAGGCCAGCTCGGCGGTCGACAAGCGCGACGCGGCCCCGGCGTTCTGCCCCTTTGGCGGCGAGGCCGGGTCCGTGTGCTACGCCTCCAAGCGCGACTTCATCGAGGCCGACAGGCGCGCCTGTGAGGAGCCCGGCCAGGCGTGCCACAAGGCCCGCACCGCCGCCGAGGCCCTCATCCGCGCCATCGAGGACGGCGGTGAGGCCGAGGCCGTCTCCAAGCGCGACGTCTCCCAGGACCTCGAGGCCCGCTGGTGCTTCTGGAAGGGCGAGGGCTGCTGGAAGCGCGACGGCATGGACGAGGTCGTCGCCCGCTGCAACAGCCCCAGCGGCGCCTGCACTGCTGCCCGCCGCGACCTGACCAGCATGCACGCCGCCGCGCGCAACCTCCTCGACTCTCTTGACGCCGAGGTCGTGTAGACAGGCCGTGAGTTGGCAGAGTCCACATGTCTTTCGGTGACAAAGCATGGTGCTGACATCTCTGTCAATAGTGAGCGCTCTGCATGACATGCCTCCTATACCAAAGTTTCAACAACATACAAACCCCTCTTCGTTTCTTCAACGACATGACCCGTTTCCGACATCATACTTGGAGTCACCCCGCCCAGCACATACCAAATAAAACATTTCTCTTCTTGTTCGTCGAGCATCCGCCACAAACACCACTCGCTGCACCAAGGTCGAGACTGTGGGGACCACATATCTCTCCATGGCACAAGTGGCGGCTCATGAACCCTTATTTTCTCATCTGAAAACTTAGTTAGTGGATTAATCGTGGCGGGGGGATGAGGGCATTGTCGCTTACCACATATTTCTTTGAATCGAGACGGCGCGGCGGTAAAGTCGCGCTGCTCTCGCAGCTTAATGCCTAAAACGAATGTATTTAGGATGGCAGAATTGACAATATTTTTCTGCTGCATGGTTGCTGGTGTTCATCTGTCGCAGTGATTTATGGAGTGTTCCGCTCACGAAGCCTCATGACCTGCACTGAGCTAGGCTCTTACAGGCCAGGTGAAGTGAAAGACCGCCTCTTGTAAACATATCGAATTGGGCGGCAGCCTCGGGGTATATACCATTGCCCTGGATGATTCGCACTCTAACGTATTCCCATGCTCTTTGACTCCGTCTTGACCTGTTCCGTAGGCCCTGTTCGTACCGCAAACCCCAGCCACGCCGGTTTCTCCTCCCTGAGTACCTAGGCAGACAGACAACCCTCCTCTTTAGCCCATCGCCACACCTCACATCAACAACCGCCAAGCACCGAGCATCAGCGCCGCGAAACCGGTGCAGACACCAATGAGCCACTGCAGCGTCTGGAACTTGACCATCTCGAGCTGCTGGCGCAGCGCCCCCGCCTCCTGCTCGATCTTGGTCTCGGTCTCCTTGATGCGCAGCTCCTGCGAGACGGCCTCCTCGCGGATGCGGCCCTTCTCGAGGTTGAGGTCCAGCCGCACGCTCGCCTGCGTGCGCCCGATCTCGTCCTTGAGCCGGTTGTTGAGCTTGGCGATGTCGTTGGTCAGCCGCTCGTGCGCCGACCGCGTCGCGTTCGACTCGGTGCTGTCCGCCGACAGCAGCTCCGACCGCAGCGTCGCGAAGTCCACCTTTTGCGTGTACGTCGCCTTGGCCGCGTCCTCGCGGAGGACCATTGTTCGCGTGAGGTTCTGGATGCTGTTGTTGGGTTGGGCGGGGAGTGTCAGCCTGGGGTTCTGTTTTGTGGGTGGATTCGGGCCAGGGGCAGCGTGCGCGATTCTTTCTAACCTTTCCTCGATCACATCGTTCAGGACCTTCATCATGGCCACCGACTGCTCCTCGGTGAAGCCCTCCCCTTGCAGTCTCTGGACGAACTTGAGCGTGTCGAAGTGGTGATCCCTCCTGCGAGGGGCTGAGGCGTGGAAGGCCCTCCGCAGACCGGGCTGCTGCTGGAGCATAGATCGGGGTTTGGCGGTGGCATTGATACCGGTGTGCCGTGGCGCACCCCTTTCACTGTGCATGGATCGTGCCTGGGGCTGCCATGGTCGCAAGGTGCTCGACTGGCTCGCCGCCAGCGATGTCGCCAAGCACTGTTTCGCAACGGGTGCCGTCCAGCTCAGCCGGGGCAGCAAGAAGCTGGGAAGTGTTGAGACGGCGGTGGCCATGGCTGGGAGGCAGGGGAGGAGTCGTGGGCAGTAGGTTGGGAGGTTCAGAGCGGGATTAATCAGTTGCGAGCCTGCGATGTCATGGGCATTTATTGGACTGCACCCCTGGCCAGCAGCTGCAGTAGACAAATGACTTGACGTTCATGTGTCCAGAGATTCGGGCCCACTCGCGGGGGGCGTCGGCAGGCCCCAGGACTGCCAGGGGTCCTGCCGTCGCATGACATAATCACCTCCCCAGCTGGCTGATTGGCCCAAGCCAAGGCCCCATGGCCCCACTACGGGCGAGCCGCCCTTTAAAACTTCTTGGGCCCTTGCGCCGCCAGCTAATTTTCTCTCTCTCTTTTTTTCTTCAAGTATGAAAATACACAACGCAAAAATTCACATTCTCGGGATAGTATTTCGATACGAGGTACTCCTCCGCCTCGTGCGCTGGACGTACCCAGGACTGTTGAACTCTCCCGGACAGAATGGAGATCAGACACAAAGCGAACGATCTTGGGTGCGGCGTGTCCCTCGCCTCCGAGGTATGGGACGGGCCGCAATGATCGAGCGTACAGTTCTTGCTCGACCATACCTACTTAGCAGTGATACAATGAAGGATGCGGCTGTGAACGTAGATTTTCAAAGTTCTGGCCGTCCAACGCGCTACGAACTGGACGGTGGAGTGGAATCTTTTTGATGCTCAACTTTGCGCTCGTGCCTTTCTGCACAACGAATGGCGTTTGTGATGCGGTCATCAGCTACCTACTCGCTCGTTTCGTCTCAGACTAAGAACGAGCTTCACCAGGAGTGACGTGATACGGGCCTTGGTCGCAATCGTGGACCACATAAATGTGCTCGTGCTTCAAGTTCATCTCGCACGCAGCGCTCTCTGGTCACGATTGACGCGGCGGGCTTGGTGTTGAGGTCCAACAAACAGCTTCATATGTCATGCCATCACATAAATAAAAGCCCCTCGCTCCCCATGAGCCGTCAAAAGTTCAAGACATACTCGTAATTACAATGCTATGGGTATCTACAATCTGTCAAACCTACACTACGATCCCGTACAAGTACAACAAAGCAACGCTAGTCCCCCCCAGCCAGAGGCCCGCCCCTCTTGGCCAGGTTCGCATCCTTGGACACGGGGTCGGCGATCTTGAGCCACTCCCCGTTGAATGCGTTGATGAGCCAGTCCTGCAGCTTCTCGTACACGATCTCGTTGGCGTTGTGGAAGTAGATGCCGTGGTCCGAGTCCGGGAAGACGTGCACGTCGTAATTAGCCACGCCCGCCACGTCGAGCTTGTCCAGCAGCGTCAGCGTGTTCTGCACGTGCACGTTGTCGTCCGCCGTGCCGTGCATCACCAGGAACCGCACGTTCTGCGCGAGCGCCGACGCGTTGCTGATGGCCGTACCGTCGTAGCCCGCGGCGTTCTCCTGCGGCGTCTTCATGTACCGCTCCGTGTACACCGAGTCGTAATACCGCCAGTCCGTCACCGGCGCCACCGCCATGCCGTAGCTGAACGTCTGCCCGGCGTCCTGCTCCAGCGTCTTGAGCGTCATGTACCCGCCGTACGACCACCCCCAGATCGCGATCCGTGATGCGTCCACGTACGAGAGTGACGCCCAGTGTTTCGCGGCGGCGATCTGGTCGTGAGACTCCCAGTGACCTAGCTGTCCCCGAATGACCACGCGGTTCTTGCGTCCGATGAAGCCGGTTCCACGGCCGTCAACCGTCACGACGATGTAGCCGTGGTGCGTCAAGGAGGACTGGAAGTCCTGCTTGAACGTTTTCTTTACCTCCTGCGACCCGGGGCCGCTGTACTGGTAGAATAAGACGGGGTACTTCTTCTTGGGGTTGAAATGGGCCGGCCGGCGCTCGATGTAGTTCAGTTCGACCCCATCCACATTTATCGTGCCGTAGATCTTAATGGGCAGCTCGTATTTCTTAGCGCGTTCTGCGAGGTCTTTGTTCGTCTCCACAACGTGCTCGTACTTTTCGGGGTTGCTAGGCGTGCTCACAACCTTCTGCCAGGGTATCTTTGGGCCCTGGTAGTTCAGCAGGGCGTACCCTGCTCCCGAAGAGAATGAAGCAGAATAATAAGCCTCTTCAGAGGTCTCCGTCATGGGCTTCAGGTCAGTTCCGTCTATCTTGACTGTGTAGATGTGGCGCGTAGTCGAGGATTCCTTGGTGCCGATAAAGTAGACCAGGTTGTTTTTCAGGTCCACTGCTGACGGGGCGCTGTCGACCTCCCAATTACCCTTGGTGATCATGGTGGGTTCTGGGTTGTCCAGGGGTGAGAAGTATGCCAAGTGATCGCCATCATCGTAGATCACAGTGTCGATATAGCCAGCCTCGGGCCGTCCATTGGTTGGGTCTGGGGGTATGTAGCGAGTGTTCTGAGATATCTCGAACCAGCCTCCGTCCAGCTTGCCGACATCCACCGCCCTGACAGTCTTTCCTGAGCGAGCTGCGACATCGACCAGAACCACCCTCATGATGTCAGAGATACGATTCGTCTCTTTTATGAGAACGCTTTGTCCCGCCCAGACAACCGTAGTGATGAGGCGATCCTCGTCCGTGAAGCCCCCTTCGATGTTCACCTCGAAGTTGTCGCCGCGATCGACATCGTGGAAAAGCAGGTCCACGACGGGGTTAGGCGCGCCAGCCTTGGGGTATTTCATGTAGAGCTCCTCAGGATAGTTCTCCAGTGAGTTGAGATGCCCGCCTTTCGGCTTCGATACGAAGTACTGGACGGGATACTCGGGCACAGCCGTATCATTTGTCCTGAAGAAGGCGAGATACTTTCCGTCCTCGGACCACCAGGTTGCAGTGTCACCTCCGAGAACCTCCTCTTCGTACACCCAATCCGGTCGCCCGTAGAAGTAATTCTCGCCTCCGTCCTCGGTGATCTGGCGCACCTCTTGGGAGTCAACCCAGCGCAGGTACAGGTTGTTCTCCCTGACGAAGGCGATCGCGTTGCTCGTGGGGCTCCACTTGGCAAGCTGCACCGGAGCATCAGTGGCCCCGGGGATCAGCGGTTCCGCGGCTTGTCTTGCGACATCAAATATCCAGTACCTGGCCGTGACGGAATGCCTGAAAACTTGCTCCTGGTTGGTGCTGATGAGCACCTTTTTCATATCCGCGCTGGGCCAAGCACCAACGATCTGGTGCTGGGTGCCCTCAAAACCGAACCTGCCGCTCTTGATCAGGGTCGTTGATTTCGCAGCATCAACACCGGCGGCCGCCTCTGGATCCCGGCTCCTAACGTCCTCTACCACCAGGTAGTCTTTGCCAGCAGCGTCCTGTTCCAGCAGCAGCCCGTCCTCCCCGTTTGGGCCTGCAACCCAGCTCATGGTATGTGTGACAGGCCTCCAGTTGCCCGACATGATTTCGCCGAGGGTGAGCTTCTTACCACTACTCCGCGCGACGGTAGCTTGCGGGTCATGTTCGAAGTTGGAGCCGTGCTTGTAGGATTTGGAGGATATGTAGACAACCAGGGCGACCACCCAGGCGGCGACGAACACGCCAGACAGGATCAGGACCAGGCGCTTCAGACTCCTGTCCATGTGCTTGGGGCGGGCTACGGCGGCGCCATTGGGGAGGAAGGGGCCGGTCTCGAGGTCGCTGGACGCCTCCTCCTTGAGCGGGTCATCGTCGTCGAACTCGGAGATGGTGTCGCGGTCGGCATAGGGAGCGTTGCTTCGACGGGCGGCAGGGGGGGAGGTCCGGCGCTTGGAAGAAGAAGGGGGCTGGTGGTTTAACATGCGGTCGTTGATCTGGTCGAAGACGATGCTTGTGGTTGAGACAGATGTGTCGGAGCGGTGGGACTCGTGGGATGTCCTCGGGAGGTTGTCGGAGGAAGCCATCGTGAGGGTTTGGGCGGATCGGGGGGGGTGTCAGATAAGATATATCCAGACTCCTTCCTACCAAGGTATCGCCCGCACCAGCACTACTGATGGCCGAGCTAGAAATAAGTCAGGAGTAGTGTGAGAGAGGAGGGTAGAGATCATGAGTGAGGATGAAACAACATGTCGCGCTTGGCCACTTGGCAGGTAGGTGGCTGCGGGCGAGGGCGGGAAGGTTGAAGGAGACGGTTTGGCTATTGAAACCCTGATTCGGATGGCAGGAAGGCAGGAAGTGCCCTTTGTGCTTCTTATCGCACTTGCCTGTGGGTCCGGGGTGATAGTGGTAGCGTGTGGCACAAGACCTGCCAAGTTTAGACTACCCCAGGCGCCCTTGCACCAGTAACTCCAGGGCTCGGTCTGCTGAAGAGGATGGTGCCTGCTTCATGGTTAATTCTCCACACGACGGGCTGAACCATATTTACATACTTGATCCAACCCGAGAACCGTCTCGATCGTGACGTGTTCTGCCTCTACCTAGCGTGAGAAAATTCAACCACTCGTTTTCCAATGCATGCTTCTATTTCTCAAGCTTTCAAATCTCGACAACAGGGTCCTGCCCCAGCGTGGGGGTTTTGAGTTGTGACATGAGTCGACGCAGATCAGGGGCTGGTGCGCTCGGGCAGGTCACAGCAGATCTTGGACCGTTACATCGGGACTGCCTTTGAGCCCTGGACACAACTTCGGAGAAACACCAGATCTCCAGAAATAAAACACAGAGTAGAAAGAATCGTGATCATGTCCTCCAGTCCAGATGTGGACTGAGTTCGGTACGACCAGCAGTAGAGACGAGCCACTTTCAGAGAATCCAAGAGCAAATGACCACACAAACCACGTCACGGTTTCAGCACACATCCCAGCCGTTGCTCTTGAGTCGCGACAACTTTAAGGCTGATTTCACCATGCAATAGTGTTCTGCGGTCCCAAGGGTTGTTCCCGCTCAAAGGCCGTGACTTCGTCCGTGTCATCAAGCATGACCGAAGCTGTTGATCTAACTCGAAACCTATGCTAAAGAGAGCTCTTTAATAATTGTAGTTCTAATATGGGTTAACCTTGCTGCCTCGCCCACGGTTTGATTCACAGTGACCGGCGTGGGAAAATGAGCATTTGGGAAATGGACACGGCCGAACATCAATCAATTTCAACTTTAGATTTTGAGGATTCCACACCATTTTGGCATCAATGGCTTTGGCTGACTCTTCAAATCCCTGCCAGGACATAAATAGTCCTCCATCATCATGGTGGCTGAAATTGAAAGTTAATTCTACTTGCGTTACACGCCCTGGAACATGGCAGCTAGCGATGTCGACCGCCACATGCCTCTTTCAGTCCTGGTCTTGGGTGATTTCTACAGGGGAATGTTGTGCGAAGAAAACCATGAAATCAATTCAATCTAGAGGGTCTAGCACTATAGCAGACATCAAATTGGAACGACTTGAGCAGGTGACTTCTCTACGGATGTGAAATGTTACAGCGGCCAACTTATCCCTACATATCGAAAAAGGATTCCATTTGAAGCCCAGTGAATTAAGCTTTGTCCATTATTCCATTGCTATAAATGCGGCTCGGAACAAGGTCAAAGCCGTGCCGAATACCTATGTAGACGCATCCTATCGCGTCAATCTGTGAGAGTTTCTAAGCTATTTTCATCATCAGATTGAATATTTAAACAGTGTGTCACCCGAAATAGCAATCAGGCTACAAAGTCACAAGTTCTCAACTGCCTCTGCCCCATCTATGCTCGTTCATTAATAGAGAGTCGGTGGTGTTGGTGGGTTGTCTGGGTGGCTGAATCGAACTTGGAAGGTATGGCTGAATCCGTTGGTCGGACGTCACCAAGTAATCAAGCACTCGTTTTGTTCTGGAGCTGCCTCATTTAGTCTTTTATCTACAATATGCAGTACCTGGTGTGCTCAACTAGCTGGCCGCCCTCATATATCGAAGAATTAGTGTAGCAAACATGATGTCAACATGAATCGCCGAAGGCAGCTTAGTTCCAGAATAGGGTAGGGGCGGCCCCGGGGCGAGGCACGTTCGCGTCCACGGGTCGCCGCAAGAGGTTGGGCTCGCTCTTCGCATAAGCATCGGATAGCGCAGCCCCGAGAGCAAAGGGTCTCGGATATCATATACACAGTACGGAGTACGACCCGCACGAGAACAAACCCCTCCCCGCGTTTTAAGAAAGACGTTTCCTACCGCTGCTGTCCGACGTTGTCCGAATCCGAGGAATGAAGTAACCAGCCGAGTTCCGGTCTCCATTCTAGAGTACCTATGCCAATCAATGCCTTTAGCGCGTCAAGGAATCCTGCCGATTTGTCGCTAAGAATACAATTGGTTTCGCTTCTATTCCGCATACGTCCGTAGACCTACATGACGCCTACACACGGTGGTAAACGCTCAAGACCTCTCGTTTAAAAAACATACCTAGAGCATTAATAACAGTGGTAAAAATATGATAGGTGACTTACGTGCCCTCTGCGTTGTGACGCACAGACAAGGCTAAGGGGGTATCGTCTTGACGGCGCCGTTGGCTAGACCTCGGGAATCCTCGACACAAGTAAAAGCCCGTGGCACGCCGGCATAGCAGTCATATAAAGACCACATGCAATGACCTGTCAGGTGAACGTGGATCTCTAAACTTCAGCCCAAAATTCTCTGACACTTTCACATCCCGAGGCCAGCAGCTTTGCCCTTGTTGCTACCTAAGTGCAAAAATGTCGACATCGATCTTCAAGAACGTCCTTATCTTCGGCGCAACCGGCGAGGTTGGCTCAGCCGTCGCCCGCTGTGCTAGCTCTAGTGGAGCCAAAGTCTGGCTGGGCATGCGGGACATCAACAAGCAAAACACATGGCTTGGGAAGGAGGAGGAGACCGAATCCGACATGAAGCGTCTGCATGCGGATCTCACAGACCCCGTGTCCCTGGCCGCAGCTGTGAAGGAGTCAGCTGCCACAGCCGCCTACATCTACGCCACCCACTCTCGAGATGGCATGCGGTCTGCTCTGCAGGCCATGCGCGACGCCGGGATCCAGCACACCGTCTTCCTCTCTACTTCCGCGGTGAGGGGTGACATCAGGGCCATCCCAAGGTCCACCTTCATCCCGTGGCATCACGCCCAGGTCGAGATAAGCCTCGAAGATCTGGGCATGCAGCACACGGCCGTGCGGCCGGGCTTTTTTGCCAGCAACCCCTTCCGCCTGTACCTCGAGCCGTCCAAGACCACGGCGAAAATCTTTGCGCCCGAACAGCTCCACGACCCCATTGACCCGCAGGATATAGGGAGGGTCTGCGCCACCGTCCTGACCAGGCCAGCCCACAGGTCGTCTGGCGAGCTCAAGGATGTCCAGTTTATCAGCGGGCCGCGTCGGCTGTCGCAGACGAGCATGTGGGAGATCATCAACACGTGTCTGGGACGCAAAGGGAAGCCCGTTGTTGAGACTGTGGAGCTCACGGAAGAGGAGTACACCGGGACGCTTGAAGCGAAGGGCGTTCCCGATTTCATCGCGCAGTCTTTGGTCAAGTCTATGGGAGACACGAGTCTGCTGTACGCTGACGAGGACTTTCTTCCGGCAAGCAAGAATGTAGAGAATCTGACGGCAAACAAGCCGACGAGCTTTGAGGATTTCGTCGAGAGGGAAATCGAGAAATACTTCCCCTGATCTTAGCAGATCAGATATGAGTATTAAACTTTCTGAGCTGCCAAGTCAATGTTGAAATATGCATGTACATGATTTTAAATAACATTGAAGTCTTTCCAATTTATACAGCCGGGCTTTTATCGTCTAGAATAGAACAGAAGGAACGATAAGGAGGACTTTTGTATATGAAATACATTGTCTTCCAACAGCAATGGACCATATCACAAGCAAAAACGCAGGATAGCCTAGCTGAGTTGCAAATTAAATTAAATCACAAGCAGGTTCTCAAGCAGTCAGCTGCCAGTGAGATATTCCAGCGAGCATGTCGAAGGTACTCAGGTTGACTACACCGAAAGACCTTCTGAATCAGAGGTATAAGGATGATAGTCCTTTAATCTCATTTCACAACTCACGAAACGTCGTAATATGGGAAGAACTGACAGACGCCTACTTAGTGACCACAAAGGAGATGCATTCTCAACACGCCCAACTCCAAGCTCCTCGGGTACTGCTGCTGCCGCCGTGAGAGTAAAATCACAAATGGAACCAGAGCCATGTGTAATCAGATGTCCTCCAAATTCATCAACAAAGCCCTCTCATCTAGTTTAGAGTCATTCGTGGAGGTAGGACCTGAACTCGCTCGCGAGTTCCCCTGTGGGCCTGCTGTTCCTAGGCCCTTGATTCCGCCGGCGATAGCGCCGAGAACGCCCCGTGCGCGATCCTTTCTGGAAACATCTGTTGGCTTCTCAGTCCCCGACAGCGGTAATGAGGCACAGTTAGGGCTGTTGGGAGAATATCTGGCCGATAGGTCCATCGCGTGTTTGCTGATCGTATATTTAGAGGGGCTGGATAATTCCACAAAGTACTTGCGCTCGACTTTGTTGATCCCATCGAGAACCTTTTTGGATGTCTTGTTGTCAAAACAGTCGTTAAGCATGGGCTCTTCGCTGAATAGATCCCCAGCAAGCTCGCGATCGTTCAGGAGGGTTTCGGCCAGTTTCTTCCAGTCGGTCCGGCGGATGAGCTCCGTAACATAACCAGCACCAGAGCGCATTCTTAGCTGTTCTGCTTCGGCAGAGAATAGCCTTTCTTCCGCGTGCGCGACGTTGAGTGCCAATTCGTTCAGTGGAAAGACAATTCCATCATGGTAATCCCCCTTCAAGTCTTCGTTATCGGCATCCGGCTCCGAGCTGTCAGCATCATGCGCCTCTGGGCCGTCGCTGTCATGCGCGTCCGAACTCTTGCTTTCATGTACCTCGGAACCGCCGCTGTCATGCGCGTCCGAGCTGTCGCTGTCGCTATCGTGCGCCTGTGTCAAGTCGTCGGAGCTCGTGTACCTCTCGGCCGCTTTCTTTTGTCTGATTGTCTCGGCCCTGTTGGAAGCCCACTCTGTCGGACTATAGGACTCACCAACATAGTCGTGTAGAAGCATTTCTGCCAAGTGCGTCTGACATTGGATCATGTCTGCCAAAAGAAACGAGTGACACAGAGGGTTCTTGTAGACCTTGCACCAGTGTTGCACAAGTTGTTTATGTAGACGATCAAGGTTTTTGAGAATGTTTACCTCGGAAGCCAAGTCTTGCTCTTCAAGTGCTACGGAGTGCATCTCCAGGAGAAGCCGGGTCTCTTTGCGCAGGAGGGGTGTGAGACTCTGGGTGAGCTGGAGTCGCAAGCATGCCATGCGAGCGCCTATGACGTGGCGGACGTCCTTATTGCGTTGCCTGTGTTTCATTATGACAAGCAGGAGGTTCTTGACAAAGTATAGAAGTGTTTCGAAAGGGCGATATTGAATGCTCTGATGCGTGCTTTGGGGTGAGGGAAAGATAGAAAGACAGCAATACGGCAAGACGGCGAGCCACAAAGAGCTGAACAGTCCCGTCAGAAATGGTCACCTGTTTTAGACCGCACTTGCGCACCACCTTCCCCAAAGGTAAAAGCCGAGCCTGCCAACCAGCCAACCCGCAGTCATACTTAAGTACATGTAGCCAACGGAACCAGGTTAAGATGGTCCCCAAGGCGGCACGTCATATTAGTGGCAGACACAATGCAGTTGGTCTTTAGTGTACCCAAATTTCCCAAGGGTTGGTAGTACGACCTGATCTGAATCGTACGTAGCACTCTCAGTCTTACCTGCGTCCTCGCCTCCTGGACACCTGAGCACCCCAGGCTGGGCACACCAGAACCTCAGTGTTTTGATGGCGCGGCCCGAAGCCGGGTTTGTTGAAACATTTATAAAATGGCTTGGCAGGGCTGAAAGCGGATCCCCAACATTACTACGCTGCGGATATCTGGTGCATCTGCCCAGACTACCTAGCTACTGAGTAATAGAATCTATCTCCGCTGTCCTACCAGTTGGCCCCCGGGGTAATCCGGATCAAAGAGATTCTTCTCCGTCCCACAGTCACCAAACATAATTATGAACTTCACTGAGGCATACACATGGCCGATTTCCTCGAAAGGCTAGATAGAGGCTAGATCAGTCCTAAGAGTGAAGGGCTGTCTGATGTCTAGGTACTGTGCCATTCAGGGGCCCGGCTATGCCGCTGATGGTGGGAGCACCTGGTCCGTCTGCCCGCATCTTCGGCACGCTGAACCCTAACGGGAAGTCTGGAATAGCGACTAGCCAGGAACAAGCCACGCCTATGGAACAGTGGCATCAGTTAAAGTTTCCCAGAAATGTCTTGAAAGGTTCAGGGGCGTCAACCCCATATTAGCAGACCCGGTTTTCCAAGGGGCAGCGATGAACTAGGACTGAATCGAGCATCAAGGTTGACAGATCTACGGTTCGGATCCGGCGGATCAAAACCAGTTGACATTTGATCGATGGATACCCGTGATCGATATAGGGGCTCACCCAAGATTCCTTGCCCCCAAGGGATCCCCGGCGCGCGCTACGTCGGGAACTTCACAGGGAAATCGCGGAGGGTACGGTCCCTTAGTTTCCGCCAAGCAGCATCGCTGAATCCCTGTAGCCAACCTTGACTCAATTCTTCCATATTCAACCGGCAGTAATCTCCGTTACGTGTGCTATGTAAATCGCGAGATTCAACATGCACGAGACTATATAAGCCAACAGGATGGCCAGGCTTCTAAATCAATCGAGCTTCGCCTTGTTACCAATCCCCTCTCCATCCAACTCATTCATTCGTTCCTTTTCCTGAGCCAGGCCTCGTTTATATCGCCGTAGTCACAAGATGTTTTCCGTGTCGCTGCTCATGACCCTCGGAGCGACGGCCGTCGCCGCTGTTCCATCCGGCGCCAGATCGCTCATGTCTGGCAGCGTCAAATGCCCTGTGGTCCTCGAGGGTCGGATTCCCGCTTCAGCTGCCCCCACTGACTTTGACGTCAACAACGACCTCTTCAACTCGGGCTATGTCAAGGGCAACAACCTGACATGGAGCGATATCCTGCTCTTCCCGGAGGTCCCAAACTCGCGATTCGATAACGCATCGTACAAGTCCGTGGAGGTCACCATCAGCGACGAGTCCATTTTCCAGAAACAGTACGGCTTCCGCCGCGCGGGGCTCCAGTTTGCCAACGATACCAACGAGGGCAGCCTAGGCTACCAGGGCCTCAGAACACTGCACTGGAGTGTCAAGCAGGACTCCGCGCGCGCACTGAACCTGAGCCACGAGTATCTGAACGTCTGGCACGAGGCTGCCGATTACTCAAGAGACCAAATCATGTTCCAGACGGGGCAGATGCTCGCATACCCAGACATGCCAGCGGACACCTTCAAGTTCTTCGACCGCAATTCCAAGCTACTGTGGTCCGTCCCGATCGACTTTACGTGCTGGCAAAACTTTGCCATCACGTTGGACATCGATTCCAAGTAGGTCTTAGCTCATCTCTGGGTCCAACGGCTGTCACTAACACGCCTTGCTCCGTAGCCTCGTCCAGATCTACTACTCCCTCGGCGATGCGGCCCTGAAAGCGGTCACCGGCTTTGTGCCTGCTGACTTGTCCGGTGAAGGTCAATTCCAACTAGGAATGATCAAGAAGCCCACTGGGACCGACGATGTCGTCAATAGCGGGTTCCAGGAGTCCCCACTTAACGAGGGTCAGATTTATGGCGGTATATTCGTGGAAGATAGCACGGGCGGCTGCGTGTCGCTGTGAAAGCCGAGAAATCCAAAAGATTTGCTCACGAGATGGCGCATTAGGAGCTGCGGCTGTTCGGGGGGTATAAACGCCGTTGTTTCTTGATGTAAACATTCAACCCTGGCAAGGCATTCTAGTACCTTCCATTGAAGTAGACGAGCATTCTCCGCTCTGCGGGCTCTCATCCATGTTTGACGTCCCCTTGCTGCTGCCGCTGATCATCTCGGTGCAGCCCACCAGGCTCTGGCCGGATTCGGCCACCGACTCGGCCCCGCCGCCTGCCGGACGGCGCTCAGCGTCAGACTGATCCTGCTCCCCCGGCCTTGGGCCCCTCTCAATGTCGAATAGCTCCCGATGGTGGTCGTAACGCAAATCGGCGATGTCGATATCCTCCACCATGCCTTTCGGGTTGTACCTCGGATACATGCGGTATTGGTACGGGAACTGGTTTGGGTCTGGGTAGAGCGGTGGGACAGAGTTGCGCAGGGCAAAGGTCCCTCCGTCGGTTGATGAGAGACCTGCGCTCTCGTTGTGGCTGCGCCGTCCATTTTGACGAGACCGCTCGTTGTTCGATGTCGCTGGTGATCTGCCTTTGTGGCTGCCAACATGATCGTGGTATGTCACCCAATGGACCATTATCGCAGAGAAGAGGACTTTCCCCAATTTTGTTAGAACTCTTTTGCTTCTGAGATGAGGGCAAGAATACACACCGTCGCAATTGCAGCACAGGAGACAGACCCAACCCGGCTCTCCATTTAAGGCTGTCAGGACGGACAGATTCCTGTACGCCGAATTAGAGACTTCCTTCCATACACGTGAAGAAAAGGAATAGCGACCGCCACTCACACAATACTGCTCGTCAGGGTACAGAGCGATCCGATAAAAGTCCGGAGTGCAATCTTGCGCAGCTCCAGACTCGGCTGCGAGAGTTGCACGTTCCTGAAGGAATGAAGACCTACCCATCGTCAGTAAAGGAAAGCACTTCCGTCAAGTTAGATTTCTTTGACATCCACATACTCGAAAGGGGTATCAAAAACAATGTGGTCAAATAAACCTAGGTACACTGTCAGTCACGGCCCAGACTTCAGGAGAGGGGCAGAGGAGAAACGGGCAATGCATACGTTGACAACCAAATCAAAAATGATCAGCGGCAACAACGCCGGACGCTCCATCCCAATGACACACATGCCATTTCTATCGAGATGTGCGATGCGACTAGGAAGTAGACCAGTTAGAGCAGTTTCATATTGTTGAGGAGCCATCGGGGTTGGAGCTCACTAAACGAAATTCAGAATGATAACGATGCTGTATAAACCTGCTCAGATGTGAGTAGATGAGTTTCAGTGATACAAATGAGGCGGACATACCCAACATGCCAAAAGCATTGAAGACCCACATCTTGGACCTGAGCCTGGGCTTCATCCCTCCTCGAATAATGAACTGTGCTTAGTTAGCTCCACAGAGCTCACACTGCCTCAATTTCAAGTGACTGAGACGTACCGCCTTTTCTACCAGGAAGAGGTAGATGAGCTACAAAGCACCAAGTCAGTGAACTTAGTCGACATGCATGGGTAGGGTTCAGTTTCTTCGATCATGTCCTGAGACTTACAACCTACAAAGTCATGATTAGCAGTGACACATTCTCAAGCTCCATGATCTCAGCTCACCTTGGTGCTAACATAGCCGACGAGACACAGTAATATAGCTGCGTCACAAACGGCATATGCCGAATTCACGCCCAATCCATACTTCAGAATGGCCGTTACGAAGACGAAGAGGAAGGAGTCAACATATACTGCCACCACGACTGTGTAGGTAATGACAACACGCCTGCGTCAGCTCGTCTGATCATAGCTTTGCCGAGTCACAACCTCCCTGGGCTTAAGTGAGAATGGAATGGGTACGTACGCCACATGGCACATGGCAGCATTCGCCATGACTTGACGGCAGCATATTTCTGGGCTATCGTCAGGCGTTCGCGGTCAGCTCAGCTAGTCCCTTTGGTGGTGTGGCAGGACTCAAGCCAAGTCAAAACGACAATGGTGGACCGGGCCGCCAGGGTGGAGAGAGACCCACTGAGGAACGAGGAGATGATGGTAAGGGACACCAGAGACACCACCACGCTAATAACAGTTCCCACCACCGGCGTGTGGTGATCCATCTGATGAGCCGACTCGATATCGACCCTCAACGGCGATGCGGATGCACAGAGACAGGAGGCAAGGCGGCAGGTCCACGATCTCGGGCTCGAAACATCACATCTGGAAATCGGCCTTCTTGTTGAGGTAGGTAATGGCTGGCTTGCGAAAGCAATTGTAAATAGCAGTTTAGGTATGGTAAAGCAATTTCGTGGCGTTGGGACGGCCAAGGTGGCAAACGCCGGTATAAGACGGGAGCGTGCCCTGGGCAGCAACAACCGTGCAGGGATATATGATCTGCGGATAACGGGAAAGGATGGATGGAGCAGGATCTCTAGTAGTGTTTGCCGAGTCACATCAAGGTCATCGTTTTGGCGTTTGGCTGGCTCCGATTGCAGTCTTTACCTCTGCCGGCGAGCCACTCGGATGGCGAGGATGTATGCATCCGTTTAGAAGCGACTGGATGGTGAAGAATATGGCAGCTTGCAGCTGACTCGTGCACATAACCCTAGATTTGGGCAGCGTGTTTAGATCCCAGGTACCCGAACGTTGCAATGCGTGTGCTCTCGAATGCATCACGCCACGAGCCGGTGATCACGGTATTCTGACGTTCTCACCGAGACTTAGGTCGAGATAGTCAAAACAGGTTGTTCCGCTAGGCCCCAAGGCACCATAGATCAGAGTATCCCATTGCATAGAAACCCTGGAGATTGACCGCTTTCACAATTGGCATCCGGGTACCTCGTTGCAATCACCCTTTTGTACTAGGCTTAGCGCGAAGCATATTGTGGCACTGGACGAGACCACATCAGACGATGGCATGAAGCTGGAAAATTGTTCAAGTCATCATTCCAAGACACACAGTATCCAACCGCAGCGGCGGCACCGGCCAATGTTCTGGGCGGTATGTCGGTACGTGGCACTTGGCGCAAGACCAGGCACACCGGGTGTGTTGGTGTTCTCCCCTCGCGTATATTCCAAACGGCACTGCAACTTGGCCACCCGCTGCTGGCGGCTTGACACTGACGCTGACGTTAAGCTCAAGCTCTCGCTAGCCATCAGCGACCGGGGTTGACTCGCACCCACTTAGACCTTCGCTGACCGGGCCAACCGATGTGAACCTTGGAACGGCCGAAGACGTGGACGAGTCGCGTGTTGGTTGGGCTTTGGTCGCCGTCTAATGCAAATATCATCAATCACGATATCAAAGTGGATATACTGCGTGATGTATCACAATCAACCTTGGAAATGTGCTCCTCGGCTCAGTGAACTTGCCTTGGCGGTGGTCGTGAGTGAGAGTTGACCCCCACCACGACTGCGCGGAAGCCTCAGTTTTCCCCCAAGGCGCTGAATGCGACGGCAGACAGTTCACCGCCGCCTGACTCGAGGCCAGGAGCTTAAAGGCAGCAGCTTTGTAGATTGATACTACCAAGATCAACGTGCACAGAGGCTGCCAGGCGTCATCTCGACCGGGAGCTACTGCAGAAATGAACTGATGCCCACATACGACGTGTAAACTGCCCCGCTGTGACAGGATCATCGCTGTAATCAGCGACTGACACGCCCGCGGGAATGCCTAAACCGAACTCCCAATGCAACCCTGCCCCAACTGCCCTGGAGCCTCCCTCAGCTTTTGCATCTTCGGGTAGCAGTGGAACACCTGGAGAACAACCCCACGGGTCCCTCCTCCACGGAGAGAAAAGAGAGCGGACGTGCCCGATGGGGTCCGAGGGTGGGATATTCTTGGGCAACTCCCGACACACACCTCTGCCTGGGTAAGTAGTGTAAACAAGTTACCCAGTTCGTTTTCTCCTGCATCCTGGCCGGGCGGCAGGCAAAGCTGGCCGGAGTTTCCGCGAAACTTCTCCGCTCTGTACAAACAAGTCCTCGGTTCGATCTCGGCTTGCTGCTCGAACTGCACCGTCGCCGAGACAGGCATGAGAAACCCCTCTTGCCCTCGAGGCTATCTCACGATGGTCGGGAGATTCTGACCCGAGGCGACCAGGTTTAGCAGTTGGACTCGCAAGTGTGAGGCTAGTGGCAACGGTCTGGAAGCCGGCTTATACACTATAGGCACAAAGGCAGGTGTGTTGACAAGTTGGCAGGCAAGCTTGAGGCTCTGGGCCGCGCGGGCAACTGACTGTTCGCCTCAGGATTTCCCTCATCCCTGAAAGGGCGTCGTATCTCGTCGAAGGCCATCTGACCCATCTTCGGGCCGAGGACACCTGGTCATACAAATCGTTGCACGCTGGGCCATGTCGATGAAGGTGTGATAAATTGACGGCGAGAGCCGGGTGCTTCAGATTTAAGATGCCACCAAGGATCTGATTTCTGGCAGCATGACCCCTGAAACCACGCTCGACGGGATAGCCTAGAACAACGAACAGCGTTGCTGCCGCCTGAGATGGAAACCCGGGGATCTCCGCTCGGTATCGATCCTGTATGTTAATTGTGAAGTTTATGTTCGTTTTTGTCTTAGCGCAATTTTCATAAATGTTGCCCATTTCACAAGGGAGAGGCCGGTACTTATAGTGTCAGCTGAGATGAGTCAAGGAGTCGTTTCTTTCGGTTCAATGTCTTCTCTGAGCCACCAGAGTAGCGCAAGACCGTGGCTTAGAGGCAGAGCGAGGATTGACCGAGCTTGCCAGAGGCTGTGTCAAAAGACTCATGATCTCTGCTGCGTCAGGGAACAGAATGTTTATTATGCCACGAGCGCATGCCCATTGCATTCTATTTGACCGCTTGATCAATGCTTGAGGAGTCATGTCGGAGACAGTACCAGCCTTATTATGAACTCTGACCACCAGAAACAATTATATAACAGACGATTTTCATACTTCCGTTGCTTTCCCCGAACCGGACATGCTGCGAACCGGTACTAGGCGGCAGTAATCAAGAGTGTAAGGGGCTGTTGTACTGATCACAATGCACATGCTGTCACGTGTGGCTCATCGGGAATACGACTGTCACGGCTGACGTGTCAATGGACAGAATGAAGGGCGTCTTCACGCCAGCACCGTTCTGGCTGGAGGCGGGCTTCCAGGAGGAGAGATTGCCAGAGCGGCGGCTGCTGGCGAACTAGGAATGGAGATCGAGGCTGGTGCACCTGTGGTGCACCTGCTGACCGGAAACCTTACCTTGTACCAGTGTCACATACAGGGTGTTATCGAGACCGGCGCGGAGGTTAGAGTGAGTGTTGGCGGCGCCTGTTTGTTTAGTAGAACAGATTCTAGCTTTAACTAGTTTCCCTTCTATTCCGCATATGCCCAAGGACATACATGGCGCTCTCATAAGGTGATTCTAACTTTCCACCACCAGCCATTTCCAGGCTGAAGACATGGCTAGCGAAAACAAAGTAGAGTTTACAGAACAGCGAGTTGCCGCTTATCTCTCCCATGTCGGGTACCTAGGTCCAAGTATGGGGACACACCAAGCTGGCTCGGAACCTTGGAAGGGGTTGATTTTGTTTAAAGTGGTTGTAACAGGACAGGGACTCTCAAGTTGTGTCCTACTGTGTAGGCAATAAGAGGATGCTTTTTATACATGTCCGGGCCAAGAGTGCAGCAGCCGCAGAATGGCGAGGAAACCCGCCTGTCGCTCAAACAGGACAGAGATATTCGTGGCCCAGGCAGGGGGTCTCAGCCATGAATTGACGGTGTCTGGGAGAAATAGTCTGAATATCTGACCGTTAGTCGGGAAATTAAATTGATAAAAGCTATCCGATGCTGGTTGGATGCGTCCCAGATCAAAGCAAGTTGCCAATAAACATCGACCTCTCGTTGCGTGTTTGGAGATGCAGCCTATTTCTAATCACTCGACTTGGTTGAGAAGGGTGTGATCAAACAGATTAGGATGCTTAGTCGTTCAAAAAGGACCTATCGTATTATGACTATCGTTATCGACACTGCGTTCTTTTCAAGCGCTGGGTCTTGACTGCTTACCACCGTATGAAGGCGCCATGTATGTCCTCGGACGTATACGGAATAGAAGCGAAACCACTTGGTCGTTCAATTACATTTCTACAAGGAATATATATAAAATTTCGGGCAGACGGACAGACAGACAGACCGACGAGAAGATAGTTTAGTAACCTTGGAACATAATGCCTTCCGTGATGAAGCATTTGTGCAAGACATCTTCCGCCTGCTCACCAAACTCGCTCCTAATCACAGTTTGGGGCCTCACAAGGTCCTAATTGATCCTTGGGCTTATTGGATCCGCGTACCAATATCGCTAGCTGCTGCAAGATTATACTTCCTAGGTAAGTATTTCCCCGAAATTAGTTGGGCCGCTACCATCCCAAACAGCCATTCATCATCCTTCCGTATATTTTGCTCGCTCATGATGACTTCACGAGGTGTGAAGATTGTCGATGGCAGTGGGTATCCGGTAAATATTGTATCGAGAATGAGGCCACGTGCACACAGACGTACTGTACTCACTCTGTACTGTTATTGGCACTATATCTTGTTTTAAACGCTGGGTCTTCGGCGTTTACTACTATAGGAAGGCGCCGTATATGTTTTACATGTATGGGGATTAAAAATACCAAATCACGTACTATATCTCAAGTATTGTATTTTAACTATAATATTTCATTTTATCTTAACTATTATTTTGGCGGTATATAGCGTCGGATGTGTAATTGATTTTAGCGCAATCCGGCATATCTACACTTGAACTTGCAAGAAGACAGCCAAGCAACTTCTTTTGTTTAACACGAAGAGAGGAACCCCACAGCTATGCCAGTGTTGCAATTCAAAGAGGAAGAGATAATGCGCGTTCATGTTTCATTGTGGACCACGCGTTTCAATATTTGACTTGCTATAACTGTATCAATAGAGCGAGGCCAAGAAGAATTGATACCATACTTTAGCCTCGGACATCAGCGAGGATGACTCGCATGCTTTCAACCAAGTCGCCATGTTTCAGACCCAACAATGCATTCGCGCTCTCTTCCTCCTTCAAAGCATGACCGGCACCGTTCGCAAATTGATACTGGCGCACAAAGTCCCAAAATGCATCGTATGCCTTTCCAGACGACAGATTTTCGTCGGCTGACTTCTCTGCTTCAGCTGCAGTGATATGTTTGGTTTCGAATTTAATACCAGAAATGTCCTCTGCGACCTTCAGGATTTCATTCTGTGTCGTAGTAAAAGAGGAGATCACTGCGATCCGGGTCAGACTCTTTCTGTATCTTACCACCTGAGAAACGATGCAGTCGGCTCCCGTGCCACGATTACTGGCAGCTTTAGAGTCTTGGAGGTTGGAGACAGAATACTCACTGAGGTACTTGTTTGCAGTCTCTTCAGGCTTCTTCAAGATGCCAGCAACGGCTTGGCCGATCAGGGCCAGGTTTGTTGTTGAGAAGGGTTCGTCTCCGGAGTCAACAATGGTGGCCTTCTTTGCCACGAGATCAATGCCAAGCAGGCTGGCTTTCATGGACTGAAGTTCACAATGAGAAAAGTCTAGCCAGGCAAAAGAGGGCGGGAAGCCACGATATCATGGGGTCTCTTACTCACCCAGTCAAAAAACAAATTGTTGCCAAGTCCTGTCCAAGAGAACCAGTCAAACTCTCCCGCCTTAGCGATCAAGTAGTCAACTGTCTCGATCTTCGTGCTCAACATCTTTCCCAACTTGGTCGATGCCCCGACGGTGCGCGTGTTCAACCCGTACTCAGACGGGATGAACCGTTTGATCTTGGCTGCCACAGCGGCATCGACGAGCCTCATCTGCTCACCGGTCGCCATGGTACCAATAACACATACCAGCGCATCGTGACCCGTGAGTGCTTCTGTGAGTGATTCCTCCGACTTGAAGTCAACCTTCTTAACCTGGACGTCGGAGGCGAACGTTGTTGATGAGTCCGATCGACTGATGGCTGTGACGGAAAAGTTTTCGCTTAACAAGGCCTCGACAATGAACTTTCCGAGATTACCACCTGCCTAATACTATGTTAATAAGCCTGAAGAGATGATCGAGCCCGAAAGAAGAGGAAGACGCACGCCGACTACGGCAATTTTGTATAGTTGCGCCATGTTATTTACACGCCAATGACTCAAATAACAAACCGGCCAGAATATTTGGAGGAAAACTATCAACAATTGTGCGAGAGCAGACAAGTTTAAATGGCTGTGATTGGATTCGATTCACAAAAGACAGACGATTCCCCACACTGTCCGTCCCAGAAAGCCCGCATGCTCCGAGGCGGCTGGGCGTCTGGACAATACCCACCTGACACTTATCTGCCCCATTCTTTTCGGGACGGGACATGCCATTGATAGTATTCGGGTCCACAAAGAGCATCACTGTGGCCCTCAATTACCCAACAAGGCAGTGAATCTGTAAGAATGCCCCGGTGCTGACGAATTCCAAGTCAACGAATGGCCGCTGCTCCAGATTCAATGCGCCCTTTCGAGTCTGGTGTCCATGCCCAAAATGTGATATCATATTTTTACAATATACTCATTATTCCACCGCATGAAGGCGCCATGTATGTCCTCGGACATGTACGGGATAGATGCGAAACCACTCATACCTAAGATTCTTATCCTTAATCTCCTAAGCCTTATTATCCTTCTAAGTGTTTATACCTATAGGTGTCTATACTTAGAAGTGTTGATACCTAGTAGATTTTTATTAATAAGAGGGTGAAATATGTCCTCGCCAAGCTTGTTCAGGTGGTTTCGAGTGATTTCGTTTCTAATCTCCATATATATAAAATGTATACCTAGTGGGTAGACAGGTGTAGATACCACCGGCTGCTGCGGAATTGCGAGGGTAATTTGAGGTGCCTTGGCCTTCCCTTCCACATGCGCGGACCCGAGTTCCGGGCCCTTAAGGACTAGATTTGGGGCACACTCCGAACACTCAGACCCGCGAATTCCTCCGAAGTCGCGCTCGCTCCGGCGTTGGTTACGTCAACCGTTATAACCAAGAAAAGACACGATATACAGCGGCTCATACTCGTTATAAAACATATATGGTACCTTCATATATTGCAACGATTAAGACCTAGCGCTTAACAATATCTGCTGATAATGACGTAGAGTCAGTATACTACGTGGGTACGTGGCCTTAGCCTCGTGCCACATAGACAAGGCTGGGAGGCATCACTCCCAACGGTGCTGCTGACTAAAAAGCCGGCAAAGCAGTCATTTCAACACACAAGCGGTAGCATTCCGGCGATCCGACTTCCTCGATGGTGTCCACCGCCGCTCGCCATGGGAACTCGACGGGTGACATAAGGGCAAAAGACCGCGGACAGGGCACTCCGTCACCAGCTTTGGTGCATACACTGTGTATCTATAATGTCAGTCTTTAGTCCCCAGGAGATATGTTGTCACCTTTTCAATCGAAATGAGAGAAACAAGTTCTTGCATGCCCAACTCGAACAACCGATGGCCCCGGGGCTTTGCCTCTTTGAGATAAGTCCCGACCCCAGTCATTGTTCCGGACGTACCCATACCACAACAAAATACGTTGATTTCTGGCAGCTGAGTAAGAATCTGGGGATCGGTCCAACGAAAATGGGCCTTCCAGTTCATCTCGTTCAATGTTGGCGTACTGGTTGGAGTTGACCATCTCCTCTCCACTCTCGGCGCTCATTTGCTCAGCCCTGAAAATGCCACCTCTGGGATCCAAGGGCTCCGGCTGAGACGGCCCACCGAAGAGGGAAATATTTAGACCAAAGAATCACATAAGCTGCAGGTTTGTCCATGAGGTATTATTGCTCAGGAATGGCCGGGTGTCGATAATCCCACACAGGGCTCGAGCGATGAGTGACATGGAAATGACAGTTGATCCAGAGCTATACCTAGGTACTCGACAATGGTCTTGGTGTCTGGTCTCACAGAGTTCTGTAGCATATTCAATGCTGTTATTTACGTCAGCTTTGCACACGCTTTTCTCTTCGTACGTAGCCTCTTAAATGTGCCACGAAGTGATTTGACACTGTTGGCCGGTAACGTGCTCATCATCTTGGCGTAAATCCTGACGCCATCCTCGTAAAATGGATTGAGATTCCGAGGGAGCTCAACCATCGGCATCATGGGCTGCCGGTCCGGTTGAAAAATAATAAAATCCTGGAGTGATACCGAGCCCTTGTACACGTGATGAACATTTCTGGTCGCCATTTCAAGGCTGTGTGGCTGTCAGAGGCTCATCAACATGGACTGCGTCGGGCTCAAGGAGAGAAATACAGATTGAGAAGTGAGGTTTCGTCTACTCTCTGAATAGCACGAGTGAGAGCGAAAAAGTGTTCATGCGGGTTCAGTAAATCCCTTGTTTAAGTGACTCGTCCAGGCGATTGTGGGAGTGAGCTGCGGAGCCGGCTCTAGACGATGACAGATCTACCATTCGATTGAGTAGTGGTTCCAAGGAATCTGTAAAAAGCTCGAAGCCGTCGACTTAGCTTGTCAAACGTGAGACGCCGTCAAGGTATACTAGGTGAATATTCTCGGCTTCAGCTCCATATTTGGGCTTGAACTGGAACTACGATGTAATGCTCGGAGAAATAGTTAGGCCGGATAAGGTTGGCCGTGCTACAATTAATGGAAATGCGCGACAATGAAAGTAGCTCATCTTTTGCCAGCATTAATTTCGCGGCGTGATGTGGTCAACACAATGACAGCTTCTCAACGCCTCCTTCCACTGTCATGTTCTTCAAAATTGTCAGGGAGCATAGGACAGACAGGTCTTCAGCTGCCAGTCAACGGGTGTTCAGGATGCACACCTGGGTACTTAAGTATCAAATAGCATAGAATGGGCATTATCACAAACAATCTATTGTACCCGAACTTGAGTGTAAAGTCATGGAACATTTGAAAGGCGTCCGAGCATGCATTCGGAAAGCTTCCGAAACGAAACATTCCGGGCTCGTATATATCACCACTCGAAGTATATCAGTGCTTTCACCAACGGTTCACTATTGTACCGACGGTAACGAAATTTCCGCAAGAGAACTCAAGCAACCGAATCCACGTGGGTGTATCGCAGTTGACAAGACGTCGTGACCGGCCTCTTGGCGAAACCAGGTGCTGCCGATCTTGTATGTGTGATTTCGCTGGCGTGGTAAACGCGTCGAACTGATGGCATGCGCATGGTGCGCTTGACGTTCCACAATCGGGCCAAGCAAACAAGTCGAGAACCTCTATGAGGCGTCGCCGATCGGTCATGATCGACAAACACCTTGATGAATATCCAGAATATTACCTCCAGGGTTGACGGATGCTCAGCTTTATCACTTACCGACAACCTGGGCTCCCTGATAGATCCCGATGCTCCCTACTTTTTGTAGTTTCTTTCGGTTCCTGCCCATGATGAGCACAGGTGGTTTCCTCAACAATGAAGTTGAGAACATTGCTCCCAACCCGGCGAAGCACTCAGATGCAGGGGCAGCTGGGCAAGTTATACGGACCCAACGACACGATTACTGCCTCCTGCCAAGATCGTCACTATAAGGCAATAACTCAGGAGACGGCCTGGGTGTAGCATTATTTCATTGACATGAGGTATTTTCAGCCTGTGCAAGCATCGACTTTATCGCGCTCATCGATCAGACCTCCCTCGCAGCATCTCTGTCAACGGTGTTTTCCGCGCTTCGAGTAGGGACTCAAGCATCCTGGATTGCGGGTGGATATTTCACCACATCTACATCACTCCAACTCGCTTACGGCCGTTTCCCCGACGTCCGGTCTACGAAATATGTGCTTCTCGCCCTGCTGCTCATATTACTCCCGGGATCGCTGGCCTCCTCGCTCTCTCAAACTGCAATCCAACTCATTATGATTCGCGCCCATCGCTGGTGATGGTGGTAAGACTGGTGACTGTTGCTCAGGTCATCGTCTCGGACGTCGTGTCTCTCCGTCAGAGGGGCAAGTACCAAGGCATTTTGGGAGCGGCTGTCGCCCTTGCTATGGTGTTAATCGTTTGATTGGAGGCACCCTGGCAAGTTCGTCCAAGGAGGGCTGGAGGTGGATATTCCGGCTCAAGGAGGATATCGTTACAGTGGACTTTTTCAGGTGCTTCCTCACACTTTATGGGTCCGTTCTCTTCATGCTTGGCCTTACTTGGGCCGAGGAAGTTCACCCCTGGAACTCGGTCGCTGTCATACTACCGATCGTGCTGGGCTTTTGTACCTCAGTTGCCTTCCTAGTAGGGCAGCAGTATGGGACTACTTAAGTACCCGCTAATTCCACTGTACATATTCCAGCAGGAGATGTTCAACGGTGTGTGCATCACCATGTTCATCAATGGCTGGAATTTTGTCGTTCAGGTGTATTATGTGGTTTCGCTTTTATCCCGTATACGTCCGAGGACATACATGGCGCCTTAATCAGATGTATTATATCCCAACCTTCTATCACCTGGCATATGGCTATTCAACAGTCCTTGCTGCGTCACTCCTCCCTCCCCTGACATTAATGCAAACGCTCTCGTCTACCGTCTTCGGGCTCATTGTCACTTGGCGAGGACGCTACCGGGAGAGCATCTCAATAGGATGGGTTGTCTGGGCTGTCGGTCTGGGCCTGTGCAGTACGCTGGATCAGGAGAGCGGGCTCAAAAAACAAATTGGCTGGGCCATCTTGACCGGTTTTGGCGTGGGCCAGACTCTGCATCCCAGCCTTATAGCCATTCAAGCTGGCTTTAACAAGCAAAACATGGCCGTCGTCACGGGGACGAGGAATTTCGTGCGTAAACTCGGCAGCACTCTCGGGCTGACGGTCACGGGGACCATTATTAACAACGTTGTCAGGTCTGGGCTGGCTTCCACAGAACCTGATCTTTCAGAGCATCGAATCGCATCGTTATTGAGAGACCCAACGTCGGTAGCCAGCCTTGGTCAAGGGGACGAGGTGAAGCGAGCCCTGCTTGAGGCCTATCACGTTGGGTTTCAGCGAGTGTTCGACACTATGGCTGCGTTTGCTGCGTTTTCTGGATTGATCGCATTTGTTCTCATGCCTCAGATCGACCTCGACAAGAAGGAAGAGGAGGACCAAAAATCATGAGGCCGAATACAAGATAGCGTTATAGCACTGCCAGCCAATGACCCCCTGCCCCAATCTCGTGATAAACATTCACACTTTTCACGGCAAATGTCCGATTCCTCATTACCAGAAGAGGCTGGCTGCCCTTTTATACCCCATTCCAAAATCTAGGACAAAACATTAATCTCATTACACAAAGCATAATATCACACCACGGAAATACAGCCATCTCTACGGTTGAAACTAAAACCTCTTCCCACCACCTAGAATACCATTCCCTTGACCTGGGTCACTCTCTTCAAGTCGATGTTCTTGATCATAAAAGTCCAGAGGAAGCACAGTGCCATAACACCAGTCCCAGCGGCAAGCATCCTCGTCTGCGCGTAGCCGTAAGCCTGCTGGATTGCCAGGCGGGTCTCACTGCCGACAGGGTAGCTAAGCTGGGTGTCCAGGTCCTCGTAGATCATGTCGAAGTTGTCCATGGCGCTGGCAGGAAGGTACCTCTCGAGGGCATTGGGGAAGGTGTTGGTCCAGATCGCACCCGAGACGGCTCCACCGATGGCTCCACCAATTGTCCCGACGACACTGAGCAGCGCCAGGGCGGCGGCGACGTGGTGGTGGTCAACCGCGGCGAGAACGGCGACCTGCTGGACGATGATGAACACGCTGCCGCCGATGGAGATGAAGATCTGGCACATGACCTGGTACCCGACAGACTGGTTGGGGCGGCGGAAGTAGATCATGAGGCCCTGGGCGAAGATGTACAGCGGCACGGCGAAGTACAGCATCCACTTGAAGCGGCCGGTGCGGCGCATCAGGTAACCGACGAGGAGCAGCAGGAAGCCCGAGACCACGTTGAAGGTGTTGTTGATGTAACCCGCCTCGGAGATGGAGACGTTGTTGACCACCTGCAGGTAAGAGGTGAAGTAGTTGTCCCAGCAGTAGTAGGCGACCTGGTAGGTGGCGTCCAGCAGGCAGGCGCCGAGGACGGTCCGGTCGGTGAGGAAGGTGTAGTTCAGCAGTGGCTTAGGGGCTGCGAACTTCTCGTAGAGGGCGAAGGAGACCAGTAGCACGAAGCCGACTACAATCATGGCGATGATGTAGCCGGATGCCCAGCCGTTCGGAGCGGAGCTGGCGATGTCGAATGGGAGCAGGAAGAGGACCAGGCCCGTGGAGAAGATGACCACTCCGAGTGCTTTTGATTTGTTTTTTTACAGTCAGTTCCTGTTGTATCATTGATGCTTGATGAGTTGGTGACCAGAAAGACTCACCATCGAAATCCACCACGTAATGCCAGATGCTCTGGAAAACATTGCGGCCGCTGTTGCGAGGAACAAAAGTGCCAAGCTTCTTGGCCTTGCGCACGTTGGCCTTCAAGATACCGAACAGTGGCATGGCCACGATTGGGAAAACAATGGCGAAGCAGCCGAAGCCCCACCGCCAGCTGATGTCCTCGTAGAAGCTCTCGGCTGCCTTGGGCCCGGCGAACGCAGTGATGATGTAGGGGGAGGAGGTGAAAGCATAGGCCAGCCCTCGGTTCTTCAGCTGGGAGATATCGGCTGTGAGAACGTCGACACAGAAAGTCATCCCTCCGAATCCGACCTGGTAGAAGACCTGTGAGAGTCTCTTGTCAGCATCACAACATGCACCCATCCCTTCCATGTGAAGATTGATGCTACTTACAGATGCAGCACAGAAAGTTGCCAGGTTGTGGCTCACAGCCATCAGGACCATGCCCAAGGTAGCAAATATGACCATGACAGCAAATCCCTCGGCACGGCCCCAGACATCGAGGATCTTAGAGAGTGGCACATAGATTGCTGCAGATATCGCGTTCGCGACGACAGAAATGACATTGACCAACGAGTGTTGGGACCATTCACTGGCGGCGTATGGAGTGAGGTTGCCCAGGATGCCACCCTGCATGGCATTCACAAAGTAGATCAACCATATGCTATTATGCCCATTGTTAACCGAACCAGCTCGATCTCATATCTGGCGATTGACCCCGTTGATTTGGGCATCGTGACAACGTACTTGAGGAACACTACGATGAGCGCGGTCTTCGTCCAGCTGAGGGTCACTGCCTCCACATTCTGGATACCGCGCTGATCTTCTCCTTCGACAACCACCGGGCGGTCGTGCTGCCCTATCTCGGAGTCTTCGCGTGACGCCGGGCCGTCGGTGGCGTGGGCCATCTTGTTGTCTTCATCGGGGCTCATGTTGAACGGCTTCGCTTCTGGTATACGATGGGCGATCGGTTCGGGAATCTGACTCAAAATTCCACAGGCCAAGTCGCGTGGGAGGCTTGGCTTCTTGAGTTCAAGCTCAACTCGCAGGGGATCGAGTTGGATTTCGCTTGTTTCCGGCTTGCGAAAACAAGTACGTGTTAGGCGAGGCCTCGAACTGGAAAGAAAAGACTTGGCAGCTCCAGTGCGCTGGGCCGGGCGTTGGTAGGTGCCCTCGGAACCCAACCTTACTTTTAGTGCGTCCAATATTCCCGGGGGATTCTCTCTAGCAGTAAGTATTTTCTCCGACGTCGGCTCGACTCGTTTGACCCTGGTGCTACTCTCCCTCTCTCAGGTGCACTCAGCATGACTGAGTATTCGATTATACTGTGACAGTCATATCCAGTCTACTGGTCTGTCAGGCAGCGACCCTTGTCTTCACGCGGTCTGTGCCAGCAACCGAGCAGCTCTACGGTATCATTCTGTGCTGTTACATGTTCATCATTCGAATATTGGAACGTTGGTGGGCGCCACGATGCACACGATTCCAAGACGGGAAGCTAAGCCGAGCTCCAAAATTTCACTTGGGACTTTTTTATCAGGCGGGAATCGTGTTCACGTCGAACTCCCCAGCTCCCCTGGGCCCTGACAAGCTGCAATCCCACACACATTTCTTGCTCAGACTACTGCAGTTGTGGAGCCCTGGAGCCCTCGGACTCCAGAAAAGAGAAAATCTTAGTGGCATTAGGGGCAGGTGCGCAAGGGTGCGGTGGCGTGGTGCCCACACAAGACTCCTTTATCTGCATAATCTTATCAGATCCGGCAGCAAAATAGAGTCGCACGGTGCGTACCAATGCGGTGTGCGCCGGCCGGATGGGTGGGGGTTGACGAAACTTAGGCCGATGGATGGTCCCCAATTTAATCTAATCAGATCATCTGTGGAACCGCTAGCAGGAAAGTGGCGACCCGGCCCAACTGTTTTTTTGTCATTGATTCCACGGGTGTGACCAACAGCCCTGGAGGATTCCATCACACCCTGCCTGCCTGCGAGTACGATGCCCGCCACATTGGATTTCGGCAGGGGGACACCTGGGCATGGATGGTCCGCCCCTCGTGATCAGTTGAGATGCCTCGGATCTTCAGGCGTCTCCTCTCGTATCTCCTAGCATGGAGCTAGATTCTTTTCTTAAGCGGAAGGAATACCAGGCAGGATAGAATGCGGGATTTTTCACATGGCTGCTGTGTTGGCGAACATACCCAAGTAGGGTGTCAATAACGGCGCTACAGACTTGGAACACGTACGGGTACGCGAACAAGGACACGCGACGCCATGAGACCTTGGGGGACGGGCTTATGGTGGGGTGATGTTGCACAGGACGCAATGCTGAGAGCGACGGATCGTCTTGGAATCAATTGATCACCACTGTCAAATGCACGGCGCACGACCAAGCTTTCCCCAAGCTTTTGCCAAGCAGGCACTCAATGTTGGTCCCCAACGGCCAGCTGTGATCATCACAGAGGGTGCTGAGGGCATGGGCCGCATGGGCCGCCAACCGTGAGCGCCGAGATGCAGTTTCATCGGGTATGGAGAAAGGACGATAATCCTGTTTTAAGTCCCTATGTACAATACGTCTTGAAGTCGTATCGCTCGTGTCCTTCGTGTTGGCCCGAGTCCACCTCAGTCCACCCATGCCATGCAGAAGCACGATGGTCGATCCCAAGTGCTGGCAGCCGAGCCGATCAAAGCTTTGCATTCCAAGCCGCCCGGTCCGCCGACTCGAGCGGCTTCTCGCGGCCGTCCCAGAACAAGGGGCACAGCTGGAACCACTTCTCGCGGCTGCAGGTGGAGTACACGGAGCGCTTGTGGCCGAAGTCGACGTACTTGCCGATGGTCAGACCCTGGGAGTTTTCGTAAGACAGGATGATGGGCCCGCTGGCCTTTGGCTCGCCGACGACGTTGGCCGTCCGCGGGTCGTCCAGGAAGCAGTAGTGAATGCAGCTTGAGTACCACGCGTTGACGCGGCGCGCGCCCCGGAAGGAGGCGTCGCCTACTAGGGAGTGGCGGCCGCGGTCGTAATGACCTGCGTCGTAGTGGGCACCAAAGTGGTCCTCCTAGATGGCATGTTAGAGACTTCTTGCAAGAGTGAAGCCGATGTTGTGGATGTATTTGGTCTTACCTTGGCCCAGTAGAGCTCATAGTATGCGAACCGAGTCTCGTCGAACCGGCCGAACAGGCACAGGACATGAGGATCAAAGTGGAGCTTGCGCAGGTACTCCCGGTGCTGCTCTAACGTCCCTGTCTCATTCCAGCCCTTGGCGACACGGGGGTCATTCTGCCACGTGTTGAAGAGCCTCAGGTGCTCGTCGTTCTGCCAGTCGACCACCTCGAGTGAGAAGTGCATGTCGCATTCCACGATGTAACGGCTGTACGCGATCGACCCGGGGTGGGGTTTGGGCCGGCGCACCGGGTGGCGCGTGTATACCGGCTCGTCGGGGAACCGGTTCGTGATCTGGAAGTTTTCGGGCATCACGGGGTATTGCGCCAGTGGTGTTCGCAGGTTCTTGTCCGTGTTCTCTCCGACCACCCAGATGGGACGAGGTCCCGTCGGCGAGGCTGCGCCTTGCCAGAACGAACTCCGCAGGATCATCAGCTCTCCATCTCCTTGCTGCGCGGCTGTGTCTTTCGAGGGCTGCCGCGGCTTCGGGTGATGAACACCCAGCCCGGTGGCCAGGAGCTCATCTTTGACGGTATTCGCGCCCTCGCCGGCGAGGGTGAGCCTGAAGTATTCGTTGGCGGGATGGCAGAGGTAGATGGCGTGGACCACATTCCAGATCTGAGCCAGAGATGGCGCGGGGCCTTCCCATTGGAAGTTTGTGGCGGGGGATCGTCGTGCGCGAGCCCAGGGGCTGTTATCTGAGATCGGTGGGCGTTCGCTCTCGGCCGGAGTTGTCAGATCAAGCCATGATAGCCTGTCTGAATGTAATGGTTGCGGTAGAGCCCTGCCCTTCGCTGGTTGGTCTTGCAGGGTGAGGATAAGCCTTGGTGACTTTTCGGAGACCTTTCGAACCCGATAAGTGGTGAGGAACGGGTAGGGAAGCTTCACAGGGGGGTATTCGCCCTTTGGTCTGGTGAGAGGGTCCATCTTGAAAGTAAAGTGGTTCGCAGAACAACTCTGATGATGTATTCTAGGAGAATTCTGGTGCAATTGGAGCAGCGAGGGAGTGTTATTTTGCACTATATGACGACGACTTCACATGTGAGAGGGTCTTTCCAGGCTAGGCTATCAAAAAGAGACGGGCAGACGGGAGCCAACACCAGACCCCAGCGTGGTTCAAAACAACGGGCTGATTTTTACTAAAGGTTGTGGGACCTGGAGAAAAGAATCGAGTAAGTTCTTATCAGATCCGCCTTGGCCAGCTTGGCTGCGCTGTGAACAGTCCATTACCGCGACACCTCGTCGTAATTCCGAGGGCTTGGTGCGCCTTGGTATGCCTTGGTATGGGGAAGTTCACAAATAGCGGGATGGGCTAACCGGGATAGAGCCAGTAAACAGTGGCCGGCCAACTATTGGTCAATGATTAATCTGGATTGAAATCCTGCACGTGGCTTGAGACCGTGGATATTCCGAGGCCGTACAAATACAGGAGTAGCCCGCCCAAGAGTCGAGGGCCGAGGGGGGGGCCGAGCCCAGAGACAGGACGAGACACGAAGCTACCATGGGGGAGACTCACAACAAGTACCACTCGCCAGAGCCTTCGCCCGGCCCACACAATGCGCCAGGAAACTCAGACCAGACCGTTCCGCTGCGGTCTCGGCCGCTGAAGTTCAAGCACTTCCGTGTCACCTTCCCGCAGGAGAAAGTCGTCCAGGTGACGCTAACCAGGACGGACAAGCTCAACTGCGTCGACAAAGCGACGAGCCGGGAGATAGCGGAGATCTGGGAGGCATTCGACCAGGATGAGAGCCTGTTGGTGGGGGTGATCACGGGCGAGGGAAGAGCCTTCTGCACGGGGGCCGATCTACACGGTGCGTATTTTTCTCAGTCTTTTCTCTGTCTGTCTCTCGGACGAGGCCCGCCCGCCTCTCTGGGACAAGCTCGGCGCGAATGTGCTGCTGACGTGGAACCCGTGCAACCAGAGTGGAACGAAATGAACAGGAGTGGCGTCGTCAACGACATGGGGGCACCCGGGCTGGCGGGCCTGCCCCGTCGAGGGGGCAAGAAGCCGATCATCGCAGCGGTGAACGGCATCTGCATGGGCGGGGGGTTCGAGATGGCGGCGAATTGCGATCTCGTAATAGCGGCCTCGTCGGCAACCTTTGCCCTGTCCGAGGTGAGGCGCGGCATCGTCCCCGTGGCGGGCAGCCTGCCTCGCCTGGCCTCCACCATCGGCCTGCAGCGCACCATGGAGCTGGCCCTGACGGGGCGGAACGTGGGCGCTGCCACCTTGCACGCGTGGGGCCTCGTCTCCCAGGTCGTGGACGGGGCCGCGGACGACGTCGTGGCCGCGGCGCTGAGGCTGGCCGGCGAGATCTGCAGCAACAGCCCTGATGCGGTTATCGTGGGCCGGCTGGGCATCCGCATGGCGTGGGAGACGGGCAACGTCGAGGAGGCTGTTACCGCCCTGGCCGAGCAGTGGTACCCCCGCCTGGTCAAGGGTGCCAACTTTGCCGAGGGTATCCAGGCATTTGCGGAAAAAAGGCCTCCAAGATGGGTTGGCTCCAAGCTGTGAGGGAACGTTCTTGTCTCTTAAAAATTCTCCCGCCGAATTCCGACCAGATGGAGGGGAGTGGAATGACTCGCTTGACTTAGCGTAGCGTTCAATCTTATCAGATCCGCTCCGGAGACAGGGGTTCCATGCAGATGTGTGTGGCAGGGATGAAATTTTCGACGTGCTAAGACCTCGGGAAGTCGTGATATATGCATATGTGCATATTGCCTTATACGCATTCGTTGCCTCCACCCAAGTGGTGGTAGCTTGACCGTCTTTGGACACGATGGCCACAGTCACGACTTAGTTGCTTTCCGTCCTGGGATTAGTTGAAACTCTGCTAGGATGACCATGGAAGTTTTGTGTCATCGAAGGCGTCGCTGAATTGTACTGTAGTAACCTCCCACCTCTGGCTGGGGGAACGTTGAATATTGTTGTCATAGCCCCTTTTTACGGGCGACGAGTGTGAGCAAAACACTGAACCACATCTTCAGTTGATAGAAGCAGCGAGACTCGTCGTGTTCTGTTATAGTAACGCACTCGGCTGGAAATGCACCACGGACGCGAAAAACAAAATATTGCCTGCCATCACTCTGTTCCCACTTCCGGCCACGCGAAGATTGACAGGTTGCCAGGGTCGTTTATCTAAAAGATCAATCCAGCAACTGCCGTAGAAGCCTTGAGTAAGTTCTTGAGTATCCGGCGGCAACTTTGTCCGGGGCCAAGCATTCTCCCCACTCATCTCAGGCCCGCCCCTCCCATCAGCCCTGTGTGCCCTTTCTTTTGCTTAGGTGGCAGTTGTCACTGACTGTCCCCTGCACAACCAAGCAACCAGCCAAGCCCTTCTCACGGCAGCCAAGCAGTCGATCTTCTTGAGTTGCATGTTGCCGTGACAATATGGGACTCGCCAAGGGAATCGTGGGCTTCCCTCGCCTGCTTCTGGCAGGGAGTCCCACAAAGATCGACATATTGATGCTCCTTGGGGGTATGCTGTCTGCAATAGCATCGGGCGTGCCATTTCCCCTGATCGGAATAGTATTCGGTCAACTTCTCAACGACTTCAACGACGTCACCTGCGACGAGGCCGCCGATGCATCCACTTCAGATTCCGACGCCGCCTACCAGAGCAGCATCAACAGCAAGATCCTGCTGATCTTCTACCTGGCCATCGCCCAGTTTGTCTTAATCTATGGCCACCTGCTCTGCTGGAGCCTGACGGGCGCCCGGCTCGCCCAGAGGCTGCGGGAGAGATACCTCCAGAACCTGCTTCGTCAGGAGCCGTCCTACTTCGACAAGCTACCCACCGGCGAGGTAGCGTCCCGGCTGAGCAGCGATATTTCGACCATCCGTTCTGGCACTTCAGAAAAGGTTGGAATATGTCTTGCCAGTTTCTCCTTCTTCGTGACCGCGTACATCGTGGCCTTCATCAAGAACTGGGAGCTGGCTGCTATGCTGCTCTCACTCATCCCGGCCTACTTCATCATGTCCTTCGTCGGCAGCTACTACATTGAGAAGTACTCCGGACTCATGTCAGACTACGCCGCCACCGCTTCGTCCATTGCGTCTGAGGCGCTGTCCAATACCGTTGTGGTTCAGGCGTTTGGGGCCAACAAGCGCCTTGAGACCAAGTTCTCGAATGCACTGAAGTCTTCTGAGCGGGAGGGGTTGAAGAAGGCAACGGCGACGGGTATCCAGGCTGGTGTTCTGTACTTTGTGGCATACTCGGCCAACGGTCTTGCATTCTGGCAGGGCGCTCAACGTATTGCAGACTCGGTGTCCAGCGGTACAGATGGCACCACTGTCGGTGCTACATTCACCGTGATTTTCATTCTTGTCGAGGGTGAGTGGTCTATGTCATCCTTCTTGTTTACCCCGTTCTCATACAATTCAGCTTCCACTAACGTATTTGTAGCTACATTACTTCTAAGCCAAGTCGCGCCATTCATTCACCTATTCACTGCCGCAGTTGCTTCGTACGAGAAGCTGCGCGAGGACATCAACCGCGAACCATCATACGATGGTACAACGGATGCGGGAGTTCGTATCGAACAGGCCGATGGCAGTTTTGAGTTCCGCGATGTCTCCTTTGCGTATCCATCCAGGCCAGAGGTGACCGTCCTTGACCATGTCAGCATCCGTATCCCGGCAAAGAAGCACACCGCCATCATTGGTCTCTCCGGAAGTGGCAAGTCAACTATTGCAGGTCTCGCGATGAGATTGTATGATCCTGCTGAGGGACAAATCCTGTTCGACGATCGGAGTCTGCATGATATCAACACCCGTGACTTGAGGAGTTTCGTCAGTCTGGTCCAGCAAGAACCGTCTCTACTTGACAGGACCATCCTTGAGAATATCGCGCACGGCTTAATCAACTCAAGCAACCCCAAGCATGCCCACCTTAAGGCGGCTTTAATTGGATCCGATCTTTCCGAGATCGCCAACGAAGTGAGGGACGGCCAGGATCTGATGGCGGCAGCCGAGAAGCGAGGCGCAGAAATGGTCGAGATTGTCAATCTGGTTAAACACGCAGCTATGCTTGCAGACGCAAGTTCGTTCATCGAGGGGCTACAATATGGATATGCCACGCTCGTTGGGTCCATGGGGCGTCTTGTCAGTGGTGGTCAAAAGCAGCGAGTTGCACTGGCCAGGGCACTTGTCAAAGAGCCAGCTGTTTTGATCCTCGACGAGGCCACCGCGGCATTGGACTCAAGGAGTGAACAGCGTATCATGAAAGCCATCAACAACATTGCCAACGGCAGGACGGTGCTCACGATCGCTCATCGCCTGTCGACTATCACAAACGCGGACAACATTATCGTGATGCACAAGGGACACGTCGTAGAGGAGGGAAATCATTCCGAGTTGATGGCTAAGAAGGGTACATATGCCGACTTGGTCAGCATGCAAGCCCTGGGTACCCCTTCTTCGAAGAGTGATGCTTTGGGCAATGATTCAACCGGAGGCAAAGATGACCACGTCTCCCTGACCGAGACCCTGATCGAGAACGATGCTCCAGCAAGTAACGACAACGAGAGCACCAGGGAGAAGACCGGCCAGGACACCCCATCTGAAGGAGAAGAGGAGGAGCCAGAGACACCATCCAAGTCGTTATGGGCCTTATGCAAGGGCTACGCCCCAGCCCTGAGGCCCCACCTGCTGGTCCTCTTCGTCGCTCTTCTTGGCTCCATCATCGTAGGTGGCGCCTTCTCAGGGGAGGCTGTCATATTCGGCAACACGGTCGGCAGCCTGAACATATGCAAGAGTGCTTCCAGCATCCGGGATGCGGGCAACTTTTTTGGACTCATGTTCTTCGTGCTCGCAATCATCGAGTTCTTCGCCAATGTCATGAGCTGGTCCGGCTTCGGCTGGGTGTCCGAGCACATCGTCTACTCTGTTCGTGTCTTGTCTTTCCGCTCGCTCTTTGAACAGGACTTGCAGTGGCACCAGTCAAACAATCGTACGCCGGCACTACTCCTCTCGTACATCACGCGGGATGGCAATGCCCTGGCCGGTCTGAGTGGTTCTGTCCTTGGCACGATGATCTCGATCACGGTCAACCTCGTCGCCGCAATCATCCTGACGCACATCATCGCCTGGAGGATCGCCCTGGTCTGCCTCTCCCTAGTCCCCCTTCTACTCGGCGCTGGCATGATGGAACTCCACGTCCTGGGCCAATTCGAAGAAAAGCACGAGACAGCCTACACAAAATCCGTTGATATCGGCACCGAGGCAATCACAAACATCAAGACCGTCGCGGCCTTGTCCCTTGAAGAGGAGATCCTGAGCGACTACCGCCGGTCCCTCAAGGGCCCCCGCCAGGAGACACTCAAGGTCACCCTGCAGGCCAGCCTGTGCCAGGCCGTCACCTACTTCCTGGGCAACTGTGTCAACGCGCTGGCGTACTGGTGGGGCGCCAAGCAGATCATCGCAGGCAACTACACCCAAACGCAATTCCTCATCGTTGTCTTCTCGCTGCTCGTCAGCGCCCTGCTCTTCAGTCAGATGTTCGCCCTCGCGCCGGAGCTTTCGAGCGCCCGTGCTGCAGCGGCCAGGATTCTGGGCCTGATTGAGATCGGGTCTGACGGCATGAAGGGTAAGATTAAGGATACTCCTCGAGCCAACCAGGACGTCGAAGCGGACGGTGAGAAGTCCACGTCTTCCTCCCCGAACTCTCAGCGTCGAGCGACGGCTGCAAGCGTACAGTTCCGCGACGTACACTTCGCATACCCGGCGCGGCCAGACTTCGAGGTCCTTAGCGGGCTGAGCATGGACATCAAGCCAGGCCAGTTCTGTGCGCTCGTAGGCCCCAGCGGCGCAGGGAAGTCGACTATCATCTCGCTCGTGGAGCGTCTGTACACGCCCTCGTCGGGCTCCATCCTCGTCAACGGCGCCGACGTCACCCGCGCCCGGGACGTGGCATTCAGGGATGATATTTCGCTCGTGCCGCAGGAGAGCGTCCTCTTCGAAGGCACCGTGCGCTTCAACATCGGGCTTGGCGCACGGCCCGGCCAGGAGGCGAGCCAGGCTGATATCGAGGACGCGTGCAAGCTTGCCAATATCCACGATGTTATCATGGCTCTGCCGGACGGTTACGACACCCTCTGCGGCCCCAACGGTAGCCAGTTTTCCGGCGGGCAGCGGCAACGGTTGTCGATTGCTAGGGCGCTGGTGAGGAAGCCTGGCCTGCTCATCCTTGACGAGCCGACGAGTGCACTGGATGCTGAGTCCGAGAAGCTGCTGCAAGAGGGCCTGGAGAAGGCCGCTAGAGGTGTCACTGTCATTGCCATCGCGCATCGCCTGCATACCATCAGGAAGGCCAACCGCATATTCTTGATCGAGGCCGGAAAGTGTGTTGATTCAGGATCACATGAGGATTTGCTGGAGAGGTCGGCCAGTTACCGGGCTAATGTGATGCACCAGACTGTAGCTACGTGATAGGGCTAGATACCACTGTATATACAGAGTAATTAATGACTATTTAATACCGCGTTTCTATTGATATTGAAGGCTTCCCGAACTCGTGTAGTTGAGCTTTCCAAATCTGACAGTTCGTGACTACTTGGACATATACTCTAGGGTAACCTTGCAAGCGTGCCATTGGGTTGACAGCATGATGCATATGTAGATCAGGCGTCATGATCTTGGTAAACATTATTCATTTCATGTGCCACTATCTCTAGACTTTCACAGACGTATCCAAGTAGCTCATCACCCTCTTGCAAAGCCACTGCCGTGGCTCCGCCTGGTCATCGTTGCTCAAGGCATGAGACGCATTGGGTATCACCCCGCTATGCTCTCTATCCCAGACCTGACACTCACCATTGCGGTCTGCCACGTCACCCCATTTGTCCAGAAGTTTCTGCTTGTCAATATGGTCCGGCACAGACTGGTCTGCCCCAGAGTGCAGCACCATGAGTTTATGCCTCAGCAGGCCACCCTTGTGAACAGCCCCAAACGTCTTGCTAAGCTGCTCCTCGCCAAGATCTGAGCTGAAGAGGTCGTCCTCGCCAGGCGAGTCTGGACTGTCCGGGCTGACGAGACTAAGGAACCTGCGGCAGCTGATTGGTGTGTTGGCAGGGTATATCCTATCCGTCAGCGAGAGCGGCAGCATGGCACCGTCCAGCTCACGCTTCAGTGCTGCCTCCCTCGCCAGAGCCTCCATGGCCTCGTATGCCTCCCGGCAGCTTTCAGGGGACCTGTCACCAATACCGTGCTTCAGGACCCAATGGATGGCCTCACGGTCTGACACGGGCGCCTGCATGATCGCACCGTCAACGGCAGGCCGTTCGACGTGCTCGAGGTACGGATCGAACGAGGGAGCAGTGCCGGTGTGAGGGTTGGGCCGGTACAGATAGTGCAGCACGCACTGGCTGCCGGTAGAATGACCCATCAAGACGACCTTGGCCTCCTTGTCCCCGGTGCCATACTTCGCGGCCTTGTATTCCTTGATGTAGCGCACGCACTGCGCGATCTCGTCGGTGTCACGGTCCAGGTGGCCCACGCCCCATGCCTGACCGGCTGAGGTGAGGTTGATGGTGAAGAGGGACCATTCTGTGGGCGCGAGGGAGCGCACCAGATCGGCTGTGTAGGATGTTGTAGCGAGGCCGTCGCCCAGACCACCGATGAAGAGGAGGCTGTGTGGTTTGCGTGCGGCAGCGCTGGATGTGTATTCGAATGTCACGAGGGTCTCTGTCTACAACATCAGATGCTTGTTAGCTATTGGGGCCATGATGGTGTCAAAGACCGTCTCCTCTAGATACCCTAGGGTAGGTTCCAGGTGCAGGGGAAGTCAACATCCATGAGAAGAGCACTGACGTAGTGATGCAAGATGCCAGGGAGGCCACCCTTGGGCCAGAACTTGGAGTACTTAGACATGGTTGGACCTGGGGTATTCTCCTCGTATGGTCAGGTTCCGCGCACTTGGCTCAACGAGACTTGGATGAATGTGAAGCGAGGGCATGCGCATGCATGTGTCAGTCGGCCGAGGTGTTCGGGCAGACTGAGCCAACTCAACCCCCACCACACAGAGTCGCAACCCACCTGCTCATGCAGCCACTTCAGATCGCCGCTATCGGGCTGGTACAGACAAGCATCATGATCGCACATGCTGTTCACCCCTCGGCTGACTCGCAGGGATACTGACCAGTTGTGGATCTGTTTACGTGCTCATATCGGCTTGTATATCCGAAGAGGAACATGCAAGCCCGGCAGCGGTCCCACTCTCGTGCCCACGTCCGGTGGACTGCTTGATGCACTGAACTTTTCGTGCCTTTTCTGGCCCAACCGGGCCCTCGGAAATTGAACTAAACCATGCACAATGGTCTCATGGCCACACTCTGGCACAGGCGAGTGCGAAAAAGAGGAGTCTGGACCCGGCTGGTCGAAACTGTCGGCGCTATTTCGAAGACTTTTTCTTGTCTGATCAATCTAATCTAATCAGATCGCATCCCTGTTTGGTCCAAGTGACCGTGTTTGACACTGTGTGTTCTTGGCCTCAATAGATGCATATTTTACTAAGACCATGCAGACGCTTTTCTCGGCTTCACGGCCTAATCCAGATCCCTGCACACAAGATTTTGTAACGTCACGGACTGACGACACACAACACGACGTGGGTCCCCTCCATCCCACCTTTAATGCAGATGCCTCACGGGCGCCGTCCACTGTACACATCATGCCGAGAGCCAAGAACGGACCAAGCCATCCAGGCTAACGATCTGATAACATTTGAGTGGCCATGGATTCACTCCCGTTTGGAGCTGGGTCAGAATGGGTGGGCCGTCGTCGTACCGAAGACGGCAGCACCTTCTCCAGCCAGGCCAGCTTAGCCAATCTCATCCATCTCCAGGAGCCCACTTCATCGTCCCCAGACATGCACAATATCGATATGAGATAGAGGCATCGCGGAATCGACCTTCTAGTGTTTCTCTGCGTGTTTGACAGTTAAGCCCACATCGCGCTCATGCAAATCGTGCCACACAAGACCAAAAAAAGCCCCAACCCTGTCTCAAAATGGGATCAGTAGGCGTTGATGAGCAAGGCCTCACACAGGCCGATGCTCACCCCTTCAAGCACTACTCGATTGAAGGCCTTTTCTCACCAAGCGAGACCTGCCTTCCCACAGCTTTAAGAGCCGATATCCTGCTCACATCATGGCTAATTGTGCTTATGCGGACGAAAGAGGAACGCCAGGCCTCCTTTGAATGGGCTTACGATGGCTGGGACGACGATGCCGTACACCAGAGGACGGCTAGATGTCTATCGACTGATGAGGTGTTACCTGGGCTGGACCTGGACAGCTCCTTGGCAGACGCCATCCAGAGAACGTCTCGCAGCCATGCCTCGGGCGTGAAAGATCTATGCACAGAAACATCGTGCCCCAACCATCTTCTCCTGAGTACCGGATCTCTATCCACCACGTCAAATGACGAGCAAGATGAGGCAAGTGATTTGTGTCCCTGGTAACGATGGTTCCAAGTTTCTGACTGTGCACGCAAAGGGCGCAATCCATCTCGAGGTGCGGCTTGACGATGGACGACTCGCAATCCGGCCCGCATGGTATAGCGAGAAGGTCCTGCCGTACACTTTGGCGCTGCATATGGATATTCTAGTCGATATCGTCGAAATGTGCCTGTCAAATCCTGGCGCATCTATCCAGAGCTGCATGACACCAACCAAGCACGATCTGGACTCGATTTGGAGGTGGTGTCACAACCTTCCTGCAACCCATGATTTTTGCATGCAGGAAATGGTCGCGGAGCAGGCAAAACGACATGCAGACAAAGTGGCAATCGACGCTTGGGATGGAGCTTTAACGTATGGTCAAATCGAGCAGTATTCCACATATCTGGCGGGCCTGCTCCGAGACTCAGGAGTCGAAACACACGATTTCGTCCCTCTGTGCTTCGAGAAGTCCAGGTGGACAATCGTGGCCGTTTTGGCAGTTATGAAAGCCGGTGCGACCATCGCAATGATGGACCCATCACTCCCGCTTGGGCGGCTGCAGAACATGGCAGTCCAAGTAGGCGCGAAGATAATGGTCTCTTCACGCCTGCAGCACGACCTAGGCACCAACATCCTACCAGAAGGACCCCGATTCGTCGTGGAAGAGGAGGCCTTCGCGACCCTAACAGACTCCTCGGAACTCCCCACCCTCCCAGCTGTGCCGCCAACCGCCCTGATGTACATCATCTTCACCTCCGGCAGCACAGGCACGCCCAAAGGCGTCAAGATCTCCCACAGGACCTACACGAGCAGCGCGATCCCCCGCGCGGCCGCGGTCGGGTATTCAGAGGAATCGCGCGTGCTGGACTTTGCCTCATATGCCTTCGACGTCAGCATCGACAGCATGCTGCTGACTCTCGGCAACGGTGGCACGCTGTGCATTCCTTCGGACGAGGACCGGCTCAACGATATCAACGGCGTTATGCGGCAGATGCGCATCAACTATGCGGGCATCACGCCGTCCGTCGCTCGGATCCTGGAGCCGGATGTTATTGCGTCGCTGACTGCCTTGGGGCTGGGCGGCGAGGCGTCCGCGCCGAGGGATGTCAACATGTGGGGGAGGGAGACGAGGATCGTTATCGGGTATGGTCCCTGCGAATGTACCATTGGTTGTACGGTCAACAGCAGCGCGGCCACCGGGAGGGATTACATCTCTATCGGCCCTGGCAACGGTGCGTCGATCTGGATTGTTGATCCCAATGACCACGACGTCCTTGTACCAGTTGGTGCTGTCGGGGAGCTTCTTGTCGAGGGCCCGATCGTGGGACAGGGCTACCTCAATGACGACGAGAAAACCACGGCGGCCTTCATCCACGACCCACCATGGCTGCTTGCCGGCCACAAGAGCTATCATGGTCGCCGGGGCCGTCTTTACAAGACCGGTGACCTGGGCATGTACGACCCGGATGGGTCCGGAGAGATTGTCTTTGCCGGACGCAAAGATACCCAGGTTAAGCTTCGCGGCCAGCGAGTTGAACTTGGCGAGATCGAGAGCCAGCTCAAGGCCAGCCTGCCTTCAGATGCCAATGTGATCGCCGAGGTTATTGTCCCTCAGGCATCTGGAGGTCAGCCTACTTTGGTGGCATTCGTCTCGCAATTGACCAAGGTCAATGGAGTTGAAGAATTGGAGGCTGCTCAGCTCTCTGCAGATCTCACGCAAGCGTTGTCCGGTATCAACACCATCTTGGCGAAGGTACTGCCGCGATACATGGTGCCAAACGCCTACATCCCTGTCAGCTACATCCCGACCTTGATCTCGGGCAAAATAGATCGCAAGAGACTCAGACAATTCGGTGCAACGGTCGATTTGCAGAAACTAGACCAAGGCCCCGCAGCGAAGACTACCCGGGAATCCAGAGATCTGGACGACATCGAGCAGTGTTTACGCCACGCCTGGAGCCTGGTACTGAAGGTTGCGGAAGACTCGATCCACCCACAGGACAATTTCTTTTCACTCGGCGGTGAGTCCCTGGCCGCTATGAAGCTAGTATCCGTGTGCAGAGAGCGGGGTCTCGATCTGTCCGTGACCAGCACCTTCTCTCATCCCACACTTGAGGAAATGGCGGAGACCGTCCGCATCTACGACGTGGACGTCCAGACGGAGACACCACCGTTCTCACTCATCTCCCAGTCCCTCGAAAGTGCATGCGTGGAGGCAGCACAGGCATGTGGAACAGATCCAGAAGCCGTTGAGGATATCTACCCTTGCACACCCACCCAGGAGTCGCTGATCACCTTCTCTCTGAAGTCGACGGAGCCGTACGTGGCTCAGAGAATCGCGTGTATTCCATCAAACCTGAGCCTCGATGCATTCAAACAGGCCTGGGAGTCGGTCTTCGCCGCAAACCCCATTCTGCGGACCCGCGTGGCACAGCTACAGGATCCAGGGCTTCAACAGGTTGTGCTGAAGCAGGCAATCGACTGGAGGCACTCCACCAGTCTACCCCAGTACTTGGAAGCTGACCGCAATGAGAGGATGGACCTCGGCCAGAGCTTGGCTCGGTACGGCATTGTCGAGGACGAGAGCGACGGCAATCGGTACATGGTCTGGACCGTCCACCACGTACAATACGACGGCTGGTCAGAACCATTAATCCTCGATATGGTCTCACGGGCCCTGGAGAACAGCAGCATCGTTACCCAGCCCAAGGCGCTGATGAAAGACTTCGTCAAGTGGGTACATGATACCGACCAGAACGCTATGCAAGACTTCTGGCGGAACGAGCTTGAAGGCGCCATCGGGCCCCAGTTCCCAGCCACGCCGTCGAGAGACTATCTCCCAACCCCCAACGGCACAGCCGAGCGTCTGATCTGCCTCGACAAGACCGACGGCCTCCCCTTCACAATCGCAACCCTAATCCGCGGCGCCTGGGCCCTCGTGGCCTCGCAGTACACAGGCAGCGACGACGTCGTCTTCGGCGAGACCCTCACAGGCCGAGACATTTCCCTCCGCGGCGTTGAGGACGTCCTGGGGCCCATGAACGCCACGGTCCCTGTACGCGTACGTATCGACAGGGCTGCCTCGGCAAAGTCCTACTTGGCCGCCGTGCAGCAAGCCATGTCATCACGCACCCCCTATCAGCATATGGGCATGCAGTACATCCGGCGGGTGAGCCGCGACGCGCAGCACGCGTGCGAGGCGCCAACGGGCATCGTCGTGCAGCCCGAGCCGGAGCTGGTCGGCGGCGCGCTGGGCTTTGGGCTTGGGGATCCCGTGCGGGAGGCGCTGCACTTTAACCCCTACCCACTCATGCTCGCCTTTGGGCTGCGGAAGGGCGGGTTCCGGGTTTGTGCCAGCTTTGACAAGAGCCTGGTTGATGTTGCACAGATGGAGAGGGTGCTTGCCCAGCTCGAGGCTGCGTGTCTGCGTCTGACGGAGGACCTTGACAGGAAGGTCGGCCAGGTCTCGTGTATGCCTGAGGAAGAATTGGACCAGATATGGCGGTGGAACCAGACTGCGCCGTTGGCCCCTGAGGAGGCGACGGGCAGATTCCGTGCCAATGGGGCCATCAAGCCTGGGTCGCAGTACCCGCGAGTGGCAAACCCCTGGGTTTGCGACCCTCGCAACCCATCTCATCTCACACCCATAGGCTGCCAAGGAGAGCTATGGCTAGAAAGCGCCGTGCTCACGGAAGACGTTGTCGAGACTCCCGCTTGGCTAATCGCCGGAAGCTCCGAAGTTGTCGGCCGTGCGGGCAAGGTTCAGCCCACCGGTGATATCGTCCAACTGCGACCTGACGGAAACTTACTCTTCGTCGGCAGGAGAGATGATGTTATGCCACTGTCAGGACACGCAATCAACGTGGCAGATCTCGAGGCACACTGCGCCAGGCTCCTGCCGCAATCAGCCCGTGCCGCCGCAGCGGTCTTCCAGCCAGTGGCGGATGGCAAGAAGCAGGCACAGGACCAAGAATTGGTCATCCTCATTGAGCAACAGCCTCAGGGGGAAAAGAGTGTTGAACTTATGTTCATGAGCCACGATATTAGCTGCGATGAGGCTGATCCTGACAGCTTCAGGGCAACCATCTATTCCGAAATTCCCGTCAGCCTTGCCATGGCACTCAAGAAGCTCGACAAATTCATCAGAGACGATCTACCATCCAGTCTGCAGCCCTCAGCCTATGTGGTGGTGGACAAACTGCCCCTCGAGAACGGCCATGTGGACCGTGCCATGTTGAACACTTTCGCCTCAGGGATCGCATCACACGTCCTGGGTCAGCTTCGCGATGGATACAACAAGGTCTGGGAGACACTGGGACAGGCAAATCTGTCAGCGTCCGAAGACATTCTCCGATCTGCATGGGCAAAACTGTTGTGCATGCGTCCAGAGCAGATCGATGTCGATGACAACTTCTTCCGCCTCGGAGGCGATTCGGTACTGGCCATGAAGCTGGTGTCGGGCCTCCGCGCGCAGGGCCACGGCCTCTCCGTGGCTGATGTCTTCCAGCACATGCGCCTTGGTGATGCTGCCAGGGTCCTGAAGGTCAATTCAGCACCTGCCGGCAAGGCACTTCCATACAAGCCCTTCTCCACTCTAGGTGTCCAGAATGTGGACCAATTTTTGGCCGATGTTGTGCGCCCAAAGCTTGCTGTCCCGAGCTGGTCAATCAAGGATGCCGCACCGGTGACGGACTCGCAGGCCCTTGATATCAGAGGAACGGTCCAGGCACCGCGAACTTCTGTTCAGTATACTATGCTGCATTTCGAGCAGGCAATTGATCAGTGGAGGCTTGCCGATGCCTGCAAGGACCTGGTCAAGACCCATGACATCCTCCGAACCGTGTTTATCGAGCACGAGTCGACCTATTTCCAGATCATCCTAGATGAGATCAACATCGCTCTGACAACGCAAAGCGCCGATGATGGCATTGACGAAGCTGTCAATAAGGTCTGTACAGAGGACATTGAAACCGACTTCGCACTCGGATCATCGTTCTTCAAGCTCTTCCATGTCGAGGGCAATGATGGAAACCACTGTCTTGTCATCAGGCTATCGCACGCCCTATACGACGGAATGTCTCTCCCCCGTCTGCTCGAGGACCTCGAGACACTGTACAGCAGCAGAAAGGTCGGCGACTTCGAGCCGTTCCCCTCCTACATCGCACGAAGCTTTGAACAAAGCTTGCAAACAAAAGCACTCAGCTACTGGCGCGACCTTCTGCAAGACTCATCACTCACCGTCCTGGAAGGTCAAACCACTGAGCCAGCGGACAGGGGTGTCTTCAAAGAAGACCTCGCCATCGAGAACTTCCGGGTCCTGGCCGAGATCACCACGGCCAACCTCCTCACGGCAGCGTGGGCCCTCCTTCTAGCCCGCCGCACAGGCACGTCAGATGTGACCTTTGGCGGCGTGACATCCGGCCGTGGCATCGACATGGCCGGCGTCGAGAACGTCGTGGGTCCCTGCTACCAGATGACCCCCATCCGGGTGCCCTTCGAGCCGACGTGGACGGCAGCCGACCTGCTGCGCTTCGTGCAGCGGCAGAGCGGCGAGTCCGCGGCGCACGACTTCGTGGGCTTCGCCAAGATCTCCAGGGAGTGCACGAGATGGTCAGGCGACGGGGCTACGCCGCAGTTGTTCTTTGACTCGATCGTGCACCACCAGGACTGGGATGATGCGGACAGCATGCCCTTCGCGGGCACGACTGCCAGGCTTGAGATCTCGAACCCGCATGGGGACGCGCCACGGCCCCTGAAGGCCGTGTCGTTCGTCAAGGAGGGCCACCTGCGGGTTGGTGTAGTCGGCAGCGAGAGGGATGCGAAGCTTGTTGGGTCGCTGCTTGCTGAGCTTGTAGCCGCGGTGCAGGAGCTCGCGAGCCCTGGTGGTGGACAGATTGTGCTTGGTGCTGATGCGGTGTAGATGCGAGTTACAGGGACCTTGGGAACCAGTGCGTGAGGCGCTCTGCGGAGCATAGGATCCCATGGGATGCCAAGGGCGTTTGGTCGGTGCTACCTTTCCTTTCCTGAAGGTCAAGACTCATGTTAGTTATCATCTTCAAGTTTCTGTCAAATGTGTCCCTCAGGCTTGGGTGATCTTCGGATCCCTACTAGTAGTTGCATGGGGTCTTGGATCTGCGTCATTAGATGATATCTTATGTTGAGAGAATATGATAATTGGACACTGTGCTGTACCTAGGTAGCATGCACTCCAGGACCCACTTGAAAGCGGTAACTTGGAAGTCAGCCTCCCGATCGCTGCACCTCTTGCCTCGGATTTCTTCTTCTACAATTTAAGTCCACCATTTCTCTCACTTGCCGTTCCACCCCGGAAGTCCGCAAAACTTCCATCCCTGCGCCCCATGTTCCACAATCCGCTTTCGCCATTACCCTTCGACACCCATCTCGTGCAGGGTTCCTTGGCAGAGCCGCATATAGACGTCAAAGAAGTCATAGAGACAAAGAAATATTCTTCCCAACAGGTAACTCATAATCTGATCCGTTCTGTCCCTTACTCCCGTTATTCCCTAGGCGATATCGACGAAATAAATACAAATTACTTACTCAGGCAGTCTCCACTCATCTGGGGACATTTTTAGCCATATCTCCCAGCCGTGGGCCTGCACGAGAATATCAATGAATTTCATATCCACATATATGAAGAAAGCACCACAAGGTTCTTCATTCTCTTCAAGCTTCACAGGGTGCGCATAGTTCCAGGTTGTAGACGTATCATTGATCACCCCCCTCAAGAGTGTTCCTATTCTACACGACCTAGTAGTTGTAATACCTTCAGGTCAACTCATTCATGGCAACCCAGTCAGAGTGAAGCAGCTCCAAATCCGGCATTTTTCATCTCACAAGCTCGACCATAGCATACCAGCGCGCCTGCACGTGATGACGTAGATCTGGGAGGCCTTGTACTACATGCCTAGGTACCTAGGTAGACGATCACACCTCCACATCGGTGCTAGCTGGCCGGTCTATCGTTCTGCTCTCCCAGCAGTCATCATCTATACCGGCCAAGCCCGGTCAATGAAGGGTACAGATGGCGCAACTGAACTTTTCCTCGCCCTCATGCGTTGTGTGCACGATGCCCCAGCCCAGCGTCCGGCACGTGGTTGAAAAGAAGCTGGGAGAATGGTCCAGGATGAGTGGCGGCTGTTGGTGCGGCGGAAACATTTTGTGAGCTGTTATTTTCGGGGGCAGGTGACGCAAGCTGGCGTAGGGAGAAGGGAAAGGGGTTGAGTTCCATACTACTGAGGAAAAAGGCCATATAGACGACGACATAGATCTCATAAGATATATGCATCATACACCGAGGTTTAAGGAGAATTATATCTCTTTGATACACTTTAGTTGATTCTCATATACATTTCGGGGGCAGCCATTGAGTCCTAGCTGCTGGTGCGTTTATGCTGGCGTGTCCTGCCTCAGCTTTTTGGCCAGCCGCTGCGAATCTTCCATGCCTTGCACGCCAACCCGAAAACGGGTTGAGCAATACGCCGGCCCTTTGTTTGCCACCCTCAATCCGCATGCCTTTTTTTTTTTTTTTTTCCCCGAAGCTGCGAATTGTCGGACTTTGCTTTACCGACAACGACGACTGATACATCGAGCGCCCCATCCGAGTCAATACCACCCATCACATAACGTGCCCAGGCTGCCCGACATAATTGAAACGTTGTCGCAAATATATAGCACAGGATGAATCGGGCTCAGACACTAATGGGCCTCCAGCAGGCATACTCTCAGGACAAATTTTCCAGATACAGGAATGGTCAGGGCGGTGTGGACGTTACCCTTGAAGACATCCTGAAAGGGGCTCAAGCAGGGGATCCAAATTCTGTGGCGCGTCGCAATCAAATCCAGCTCATATGGGGAAATGACCTGCCCCGGGTGAATGCAAATTACCAATTCAGTCAGGCCGATTCAACAAGGCTCAGAGGCCTTGCCGTTCCGCAACGCTTTCGCTTTCGAAGCCTAGGCGGGGCAGTATCATTCGCAAATTTCAAGCGGCCGCCCACCAGGGCAATAGACCAAGTGAAGGCGAATCTCAACAGGTTCAGAAGTTTAATGAGATCGTCATTTAGATACATCAAGTGTTTGGGGTGGGGAGGGGAGGGTGTGGTATCGCTATGGAGGTATCGGCCCGAGCGAAATCGGACCCGTCTCGTCGTGTTCAAGACTGGCATCCCGCGGGGAGATGACCGAGATGCGGCCGCCGGGAACATAGAGCGCGAAAGAGATATGTTAACTGCAAGTATCACTGAGCCAGGAACATATCTGCCCTGTTTTGACAACTAACTATTCGCCCACAGATGTTATGTCGTGCGCCACATATCGTACAGCGGTTCTTCCTGGCAGATAATCCTCTTACGCTTGCCTTACCTGGGAGGAGGAGATCGCCTCGCATAGCAGATAGGGGGGCTCGGATAGACAATGCTCAGGCGAGATACATCCTGATGGATCACTGCAAGTTCGGTACCTTGCATTCCCAGCTCGCCAAGGCCGCAGTAGCCCAGGCCCCCAACAATACGGAGCGATGGTTTCCAGAATCCGTGCTGTGGCGCATCTTCGATTGCTTGATCAAAGCTTGCATGGCGATGGAATGTCCTCCAAGGTATGTACCAGGCAACGCACCCGGGGTTCCAGCTCCAGCGCCTCCTGCGCCTCCTGCACCTCCTTTGCCGACATCACTGTCAAATGGCTATCTACCAGAAGTGGTCGCACCTGGTAACGGAGTCAACGCGGGACACCACGGAATAGTTCACGGAGATCTTGTAAGTGGCATTCCATTCAACCTAGATAATGCATTCCACAGCCGTGGGTTCCTCAAAATCCTATCGGATTCTTTTCGTGGACCTACACAAAGAACACACCCCCGTCCAACTCGTATGTTCTGTGGTGGAAGGGAAGCTTGTGGTCATTCTTACACTACTTTCTTTGCATCTACTACTATTCCATCGAATTTGAGGAACTCTCTCGGACTGTAACGTTAAGTTGGCTCCCGAGGTCTTTGTAACTAACCTCTCCTTGACCAGGATCCCACCAATGGTATGGACCTTCACCTGGTACTTTTCTGTACACACATAGTCCCTGCTAACACAGATAAAGTATTCGTATATGGGTATGATGCGCCAGGGGCTGGGATTGCTCCAGCACACACGGCAATTCCTCGAATTCAGGTGAGCAAGTCCTTTATGTGATATCGCATGGAGGCTCAGATGATTCTGACACAAGTAATACAGATAGGGGATTTCGGTGCAGCGCGGGATGAGGCTACCCTATGGGCTCCTATAATCACGCCCCAGACTTCAGCTGTTGAAGAAATGAACAATCGTAGACAGAGATGGCGTAACAGAGATGGGGGCAAACTCAACTATTTGCTTCCGGTAAGGCAATAGATCGTGCACTTGTCATCTTATTTCTCGTCACTGATAGGCTACATCACAGGAACAATTTGGTAAAGATTGGGATAGAATACCTCTTCAACAAGATCCTTCGGAGGACTTTCCAACAGCCTGGATGACAGTATCGATGGGGCCGTGGGCACGACCTCCACCGATCAGGACAGGTCCTGGGAGATATACTTCTGCATCCAATGTGTGGCACATTGGAATGGTGCGTCAAACAGGGCTACTAGTGTCCCAGTCCCAGAGTGCTTCAGGCTGAGCTGAAAATTGGAATATAGATCATGAAAGTCTGTATGACGATGGCATACCCCGATCAACCCCCCTGGGCAGGTAGAATGATAAGCGCAGAACCACCAGTACCCGCCGGCGCGGCCCTGCCGGTACCCCAGGAACGCTGGACATACGGGTGGTCACTTGTTGACCCCAATGAACAGTGGGTTACTATGTATCAGCCTGCTCTCACCGACCTCGTGGCGAAATGTCTCATGGCAAAACAGGAGTTTCGTCCAACCCTCCAGCAGATACAAACAACTATCACACAGCAGTTGGCCCTTCCGGCCAATGCATCTGTTCCTGCTTTTTGGACAAACACATTCTTTACCCAACCTCCAAGGCCAAAGCCACCTCGAGACACAGAATGGGTCACGGAAATAAATCCTTTCTGGGACTATGACAATGATGTGCGAGCTTGGCTTGGGAGAGACCCGAGGCAGTGAGCAGATGTAACTGGTACTCGACGAGAATTGAGGCTTCAACATAATGCCTTCTTCGGTGGTCAACCATAAGGCACATTACTCTACCAAATCCGTGGATTTGACACAGGCTGGATCCAGTGTCTTTGAAAGTTGTTGCAAATTAATTGGCATGGATTCATCTCAGGTCACCCACAAAACCACCCACTAGTAGGTAGATAGATTGTTTTGACCATTCACACCACCAATAATTTCAGTCTTGACCTACCAATGTACCGAGAAAACCTTATATTCCGCGGATTCAGTCAAATTTCGTCTCATGGAACTAGACCCTCCGTTTTTAGCAAGCCCTATCAAAAGCTAGTTATGGGTGCCAGAAGGTAAATGCACTATTTTAGAGTAAATATATGGATAGGTATAAAAGTTTTAGAGACTCTGAATGTAGGCTATAGGGGGAAGAGTCTAATATCTGAGCAGATAGATATATCTGTGTTAGACAGGAAGGATACAGTGTGGCTGAAGCCTGTAACGGCCAAGTGGACTATTCAAACTCAGAGTACCTAGTTATTTTATTTGGTACTGTTGGTCATTGATGCTGTAACACCTGACAAAACTCTGGAGAAATTCCCTGGCTGCTTCCTGATGGGCCCAAACGTTGCAAATTATGTCACCTCTGCCACGACGTCGTGGCTCTGCTATCCGGGCGGCGACCTGGAGCGCTCAAGCCGATAAGCCAGCTTTCAGGAAATACTGTTGGGTCATGGCCTTATTTTATCATAAAATCGGGGTACTCCTTAGCAGCTGTTAATTGCCAGGAGTGCCATTCATGAATTGACAAGCACGACTGTATTCAAGTCGCATCAGGGTGAGAGCCGGAACCCCTATTATGTACTTATTTTCTTCATACTGTTGTCGAGACCGTATATCTTTTAAGTGCTGGGTCTTTGGGTGTTTACCACCGTATGAAGGCGCCATGTACGTCCGAGGGACGTATGCGGAATAGAAGCGAAACCAGGACTTATTTCTTGAACTCCCAGTACAAAATTTCACACAAGTTGATTCACGTAGGATTGCCCTCAAGACAGTGGCTTGCATATTTGGACACGAGCCGAGTGTTGCTGTGTGTATATGAGTACAGTGAATAAATTGTCAACAAAGACACAGACTTGTCCGATGCGCGAGAGCCTAGCGTTCTGAAAACGGAAGCTCAGGAACCTGTCTTTGTTCTGTAAAAGTTGATTCACCATCATCATAACAGAAGAGAAAAACTCACTGCTAATAGCGGTATAACATTACATATCACATAACATAGATCTACACAAGATCTCCCGACTACGTGGTGCGAGCTGCATCATCCATGCTATAATGAGTGCCGCATTGGTAGCGGAAAGAGCCGCGCTGCTAGATCAGCAGAAGTATCTTCAAGAAAGGTACTGGAGGTATAGGATCGGTGACCGGACCTACTCGAAATCTCGAGATCAAATAAGCGACGATTTCAATAATTCCGTTCCCGGGGATGGCGGCCAAGTTCACGAGCAAGCTATTCAGGCAAGACAAGTTCCGAGAGTGAACTACGGACGGCAATCGAAAGACGCCAAAAGGATTGCAAGGGAGCCGTTAGCCGAAAATAATAGATCCTTTTACGTTGCGAATCAGAATGATGACAACTCCCCTGACACGCCAAAAAAGGATGTCGCTAAAGGAGAGCTCTACAGGATTAGCGACGTGATCACAGCGAGGAGGAACTTCACTTTTTTGAAGACTTTGGGACTCGGCGGTAACGGCATAGTAGTGCTTTTGAGATGGACTCCGGGAAGCAACGCGACCCTGGCTCCAGGATATGATGTTGCCGCGAAGTTCTCAATCAAACTCGACGACAACGACGAAGTAGAGTCGTCCGACATCACCTGGGAAAAGCAAATAATGCAAGTAGGTGGTGAAGCCCTAACTATCATGTTTTCCCGGACTCAGCAACTCACACTGGACTATGTTAGAACTTTGTTCGGGCGCCACACATAACACAGCTGTTTTTCTTCAGTGATAAAGTACGCACCCCTGTCTTGCCACCAAGGCCTGCCATACAACAGGTGACCCAGACAGCCAATAATCTAGACTCAACTGAAGGCGTTTTGTTCATGGAATTCGCCAAGATGGGGGACTTGCGGAATTGTATCGAAAAATTGGCGGACAGAAACATTGATTTATCACCAGGGGTGCTATGGAGAATATTTGATTGCCTCGTCAAGGCGTGCAAGGCCATGGAATACCCCCCATACCTAAGGTCCCCAGGTCCAAGAGATGGTCCGCCGCTCCCAGAGGAAATACCTCAGGGGCCGCCAGGTGCCCTGCCTACAGCGCAACCAGGGTATACTGGATATGTGCACTTCGACTTGGACCCAAAGAACAGTATGTTATAACTCACGTCTTCACCTCTCACTTTTCCCCCGTCGCTTTATATGCCGAAATAACTCACGTTCTAGTATTTTTGATTGGATACGACCAACGCAGGGCGGAAAACCCATTAAACCCGAGGCACACTCAAGTGCCTAGGTTTCAAGTAGGTAGCATCCCTATAGGAGTTATATGGATGCATTTGCCCCGACTAACCACCTGGGCACATGGCCTAAGCTAGGTTGGAGATTTTGGCGTCGCAGAGACTGGTGCTGACATGTGGAGGCCCACTAACCCTCCCGGGATCAGTCAGCGGCGTGCTTTGAGGCGCATATCTGACGCGTGGGACCAAAGAATTATGGCCAAACACGGGTGGTTTCTTCCGGTAAGCAACCTTGATAAATTTACCGACGAAGACTAGAATCTCAATTCTGATCTTCGCCACAGGAACAATTCTCGGTGGAGTGGGACCAGCTCGACCGTGGTCCGGATCAGGGGCCTCCAACTCTTGGGCCTCCAGTTGACCCTTGGCCGGTATGGAACAGATGGAGCGCTCCGTCGGGCCCAGGTCGTTACAGCGCCTACTCGAACATATGGCACGTTGGAATGGTGAGATAATTTTCAGACCTCACGAATGGAGAGGTATTTTTGGAGCTAACAGAGGACTCCCCCGCCAGAATATGTTCTGCCTGCTCCTTCGTCAGCATCCAGACTTCCCGCCCGTAGCTGGACGAATGCGCAGCGAAGAGCCACCCCAATACGACCCGGTTCCATCACGACACCAGCGCTGGACATATGGCTACAGGCTGATCGACGACAGCGCAGAGGCCCAGGACTACAGGAACACGTTCACCCCGCTCCTATGCGAGACGATAGCAAGGTGCCTGATGCACAAGCAAGAGCACCGCCCGGATCTTGTCCAGCTCCAACGCATTATTACTAATGCCCTAGGCAACCTGCCACCTCGGCTTCCTGTAAATGTTGTTCGCTTCTTTGGGAGTGATGCCCCACCGCCCGTGCCCATATATGCGCCGTTTAGTGACCTTGGCACGATCGACCCTTTCGATCCGTATCCAGGGCTCCGATATCTTGATGATATAGAACCCTGGGAAGCGCCTGACTCGCCTCCGCGGAAACGGGTACGATTGAGCCGTGCAGACCGGTCGTATCGACCCTAGCCAGGTCTAGTTCCAACTTCCAAAGTTCTCAAGCGCCTGCGATGACGAAGACGTCCTAAATTCATGCAACTGCAACTTCAGCATATGCCTGTTGATACTAGTACTTCCTTTCGTAACCGTATCTGACGTTCCCAGGGTTGTTTATGAGAACTGGGGAGTCTTAGTTAGGGCTTTCAGCCGACTTCGCTATTCAAGGGGAAAATGATGTTAAGTTTACCTAGCTATGTATGTATTGAGATGACAGAATTGTTGGGTCTCAAATGGACAAGGTGTTCTCACTTTCGGCTCCTGATCTTCTAGCAATTAAGATGCGAGTTACTGCATGACGGCGCCGTGTAAGGCTTCTGAGGCATACGGAATAGGAACGAAACCAATTAGCCAGCCTTGGTGAAATATGGCGGCTTCAATTTGCCCTAGAGTCAGCTGGGAATGGGGAACGTGGCGCACGCGACCTCGGAGATCCGGTCCCTAGCTTTCATCGTCGTGGTAAGTGCATAGCAGGGAAGAGTGTTTTTTTTTGGCCGGACCGGAAGAGGCGAAGGAGGAGGACATCTTCGCCTGAGGCCAGAGAGACTGTGATGAGATGGGATGTTGGTCTCCAGGGCTTGGAGACATCAATGATGTAGTTTAGGCGTCGCTTGAGATTTACACGGGATGTGATGAGATGGTTCTGGGTGCTGCCTGAAACTGATTTGCAGGATGAGAAGGAGGTTTTCATTGTGCTAATGGTCTTACAATCTCGAGTGTGGAAGACTGTCGAAGTCGACTTCTAAAGTTCTGCAAGCCCGAGAATCTTGAAATGGTCGAGTTGAAGGGGCTCGGCTTTCCTAGATCTCAACTCCTGCTGAAGCTTAATTTGATACGTAACATGGAGCATTCATCTGCACTTCAACACCCATCCATCGCCTTCTATCACGTATGACTGACGTGTACGCCTCGCTGGGGATGTTTCTCCGATTTAGAGATCATAAGTGGCCATTCCTCGCAACAATGTCGTCGTCTTCAAAGCACAACGCCCCACCACATGAAATAATATCATGATCGACCGGAGTCAAAAATGACATCATTATTGACAAATATGACTACTGGCTGTCTGCCGCAGCAATTTTGACTGCAGGAGACGCAGAAATATTAGTATTTGTGGGGGGGTTGTTTCTCGCGGTAAGTTGCTCGGAGCCCGTCAAGATTGTCGTAATCTGCCGCTCCGCTGAGACTTCCGCGGAACCATGCAATGAATCCTTCGAGCCTTGTATCTGAAATCAACTCTTCCAAGTTGTCGGGCCCACCGACACACGATTCCGAATGGACAAGCTCCGAAAGCTTGGCCATGTGCTGGCCCCAGACAGGAGTGTGCGGTTCAGCGTGCATGAGCAAGACATGCATCTCAGACTTGAGCAATGAGGCAAAGGAGGGGACTATACAGTCCACGACTTGGGGGTTCTCGCTCCCCATGTCGGGCAGAGCAAGATCCGGGTTCAGCTCAGACAGCATGGTGTAAGGCTCTCTGGGCCCACTCTCGGACATTGGTGTTGGAGGGGCGATTGAGGGCAAGCCGATCTGCTCGGCAGAGTAGACTACAATAAATGGTCGCAACATGTCGTCCAGCGGATCTCCAGTGGCGGGCAACTCGTAGATGGGAGTTATGAGCCGAGCCTTGCGGCGATCAGAAAACCGTGAGAACGAAGGGGCTAATCTCTGCCACTCCTCAAATAAGATAGGGGTTTCCTTGTATTGATTGGGAGTAGAGATGGTGAGGCCTTGGGATGACAACAAATCAAACACGCGTTTCTGGTCCGCTGCGTTGATTGCGATCTCGATGTCCTGGCGATCTCAGTTAGAATTTGAGCCTCGTTGAGGGGTTCATATTTTTTCTTGGATCTTCTACTAACCAAAGGACAGAGACCTCCTCCATAGTGAGAACCAGCATTGACACCCCATAATGCGGATGGAATGCCGTTCTGGTGTAGCAGCGAGGTGAGGAGGCGACCACCCGCAACGTTAGGCTCGCGGATGGAGGCCAGGAGCCTCTGCTGAGAAGCTGTCATCGGGGAATGTCAGAGGAAGTGGTTAAAATATTGGTTTGAATGAGGTTCTTATAATTATTCCGAAGTGGTATTCTGAGGAGTGCCACTCCTTTGTTTTCATACGGACAGCCCGTTGTTGACAACTTCTGCCTCCTGTACTTAGGTACTCGAACAGAGCTCGTGGATCATGATTCCAATAGCACGAGATTGTGGCATTGTGCAGTTGAATATTAGGACCAGTCTACCATGTGATGAGTACTTGAGCATTATCATGGCCTCACCGTTCAGCCAGCAAGCGTGCGTAGGTACTTAGGCAGCAACCCCCTGGTATGAAGAAGCCCCACCACACCCCTTATTTTTAGCAGCAGACCCTTGCACTTACTGTGACTTACACATGTAAGTGCCCAGGTACCTGGTACTCACCTTCCCACCAACACCCAACTTGAAGTGCCCATTTGAATCATCCCTCAAACCTCCACCTGACGATGTCTCTGATATCGTCTATCCGCAACCGCTACCTGTCCTGGTCACACTCCACGCCCCTACCAGACCTGCCAGCCACAGTGCCGCCCGTGTTCCAGGACTGGCACGCCTTCAACGAGACAACCTCCAACTGGGAGCTTGTCCAGCCCGACCTGGGCCACACATCAACGCCAATACCGCAAGAACCAAACCTGCGGCTGCTAACATGGAACATCGACGCCTTCGGCGAAGAGCCCGGGGCGCGCATGGGAGCAATCCTCTCCAGGATCCGCCAGATGCAGACAGGCGACAACGACAACAACATCAACGGGCCCGACATAATCTTCCTCCAGGAGGTCTCAAGACCCGCCCTGGCCCACCTCCTCCAGGACCCATGGGCCCGAGAGGCCTGGATATCAAGCGACGCAGACGAGACCAGCTGGGCCGGCGGCGCGCACTTCGCCACCATGACCCTGCTCTCCCGGCCCCGCTTCCTCCCCGGCGGCCCCGGCGGCTCCCAGCCTGAGAAGCCCTCGCCGGGGACAACCCCGGACAGCGCCTGGGGCTTCTCCCTCGGCCCCGTCTGGCGGGTGCGGTACCCGAGCCGCTTCGGGCGCGACGCCCTGTGCTGCGACCTCGTGTGGGACCGCACGGCGCGGGTCCGCCTCGTCAACGTGCACCTCGACTCGCTGCCCATCCAGCCGAACCTGCGGCCGCGGCAGGTCGGCATCGCGGCTGACCTAGTGCGCGCGGCTGCTGCTGCTGCCGCCACTGCTGGCGGAGGGGGAGGGGGCCGGGGTCTTGTCGCGGGCGACTGGAACCCCGTCACGGAAGGGGATGCACACCTGGCGCGGGACAACGGGCTGGTGGACGCGTGGGAGCACCTGCGCCCGGGGGAGGACGGGTTCACGTGGGGCTTGGATGGGAAGGGGGAGCCGTTCCCGCCGGGGCGGCTCGACAAGGTTGCTGTGCTGGGCCTCAGGGTCACGGATATCGAAGTCGTGCATCCTGGGACACTACAGGCGGCGGCTCATTCTGAAGGTGATGCTGGGGTGCCGTGGAGTGACCACTCGGGGCTCATTTGCAGCTTCACACATATCGATGCAGCTAGCTGAGAATGCGCACGTGGGTTGGGGGGATATTGAGCATGCCACGTAGGCGCCTTGTAATGTAATTATGAAACTCTTGAGTAATTTGGGATTTCTACTGTAACAACATGTGACGGGGAGTCTATGAACACGACTTATCCATCCTGCGGGGACGGGTCGAGTAACGCCAGACACGAGGACTGGACGCCTCTAGCTGTGGCTCTCGGGGGTGGGTAGCAGCATGGTTTCTAAGGACAGCCAACGCCTAATCGATGTCCTCGTTCAGAACACCCTCTTTCTCTGCCTTGTCCCTCTCCTCAAGATCGTCGCGAATCTTCTTGAATTGCCACGGCCAGTCCACCACGTACAGGAAGGGCCGCAGATCATGCCTGTTGTCGTCCGGGTTGTACGCCGACAGGTGCGGGCTGGGCGTGAGGATGACGGCCTTGTGGCGGTTGATGGAGTATAACCTGAAGAAACGCATGACCTTGTCGGCGATCTTGCGACGGTCAAAGCCGGGCCGCTCGTGCCAGTCCACGAGCAAGCGCTGGTAGGTCGACCACGGTCCCAGCTTCTCCACCTTTCGCAGGATGCCGAACTGGGAGAGTTCGTCGTATGTGAAGCCCATCTCCGCGTCAGACTCGTCATCCTGGACGCCGGCGGACAGGGGGAGGAGCTCTGCCGAGGGAGTAGCTTCGATGAACTCGGTCATGATGGGCAGGTCCCAGTTGTCGCGCGCCCACGCTTGGAAACTCTTAGCGTCCGTCTTCGAGATGCTGCCCAGAGGGGCGATGTCCGCTGAAGAGGCATCATATTTGGTGTAGTATCCTCGCAGGTTCTCGTCGACATTTCCGGAACCAAGGACGAGCAATGCACCACCCTTGCGGGGCGTGTTGCGTGCGGTGGTGGATAGTTGCGCGAGCTCGTAGGCCACGACCAGGCGGTTCCGCGCCTGAATGTTCTGCCGCGCCAGGTTTTCCGCCGGGCTGCCGCCTTCGATGGAGTACTTCGGGCGGAAGCCACCCAGAGTTTGCGCAATAATGTTTTCGTGGGCCACGACAGCATCATCGATTTTGATATCAGAGTGGTAGGCACCGAGTCGCTTGGCGAGCTTCTCTGCGCGAGACCGTGTCTCTTCGCCCGAGTTCACAGTACCCATGTAGCAGGTGTGGAATACACGCGAGACGATGTCCTCCGGCTTGGAAGGTGTGAACGACTTCTCCCCAGTAACACGGCGGAGGTCATCAAGGACAGTCTGCTCGCCGTCTTGGATGGCCTTCAGTACCATCCGAGCCATGCTGTAGACAAAAAGGGCTACTGTTGAGGAGTCGAGACCACCGCTCAGCGCAAGGAAATAGCCGGGCGAGTTGGTCCGGGAAAGATACTGCCAGAGGAAGACGGCTTGCGCGTTGGCTATCTCCTCCATAGGATCGAGGATCTTGAGCTCCATGGCCTTGGACGCTCGGTACTTGGAGGGGACTAGACTAGACGACAATCCCAAGCGCAAGTCACATTCAACCCTGGGAAACTCTCGTTGCTTCGCGCCCTGCTGGTTCCGAGAGATTGATGAACGGTAGCTTCTGACCTTCTCGAGCTCGATTATCGCCGTGACGACCTCGACGGGACGCAGCGAGAATTGGGAGCCCTGGGCGACGACTTCTCCGTTGACGAGCACCATGCTGGATCCGTCGAACATCATACGCGCATCACCATCCACGCCGGTCATATTGGAGTAGACGTAGATACCGCCCAGCTTCCTCGTGGAATTTGAAATCAGGTCGAGGCGTGTCCGAAGCTTCCGCAGCTCGGCATGGCTGGCGCTGCTGTTGAGGATGACCTCGGCGCCATTGAGGCCCAAATTCGAAGACGGGTTGAGAGGCGTGAAGAGCTCTTCGCAGGTCTCACAAGCTACGGCAGTGTCCCTGCAGGACAAGATGGCATCCCCGATGGGCACCTTCCACTGGCCTGTGACTTGTGAAACGACATCCTCGAGGTAGTAGTCTTCGGTCTCGTAGGGCTTTGCCCAAGCCGTGAAGTGGCGCATCTCTCGGTAGAGGCCGTCATTTGCCAGTGCCATCTTGGGCCGGAGGAAGAAGATCTTCTTGTAGGTACACAGAGCGCGGCAGTTGTAGCGCACGTTGCGATGGCGAACGCCAAGGCCGACGTCCACGAGCATGCCCTTGCACGCCTCGTCGGAGATGATGTCGGCCAACACCTCCCAGCTGTGCAGGAAGGTGTCGCCCTCCAGGTGGTGATCAAGGCAGCCATAGCCGGGGATCTCGAGCTCAGGGCCTGTCCGTATGGTGGCGCCTTTTTCTTTGGCGACGCGGATGGACTGGATTATTCGATCCCGGTTGCCCTTGAAATCGAGGGGGACGCTTGGCAGCGTGCAAGCTGCCACGGAGATGTAAGTCATCTCTGCTGCGGTATGCCGTGATGTGTGTGTAGGAGGAAAGAAGGGCGAGTGGCAAGTGAGAGGGCGTCGTGATGAGTATTAAGTACTATGACTGTGCGAGGTGGGCCCTTTCTCGTCTTGGAGATGCAGCAAGGTAGTAGTTGCCTTGCGCCCTGGTTGGCAGTTGCCCGTGAGATGTGCTGGTAAATAAACAATGCAGGAAGTCTGGTTGTGGATCTGTAATACGACCTTAGCACGCAACAAATGCAGCTTCTCAGAGACTGTCTCAACAAGCTGTCGAAGTGTGAGCAATACGCGATTGACTGGCGCCCGGTACGGAGCAGGTATCTTAGCTGCTGCCCCGCGATGACCGTTATCGTTATCGATAGCAAACGGACAGGGGCCTACATTGAACTGTGCCCGGAGTCACCTATCGGCATGGCTTGCTCTAGTGTCAGGTTCCCAGGCGTGCAGCGTGCTAGGCCAGGTAGGGATCAGTGTCATTCTCCCACAGGACGACATCCTGTGCGATATCCTCATGAAGGCCAGCCTCATAAAGCGAGTCTCCTGTAATGTAACCTTAACTAAGACTGGATTCTAAACCACAAGAAGACCTCCTCATCCTACATGGCATTCTCTCAACACTCTGAGAAGACACATTACTGTCAGATAACATACGACACGACAAACCTCCTACAAGACAACCTCCTCGGACACCCCCTAACAAGATGACTCCTGACTCATATAAAACATCCTCGCATAGATGACTTCCTGTAGAAAACCTCCTTTCCTCCTGAGGACTTATATGACAGTCTACTATACTATAAGACACCAGAGGCCCGCAAGCCACAGTTCCTCGGCTATGATATTATAATATTGTATACCCTGGGGTATCTTTGTTCACGATGTGGCAGTGATGCGGGAATACTGTACGGAGATGCTATGCTAGCACATGTGGTGTTCAAGGAGGGGTGGGTAACAGAACAGAACTGGTGTCAGCTGCCGGTACCTGGGCAAGGTACGTACCCTTTCGTGCTACACCCGCATCCAGTCGATCCAGTCGATGCTGCCTTCTTCCGACAGGGCGAGACCCCCACAAGGCGGGTGACCCCAGCTTTCACTCCTCTAGAAGGGCCGTCGGAAGCCAGTAGTCAGGCTACTGTGCTAGTTTGTCTAGGTAACCCAGGTTCCGTGGAGGTGATGTGTCGGCGGGGCTGCTGGGCTGGCGGGGTGCACAGGGCAGCCAAGCTAGACGCTCACCACCTGGACCAGGCTGGTCACACCTCCCTGGCAGCCCCTGGTCGAGCCTCACGGATTGGAGACTCAGTTTGCGAAACGGGTCGTCCCTTTGACCAGCTGGACACTGACGCCCACGCACTACCAGACCGACCTGACCCTGCACCAACCACCCCCCCAAGAACCCCCCTCCAACAGCCCAGACCCAGACAGCCAGACGCAGCCAGGCCAAGGACCCAGACCAACCAACGCTGCACCAGGGCCAAAAGCGGAAACAACGAAGAGCGAACAGCAGATCAGAAAACGATTGTCCATTGTTGGCCTTGCGGAACGACCGACGGGCGGGACAACGGACAACGGATAACGGACAACAGACAAGCTGACGAGACGACCTGCGTGTTCGGTCATCCCCTTGGACTTGCACTTGCACCTCATCACCAAAACCCTCGTCGCCGCAACACACCGTCATCACCAGGCTCGGTTTGACTGATTGATGATCCCTTGCCTTTTCTTCCCCTTACAGTCCTTGCCCCCAGCTGCATCGCATCTCTTGACTTGCCCTGTCCTGCTCTGGCCGATTTGTTCAGTTCATCATCTCAAATCTACTCTGGCCCATCACCAACTGCTTGCCCAGAACACACACAGCATTTCATTACCTACCGACTTACCCACTCTCGTTCGTCCCAAGGGTCAAGGGTCTTGGCAGCTCACACCACAGCCAGACAGCCAGCCAAAGAAAAGAGTCTGATGCCCTGACCGTACCTCCGTTGCGTCGCCGCCTTTGCTCTCATTGCAGATCCCGAGACACATCATCAACGACACCAACGAGGAGCATCGACATTGCAATCGCCCATTGCATCCCTAGCAAGCACGCCGCATCACATAAGCCACCACACACAAGCTCGGCACCCGCCTGGCCAGCCCTCCGTCCACGGGTGTATCCGCCTGCAGCTCAAAAGACCCATCCAAACTTCCTCGTGACGTCCTGTTTCGGCTGCTGGCGCTCCCCCCGAAAGAGAACAACAACAGCTATGCTTTGATCAAGGCGTCCGCTGCTCCCTTACCCACCACGTTTCCCAATTCCCCACCGCCTGTCGCCTGCACCGTCTTTTTTGACGCCCTCGACGCCTTCACCCTCGCCAGAGAGCTGCTGCCGCCGCCGTCGCCGCCGCTGCTGCGTACTCGACCTAAAGTTGCTAGTACCCGCGCCTGTCGCATCCCGCCTTCCCCAACCACCCCGGGCCGGCATCAGGCGCCCGACCAGTCGACCTTCGCTACACCGCCGTGCTGCTGCTTGATTGCATTTGGTGCAACTCGCCCAACATGTCGGAACCTCGTTAGTGATCGCCGCCCGCCGTGTCAACTGACTGTCTCCCGTATTAACTCGTCCTTAAAAAATAGTGTCCGCCGATGAGGTTGACCGGTACACCGCGATTATCGATGACATCCTTGCCACTGCCGATCTCGCGACTGTCTCGCGCAAAAAAGTGCGACAGGCACTGGAACGTTCGCTTGGAGGGAAGGACCTGAGCGACCAGAAGGTAAGAGCATCTCCTCGACATCCCGCCCCTCGGAAGCCTCCTTCCCGTCCACCCTAGCTGGTCTAATCGTGCTCGACACCTTTCAGAATGCTATCAAGACCCTCATCGAGCAGCGCTTCGACGCCATAGCTGAGGACCCGACGCCTCCCGAGGCTATGCCCACGCCCCCACACAAGTACGATGACGATGTCGCCAGCAATGGCTTGCCAAACGGCACCAAGCAAGAGCATGGGGATACAGATGGCGATGCCTTGGACGACGCGTCCGGGGGCGAGATCCAGGTGTCGACGGCGCCCCGCAAGAAGCGAACGTCGTCAATGGTCGAGGATGAGGATGCCCGCCTCGCCCGCGAGCTGCAGGCGCAGGAGAACCAGCTAGCACGCGGCCGGCAGACCAGGCGCGGGAACGACCGGCCCAAGACAAAGTCCAAGCCCAAGAAGAAGAGCTCCGCCAAGGTGAAGGATGATAGCGACCTGGACACCGAGGACTCGGGCACCACAAAGAAGCGCAAGGCCGGCGGCGGGTTCCAGAAGGAGTTCAACCTCAGCTTCCCGCTGCAGGAGATCGTGGGGGCCGAGAGGGTATGTATCACATCGTGACTGGACCAGACCGGGAAGGTCTGGTCGAGGCGAGAGGAAGGGCACGAGGCTAATCCCATGTTCAACAGCTGTCGCGTCCGCAAGTTGTCAAAAAGCTCTGGGAGCACATCAAGGCGAACGACCTGCAGGAGCCCACCGACAAGCGCCAGATCCGCTGCGACGAGAAGCTCCAGGCAGTATTCAAGCAGAGCACCGTCAACATGTTCTCCATGAACAAGCTCCTCGGCAGCCAGCTCTACCCGCTCGACGAGTGACCCCAACCCGACCGGCGAGTCGACACGCCCCTTTTCCCAGGGGTTGGGTGCAATCCGATGAAAGGGAAAACAGAATATCGGAATATCGGATGGGTAGAGCGACTGGCGCTACATTTGGCAACCACGGATGGGCTGTGGGCTGTGCACTGTGATTTGGGGCAGGCGTTCTTGAAATACGACCTAATGATTTGCATACATAGGGGTTGGAATCTGCGGTTTGGTAGGAGTAGGATATCCTCGAGACCCCCTGGCCGATACTCGAGCGACACTGGTCCGTCCTGTTCGTCCTGTCTGGGGCCATGCTGGAAGGAGCCCTGGACACGACAGAGACGGCGCCTGACGCCCCACGAGGCTTTCCAGCCAGCACGAGGGGCCATTTGATGGCGTGCCCATTTGGTTGCTGGCGGGATAATCACTTATTTTTGGGCGGCACAGCGCAAACTAGTCATACGGTAACAGCAAACGTAGCTGAATCAATCCTAAACATATTTATTGGCCATGAGTGTGGACAAGATGTGGTGAACTGTGGCGCAACGCTGCCAGGGCGTCAGGGCCAAGCTTTTTGTGTGCAGACGGAGAGCCACACCTAATAAGCCGGAATGCAGGGTGCCATGTCGCAGATTGAGGATCTCTTGAGATACAGACTCTTGAAGATGAGACGAGACGAGACGAGCCAAGAGGAACACGATCAGTGCTGAGGACAATCGGCCATGGTGATTCCTCGGGCGGGTCTTGCCGTGCACACCTTTTTGGGGGCGGCTTCTGGGTGGTGTGCTGTCGGGGTACTTCAATGTTCTCGGTGTGACTCTTTTCGGGGCCGACGTGTCGCAACAACAGGCCCACAAATCCGGCTGAGCGAGGACGGACGCGCCGTGAAGTGTGAATTGCGCAGGTATGGCAGGTGTACAACGGGTAGAGACTGTACTGTGGCGCATTTTGATAGATTACATGAATACTCAATTATCAACATATCTGGCCGAGGATGACGTGCTGTGGCGTTCACCCATCCAGCCTCAGCCTCAGCATCACCACCAGGGTCCCCTACGTGCTGATGCAATCAATCGACAATTAGAAATCCGGCCTGCCGTCATCCATGTCGCGTATTATTACGGAGTATTACCAGCAGCTACACACGCTTGACACGCTAGGCGGGTGGGAAAGGAGGGGTGACGTTGGGTGGGATTTTGGAGCTTCCCGCCCGCACTGCCAGACTGCCCTGCCCGCCTGCCCGCACAAGCCGCATTACCTAGCCTAGGTGTCTTAGCTGAGCACTGCCCGCCGTTTTCCCCGGCGAGATGAGTCGAAATGACCCCGGCAGACGGGGCGATTGATTTGATTTTGACTTGGGGTTTGGAAACTGCAGGCTCTAATGAACTTGGGTTGCCCGTGGGCTACCCGTGGGCTGCCCGTAGCTAGCTGATTGGTCTGTGCGTCATTTCTGAATTGGTGTCTTCTTAGTGCCTGCCACTTTCCACTCTCTTCAATTATCAATCCAGCCCGTTTGCTGCTTTTGTACCCCGTCTGACGGCCTACCTTGCTCTCTCGCACTTGCCCACATACAAACAGCATCCCAGCCTGATTTTTGCACTGCCAGAACTGCCCCTCCAAATACCTCGCATAGCACCAGCAATTTCAGCTTTCACCTCGACACGACACATCGAGCAACCGAGACGGCTGTGGTCTGATAGCGCCCTGCAGAAAGCGACCAAAATTCTCGCACAACTTTTGTGTGTGCACTCGACTCCCACACTGCGTGCGACCTGCAGACGGGACAACGCAACAACGACGCCACCTGTATAGAAAGGAACGAATCCGCATTATGGCAGACACAGGTGGCGCCCTGCCTACAGACTCAGCCGGGGAAAGTGCGTCGAGATCACGCGGTGACGGCAGCCGTGGCCGTGGCAGAGGAGATCGTTCACGGCGCGGAAGGGGCCGTGGTGATGGTGGCGCTGGGCCAACCCGTGGGGGCAACCGTGGCAGGGGTCGGGGCGGGAACAACCAGGGCGCAGCCAGGCCAGAAGAACAGGACGGTGACAGGCCGAAGCTCACGCCAGCTGCCAAAGAGGCCCTGCGCGGGCCGGTAGAGCCGAAACCAAAGGCTGAAGGAGACGACGCCGACGCCGACGCCGACGACGACGAGGTCTGCTTCATATGCGCCAACCCGATCCAGCACCACTCGGTCGCACCCTGTAACCACACAACATGCCACATCTGCTCATTACGACTGCGAGCCTTGTACAAGAACAAGCAGTGCGCACACTGCCGGACAAGTGCGCCGTTTGTCATCTTCACCGACGACCCGTCGAAACCATTCGAGGCCTACACCGACGCCGACATCTCGAGCGCCGACGAGAACATAGGAATCCGCTACACCGACGAGAACATCGTGGGCGACACCGTCCTGCTGCTGCGGTACAACTGCCCGGATCTGTCATGCGACTTCGCCGGCCTGGGCTGGCCCGACCTGCACAGGCATGTGCGGTCGGTGCACAACAACAAGATGTGCGACCTCTGCACGCGCAACAAGAAGGTCTTCACCCACGAGCATGAGCTGTTCACCGACAAGGCCCTGCACAAGCACATGGCGCACGGCGACGACCGGCCCGGTGATGTTGCGCAGACTGGGTTCAAGGGCCACCCCCTGTGTGGCTTCTGCGGCGAGAGGTTCTACGACGACGACAAGCTCTACGAGCACTGCCGAAACAAGCACGAGCGGTGTTTTCTCTGCGACCAGCGTGACTCTAGGACACCGCACTATTATCGGGACTACGATTCTCTGGAAAAGCATTTTCAAAAAGACCACTTCCTCTGTCTGGACCGGGAGTGCCTGGACAAGAAGTTTGTCGTGTTCGCGTCGCAGATGGACCTCAAAGCTCACCAGTTGAGCGAACACGCCGGCTCCCTATCCAAGGACGTGCGGCGAGATGCCCGGACCGTGGACCTTTCTACCTTTGACCTCCGAGAACAATACCAGGAGGAACGGAGAGGGGGCGGACGGTCTCGTGGCGGGAGAGAGGGGCGTGGAAGGGGCAGAGACCCCAATGCAGACGCGCCTCTGCCTCGCAGCTCGGCACAGCCACTGCGGCGAGACGAGATCGCCTACCAGCGACAGATGCAAATCCACTCTGCCCAGTCAATATCCAACCGCACCTTCGGGGGCTCGCTCACGGGCTCCGCCAACACCTCCAGCCCCACGCCAGCCGCAGCCCGCAATCAGCAGCGACAGAATGGCGCCCCGTCATCCTCAGCCCAGCAACAATCCCAGCCTCTCGCCGACGCCATGTCCACCCTCTCCCTGACCGACCAGGCCAATATGACCCCTGCCGAGCGCGCCCGCCTCGTCCGGCACAACGCCGTGATCGAGCGCGCGTCCAACCTGCTCGGCAACGACGCGACCAAGATGAACGACTTCCGCGCGCACATCTCCTCCTACAAGAACGGCAGCCTGACGGCGCCCGGGCTGATCGACTCCTTCTTCTCCCTGTTCAGCGACACCTCGGCCAACGCGCTGGGCACGCTCGTCCGCGAGGTAGCCGACCTCTACGAGGACAAGAACAAGGCCGACGCCCTGCACAAGGCCTGGCAGGACTGGCGCGCCATCAACGAGGACTACCCGTCCCTCCCCGGGCTTGGCGGCATGCACGGCGCCACCACCAGCTCCAGCGGCTGGGCGGCCGCCGCCAGCTCCGGGCCCACGCTGGGCAGCGGGGGCGGCGCCGCGGCCGCGGCGAGGGAGAGGCACACCACGCGGGTCCTCAAGCTCAAGAACAGCACCCAGGCGCGCAGGGGCAGCGTCCCCGGCGCGGAGCTCGCGGTCCCCGGCTCCAACGCGTCCGGGCCGAGCAGCGTGCAGTGGTCGAGGCCCGCGGCGGCAGCATCCTCATCCTCATCATCATCCTCCGCCGCGTTCCCCGCTCTGCCGCCCGCGGCAGGGAGCAAGAAGTCGGGCGCCGGCGCGGCGGCGAGGTCGGCCCAGCTCTGGATAGGCGGGACACAGCCCGCCGTGACGGGCGCCTCGTCAGCCTCGGGGAGCAGGTCGGCCGCTGCTCCTCTCGTGCCCTCGGTGCGCCGCGCCGCGCCTAGTGCCGGTGGGGGCCGGGCGCCGCTTGCGTCTGGCGGCAGCGACGCGTTCCCCGCGCTGCCTGCGGCGCCCAAGGTGCAGACTACCATATTCGGGTACGGAGGGGGCCGCGGGGTGCGCCGGGACTTTGGGGGCGCGCGGGAGACTGGGTTCTCGTGGGGCGGGGGTGGTGGTGGTGGTTCTTCCGCGGGTGGTGGGGTTGGTGGTGATGGGGAGGATGGTGAGGAGGATCCTGCGGCTGGCGGTGGTGGGAAGAAGAAGGGGAAGGGGAAGAAGGGGAAGAATGTGCTTGTTGCTTGGGGGTAGATGACATGTCACCCACCGTGGTCTGTCTGGACTGCCGGCGATGATGTTCGGGCTTCCTTGCTCTTTGCTATCGGGTATGCAGGCGGGCAGGGTCTGAGTTGTCATACGGATGGACGATGTCTACGTATCATATGGACGGGCCTCATGCGCCTCGAATAAGACGTGGTGTTTCCTCTGAGGAGCAACAATCAATCAATTAGCCTCATCTTGGTTGTTTTATTTGTTGGGATCCAGTCCAGTTCATGGTGTAGATACTTGTACATCACCATCCGCTCCAACTACCTGCCCTTGGTAATGCGTCCGGCATTGGTTATGTCCACACCCATTGTATGAAGGCGCCACTTATGTTTTGTATATAAGGGATTTAGAAACGAAGCCGCCCCTATGTCCACACCCGGTGGAAACATCATGGAAATCTTTCTGGTGTGACCCTGGCCTGGTCTGGGTACAACTCTAACGAATCAAGGCTGTGTGCCCCGTGGATAGGCTGAGATCTCTCTTGCGGCCACTTAGTCTGTGATGGCGCGTCTCTCGAAGCACTGGCAGTGCCAATTGATGCCGAAGAAGACACCTTCTTCCATAAGGCGCCGAATCTAAAGCGAGCTTTCAGGCCGCGCAGTAATGGCCACAGCGGAAGCAGGTTCGCGGCCCAGACTCCTAGACACATCTCCACCATGACCCAGAACGTAGGGTTAAAGAATGACAGGATAAACGGTTCTTTTTCATCTGGGGTGGTGACATATCCAAAATCGAACCTTCCTCGGGGGTAGGCCACACAGAGGAAGATCAGCCGCAGAATACCTGCCAGCGTCGATCTGGCAAATTTGTCAGTCTGCGAGAAACTTAACAAAAGCTTGGAACATCAAAACGAGTAACTAGGAGCGAGAATATTTACACTGTCCCCAGAAAGAACACAAAAGCAGCAGCAAGCTTCTTATTGGCCGCCATCTGGAGCTGCCGGACATACAGCAGGGGGACCCCCAGCACGAGGGCATCAGTGAGGATGCTCGACGCGGCAAAGGCGATCAGCAGGACCCCCTTGTCCCCACACGCGTGCAGGGCCCTGGTCTGGTCGAGGGCCAGCTGGACCGTGACGTCCCTGCCGCAGATGAGCAGGTCGGCGAGGACGAAGGCGAGGGTCCAGAGGGCGATGAGGGCGAGGAGGGAGTTGTTGAGGCGGCGGAAGCCGCGGCAGACGCCAAAGATGCGGCGGTACGAGAGGAGCAGCGACAGCTTGATGGCGCCGAAGGCGCCCTTCTCGATCACGATCATGGCGTAGTTGATGCGGTGCGCCACGAGGGCGCGCGCGTCCGCGTCCGCGCTGCTGATGGCCTCGCCGCCCGTGCCGTCCACCGCGTTGTAGAACTGGATCGCCGCGCAGGCGGCCGTCACGAGCACGCCGGCCACTATGAGGATGTCGTCTGCCCCTACCCGCGAGCTGGTGCTGCTGGTGCGGCTTGTGTGGCGCATGCGGGCCCAGAAGCGGAGGCATGTGAGGAGGATGCCGAAGCCTGTCAGCACGGCGTAGATGGGGATCACGGTCGAGGGCGGGTAGAGAGTCATAGCACTGTTACCATGGGATTTGCGATGGGTCGTCTCCAGTGGGTAAAGGATGGCATCAGCGGATCATCACGTTGGCGAGTTCTGAATAGTCTGTCTCTTCGCCGACTCAACTCGACCGGCTTGAAGTGGATCTGCAAACCACCAAGATATCATCTGGTTGCAAAAAGGCCATTTCCAATGGCACCGATGATGGATTGCCACCGTTGAATGTTGAGCCTCACAGTAGGAATGGACTTGTGTCGATGCAGCTGAAGTTCCCATCCCGCTAAAGGAAGTACATGCAGCTCAGATTTCGGCATAACTACCCAATGCGCTGACACACGGTTGGTTCCGAATCCTTATGCTCAGAAATGGAGGAGGTGTGGTAAGACGACGATATCTGGTCATTATCTTGGCCAACCACCTGTTGAGTCTTTTACTCCGTCTTCTGCCATTCGCATCGCCAAGGCTACCCTAGGGCAGACCGGACCGAGGACCGTGGTTTTATTTGCTCTGCATTCAAGTTTCTGTTGCTAATAAGGCTGTAAGTCAGTCTTCCATGGCCTTCACGTGCTAGATTAGGTAACAGCCGGCCTTTACAAGATACAGCTTTAGTACTTAAGTACCCAGGTAATCATGGATGCCGCCAGGATTGTATACAATTATCACGTTGGTGGTCTACTCCGACATGATGAGCCACCTGGGCAGTTGGTCTAGACCACAGACAGAGCCTTGACGCCTGTGTGCCACACCCGATAAATCTACCTAGGTAATCAATATTTGCAGAAGTGGGATTGGAAAGACAGAGATTCTACAACGATATGTGGAGTTGAAGTTTCTCAGACCAATAAATATTAATATTATTAAACAAACTATAGTTGAAGGCAGTCTAGATGATAGCTCCTCAACAATATTGTCTGTCAGCGAATAACTACCGATCACCGCTCACGGACTTCAAAACATAACCTGCAGTGCTATCCCAGAATCCTCTCGTACTCTTTCATGGTATGCTCGAACACCTTTTCCCTCATGCCGTTTTCCCTATAAGGACCTAGCACCTTTTCATTGTGCACCGGATCGACATTCTCGTTCAAAGTGTACACGCCGCTGCCCTTAATCCCGTTCGAACCAGCAACAGCCATTGCCTCAGCCGGCTCAGCAGCAGCATACATCGGGCTGGTGGCGGCGAAGAGATGCCTCGCCCCAGAGTCATCCTGAGATGCAAAGACAAACCTCCCAATCGTCGGCATCACGACCCAGTTGATGAAAAACTTGAACACGGGCCCAAAATGCTCTGTCTGGAGGAGGTTCGTCCGCACAAGGCCCGGGAACGTGTGCACGAAGCTGACGCGCGGGTGGCGCTTTTGCAGCTGCTCCATGAAGAGGGTGTTGTAAGATGCCGCCATGCCGCCTGCGCTCGCGACGCCGTAGTTCTTGGGGTCTTTGAGTGCCATGTCGTCGGGGAAGATGGTGCCCTCCTGCCCTGCTGCCAGGACGGAGACCACCCTCGGCGAGGGCGCTGCCTCCAGCAGCGGGAGAAGGTTGACGAGAAAGCGCATCCGGGCGTAGTAGCGTATTGAGGTGATTTTGTCGAGCCCTTCACTGGTTTCGTCCCGGGCGGCGAACGTTAGGAAGCCGGCGGACATGAAGAGAATATCCACCTGCTTCTCCTGGGCCAGGATCTTCTGCGTCGCCTTCTCGACATTTGAGAGCAGTGTGAGGTCATCTGTCTGTATGGGGATGTAGGTTCCTGTGTTGTTGATCTTGTAGAGTTCTGATTGTAGTTGGCTCAAGACCGCCTCGCTACGCCCGACGATGTATATCTTTGGGCTAGTGGTATTCGAAGCGAGCTGGTCGAGGAAGCCCCGCCCAATGCCATTGGTTCCCCCAACCACAACGGCTGTGAGAGGGCGGGTGGATTTGAGCGCGGCGTTAGCTGCCCGTACCTCTGATAACTTCACCATGGCTATTTATCGTTTGTTGTTATTCAACAGGTAGTATTTGTTTTAATGATGATGTCTTCAACGTGAATGCAGATGTGATGAATGCTTCTTGACTCCAAGATGTAAACCATCGGGGACTTTGCATATTTATCTAAATTGCGTAGCGCGTGAGCCCTGTCTAAGTGATGCACAACATGCCCAAATCCAGGGCAGTAGCTTGGTTTCTAATCGCTTGGCAGTGCGTCTTTGTCGCGCTTATGCATACGCATAGCTTACATAGCAAACGTCTGGAGTGTTTGTCATTAGCGCCGACACTCGGCCTTAGACTAAACGCGAGGGATCCTGCTTACCTATGTAGTGAGAGGTGCCTGTACATCAATATGATGAGCTATGAGCAAGTTGCAGATGCACTGTCCGATAGGTAAGCCCCTCTGGCTAAATACATGTAAGTTCTCGGCTCTAACTCGCGGATATAACACAGACACCACCTCGATTGGACGGGTCTCTGAAGCTTTCCTCTAAACTCGCACTCTCAGCTTGCAACTGCTCCTGCTCATCACATTTTCTCGCCACCTCGAAGTCAATTATCGTCACCTTGCCCTCGGGTCTTCGCACTAGAAAATTGTTCCTGTTGACATCTCCATGTTGGATGCCGAGATCATGAAGCCGAGCAAGCGCTACACTGCACGCCTCTAAATCATCAAGTGTTGCCGGGGTGGCTTCGTCTAAATCCTCCATCAGAAATCCGACAACCCTCCCGCCTTCTGAGACATGTCCTAAGAAACGCGGTCCAATGTCCTCATCTTGAATCCATGCGTAGGCCTTAGTCTCTGCCTCCATGAAAGGGATTTCCCAAGGAAAATTGGCGAGCTTGAAAATGACAGGCTCTCGGAACAAAACATGGCTGACTTTGCGGATGTTCTGGCGGAGGCGGGCCACCATCTTGAGCTCCAGGTAGTCAATGAGGATCGGATGCCAGACAGATTCGACTGCGGGGAGTTTTTCCGTCGATATAGATGAGAATACCGGTTCCCCAACGCGGTCTCCCTTCGATATACGGCCCTTGTTCCAATCGCCGGGCGGGAACTCGGGCACTACTCGAAGCAAATCAGGTCCGAAAGAACGATCGATCTCAGCAGGAAGAGCGCCTGCTTCAATAGTCACGTACTTGACATACTTTCGGTCGACCAAAAATCGGTATTCATCGTCGTCGCCGTCATGGTCCACAAGAGCCGCCAAGAGCTCGACGCCTTCTAATCCAGGTCGCATTGCTGATGCCTCTTTATGATATTCTCTTTGGAAACGTTTCGACGTCTCAAAAGGCGTTTATCTAGATGAATAGTTAGGCCACATATCGTTATATATAGTAACTCATACATCTTTTTACGTCCAGCCTGCTGGGACCGTTGTATGCATTGTGGCGAAGATATTGTTTAGGGTGGAATGGTGCGGGTGCTTACCAACTCGAGAGGGAATTCACCAGCTCAAGGATTGATCTGTTTATGCTAATAGATGTATCATGTGACAGCGCAACAAGTAGAAGTAGTATGAGTGAAGACTGTTGTACTTGTAACGGAAAGTAAGAAGAGAGGGCTAATAAATGCGGCCCAGCCAGAACGGCTCGAAAGACATTCAGCCCGTTGGTAGTGCACGGACCGTTTTATGCGTCGTACGCTATTTGTCACTTGGAGGCTGCCAGGTACTTAAGTACACACTCACCTCACCCCTCACCTCCACAACCATGGCCGATAGCCTTCGCAAGAACCTGGGGAGGTCCCAAGTCCAAAACCACGTGCGCGAAGAAGGAGAGCGTGCAAGATCGAGCGACAATTCCAGGCACTGGAACGAAGCCCTAGTAGCATTTAGCAATGGTTGAAGGCGGCCGGACCCCCACTGGCAGTTCCCAATCGTCATCTCCGCCAACAGCCCAATATCAACGCCACAGAAACTGAAGGAGACAGCAGGGCTGGACACCATCCCCGAGGTCATCGAAACAACCTACACGACCCTTCGTGGGAACCCCGATCCGAAGCACCTTGACTGGAACGGAAAGCCGGCAAAAGTCAGGGTCAGCTTGGTTGGCTGGGACCAGCTACAGACCATCCGAGGCAAGACTGACTTCGAGCACTTTTTGTATGTATGGCTTGAAGGGAAGGTTCGCGGGGTGACTCTGGTGACATCTTTGACCAAAAACGATAAGACTTAGGGTTGAGGGGAGGTTAGCCCATCAGTATTGAACATGTTCAAACTGAGCGGCGATTGATTAGGCCATTCTGACAACAAATACTCATTCCAAAATTTGAACTGGCTTGGAGGACTCAAGAAATCAACGCTTTGGTATCTGTAGAAGAAACGAGCAAATATGGCCCCTAACTCCCAATTGTCCACGTCAACCAATCTTTGAAGCGTAACCCAGGTTAGCCGTGGTAAACCGGATTAGACACCATAGGTTGGTCAGCACGCGTAAAGGAGCCCAGCATCCTATTAGTCAGGGCAGTTAGGAAAGGTACAGCGAGGCTCGCCTACCTAGTACGACGAAGGGTACACGAGGCTGCCAGTGCAGCGCTGCTCACATCACGAAGCATCGATTGATGCTGCTCACATCACGAAGCATCGATTGATGCTGCTGAGTGAGAAGCGCGTGGACTTATTGCCTAGGTAACTCTGGCTCGATCTGATGACGACAGCCAACTTACCTCAGCAATATTTCCTAAGGCATCCATCCCTAGAATTATTGTCTGTTGCAACTGCTCGATCTTTCTGATAGGCTGAGTTGAATGACTATGGCACTCCTTTACGCTTGAAACTTGAACCGCTTCGTATTGTATTGGGGTGACAGATGTGCAGACCAACGGAGAGACAATGTCACTAGGATCAATTGCGTAGTTGAGAAGTCGACATACTTGACGATCAATGACATAGCGTCAGAGCAATTGATTTTTGGTCCCGTCGCAAATGATATTGGTGATGCGAAACGCAGCAAACAAGCTTCTGGGGAGCGTCCCTTGCAATGTTCCACAAGGTTATCTCGGTTTGCTATCACTTTTTAAGTTTTGCTATCAGGGTAGCTAATCTTATTGATAGGGTACGTCGGCTGATCGTTTCACTCTGTGCACCTGCCACCCCTTGCAGACCCCCGCACTTCAGCCAAAGTCCCCTTCAGAGAGATAAGACAGGCAAGCTCACGGCATCTCTGCCACTTTGACAAGCACTACGTTATCCGGCCCATCCCTGCTAGGAAACCGAGCTCGCCTCAGCTGCGCAAGAAATAAGGCGGTTCTCGGCGAAGTCCTAAAATTATAGCACCAGGTCTAGCTAACTAAGCCGCCCCCTCCATGTAGATAAAATGGGCGCGCCGTCGCGGCCATATTATATGCCGCACTTAGCCCCCTATTTTTCCTATTTACGTGCTATTCCTTATACCGCTATTAAACCTAGCCTAAACCTTATTTATATTGCCATAATATAATTAAGGGCATTCCCTTATATTTGGCTTGCATACCTTTTATAGCTATATTTTGCTTTATAATATTATAATAGGCAAATATTTTTGCCAGCCTATTAAAAGGGCTTTTTATTTAAGTGCTATTTATTTATAATATAAAAAATAATATTAGCCCTTTTAAATTTTAGCCTTAATTATATTTTTATTTTAACCTTTATTTTTTATTTTTTAAATTCCTTTTTTATAAAAGCTATAATAGTTTAACCTTTATTTATTTTATTTATTATTTTTTTTACTTTTTTTTTTTTTTTTTTTATTAAAATTTTATTTTATATTAAATACCTTTATTATATAATTAACTAATAATAAAAATAGGTAAAAGCTAAATAAAAGTTATAATTTAATATTAAAAATATTAAAAATATAGTAAAAATATTTGCTAAATAATAAATTAAATTAATTAAGCTATTTTATTTATATATTTTAAAAATTAAAAAAATTATAAAAAAGTAATATAGGCCTAATATAAATATACCTTTTTTTATTATAATTATAATTTAATTATAATAGCTAATTAGCTAGCTTTATAGCTTTTAGCTTTATTAGTTATTTAATATAAAAAGGTTATTTATAATTATATATAAAAGTAGCTAGCTAAAAATAATTTTATAAAATAAAATAAAATAATAGCCTTTTATAAAACTTTTTTATTATTTTATATTTATTTTAATAAAATTAAAGTTTATTTAAGGCCTAAAAAATAATATAAAAATAAAATTTAAAGATAATTACTTTTATAAATATTTATTAAAAAACCCTTATTACTAGTATATAAGTAATAGTTTTAAATAAAATAGCTATTTTAATTAGGTGGAAGATTTATTTTACTTAAAAATAAAGGCTATTTAGTATTAAAAATAATAACTTAATAATAAAAATTATTTAAATAAGTTTTATTTAGTACCCCCCTCCCCTTAAGGTACTATAAATATAAATTTAAGTAGGGCTTATTAACTATTTAATAATAAATAATAATAGATTTTTAGTAAAACCTTAACCTTATAATTAATAGCAAGTATAAAAAGTTATTATAATATATAAAAATATTAAATAATTTATTAAAACCTTATAAAAGTATATAAATAATATATTAATAATATTATATAATAAAATAATTATATATATTTATTTACTTATTTTTTTTTTTTAGCTATTACTTAAATATATTAAAAAATTATATAAAATAATATTAAAATTTATTTTATTTATAAGCTATTTATATCTAATAGGTACTAGCTTTTAGTTTGCCTAATTATTATATTTAATAAATAAAACTAAATATAAATAAAAGAAATTAAAAGGTAGGTAAAAGGGTTTATATATATTGCTTATATTAGACTTTTTTAATTTTTATTTTTATTTATTTAATTAATTATAAAATTATTATTAACTTAGTATAAATATTTATATTTTTTAATATAACCTATTTTTTATTATTAAAGCTTTATATTAAAATGCCTTTAAATATAAATATTAAATTATTAATAATATATTTATATAATTTAGGCTAAATATTATTATAATATATTTTAAATAAAAGGGCCTTAAAATTAATATTTTTTATAATAAATAATAATATTTTTAAGGCTTTTTAAGCGCTTTTATTTTATATTAGGCCTAAAATTTTATTTTATTTATACTTTTATATATTAGTATAAATATAAACTTTAAGGGTAAATAAGCTTATTTATTTATTTTATTATTTTTTATTTTATTATTTTTATTAATTATTTTACTAATTAAATGCTATTTTATAATAGTTTATAAATGCAAAATTGCTATTATTTATAATATATTAAATTATTAGCTATACCCTTTAAATTTATAGTTAAAACTATTAGGCTATATATATTAAATATAATTTATAAAAGGTTGCCTTTTATAAATATGCTAATAATAAAATAAAATTTTTTAAATAATTTAATTAAATTTAAAAGCTTATAATTTTAAAGCTTTTATATATATAATTAAGGCCTAAAATTTAAAATAAAGTAATATTAAAATATAATTATAAAAAAATAATTTAAGCTTTTAAAAAAAATAATAAAAATAAAAAAAAAAAAATAAAAGCTGGTTATAGCCTTAAATATATATAAAAAATGCTTTAAAAAATTTATTATTTTTATATATTAAAAATAGTTTTTTAAAAATAAAAAAAGTTTTTTATAAGTAGGCGAGCTAGAAAATTAAAATAATTAAAAAGAGGAATATTATATTGGCCTAATTAATATTTATTTGCATATTAATATTAATATTTGCAATTTTATATAGGTTTAGGCCCTAAATATTATTTTTAATATTAAAATAAAAAGGCAAGTAATTATAGCTATAAAGTAAATAGATAATTACCTTTTTAGTAATTAAAATATAATTTTTATATTAAAAGTAAAATTATTTTTATAAAAGCCATTTTTATTAATAAGCAGCTATATAGCCTTATAGCTAGCTATAAAAATAATTTATATATTTTATTTATAAAATAGTATTTATTTGGCATATTAATATAATAAAGTATATAATAAAATATATAACCTTTTATTTTATTACTTTTTTATTTTATATATAAAACCATTTATAGCCCTTTAAAATTTAGTAATTATATAAAGTAAAATATAAAAAAGTATACTTTTATTTTATTATTAGCTATATTATAATAATAATATTAAATAAAGTTTGGCTTAAAATAAAATTTTATATATAATTTATTATTATAAAATTATAAAATATATTTTTATAATATTTTAATTTAAAGCATACTAGTAAGGTTAGTTTTAAAATAATATTTTTATATTATATATTTAAACTAGTAGGTATATAATTTAAAGTTATAATTTAATTATTTTACTAATAAATATAAGGTATTTATTACTAAATAATATTTATTTTATAATTAGCTTTTAGGCTTAAAGGCTTATAATTTATATTTATAAAGTATATTTTAAAAGCTTAAATAATATTATTTTTATTTATTATATATTTAGCAGGTAAAATAGCTGCTTTTAATTAATTATGCCTTATAGCTTATTTATATTTAAATTATAAAGTACTTTA